GTACTTTTTTAATATATTCACGTAAAACCTTAAGCTTTTTTAAAAATAGTAAATAAATATACTTGCTTAAAGGCTTAGCACTAAATTATAATTTAATTATATAATTATAAAATTAATAAAATATAAAAATATTTACTTTTACTTTAAAAAATATATTTATATATTTATAGTATTATTTAGGTAGCAGGATTTTTTTAACCTTTATTTTATTAAGGTATATTATAACATGGTCTTTTTACTTAAAAATTTGCACTAAAAGTACTTTAACTTTTGTAATAATTTTTATAGTATATTTTTATGTTATTATTATATACCATAAGTATTTAAAATTATACTTTACTTTTTAATTATATATTTAATTACTAGTTTACTAATTTAAAATAGGCATCGCGGCTAGTAACCACGGAAATTCTAAAATTATATTATAATTATTAATATTAATAGCTTTAAAGTTTTATTAATAATACTATATATTACATGTAAAATTTCTAGCATAAACTATAAGTATATATTTTTTATAAAATATTACCGTGTGGTTATTAATTATATATATTTTATAAGCTAGCCCTTTACTTTATATTAAGTAAAACTTTACCTAGCACTAGTTTATAAAATTTACTTTTATTTTAAAATTAATAAAAACCCTTATATATTATTATTTTTTATTTTTTTTTTTATTTTTACCTAAATTACCCAGGCCCGCGGTGTATTTTTTTATTTTATATAAATTTTTAAAGCTTGCACCGTGTAAAGCTTTAGGGTTTTATATTTTTTATATTATTAAATTTACTTAAAGGTTATTACCATAAGGGCATTTTTTTTTTTAACCTTTACCTAGTAACTAGTAATATTACTTAAAATATTTAGCATGGTTATAGTTTAAGTATTTACCTAGGTATAGCTTTTTTATAAATAAAAAATTATTTAAATTATTAGGTTATTTTATACTAGTATTTACTTTTATACTTTTTTTAGTAGTAAAAAGTGCCCTAATTTTAATTACTAATAGTTTTATATAAGTTTAGTTAAAAAACTTTTTTTTTTTTTATAATAGTTTTTTTCCGCTTGGGCATATTATTTTTAATATTTATTAARTATAATATATAGTTATTATAGCGCTTTAATTCTTGGTATTTATAAATAAAAAACTTTTTTTATATATTTTTTAGGATTTTTTAGTATAGGTGTCCTTGGCACTAATTATTATTATACTTATAAAATAAGTATTTTTTAATTTAGTTTAATAACTACACAAATTACCTAATAATTTATTATAATTACTACTTTGTGTTGCCCTACTTAATTAATAAATTATTAACTAGCACTATTTTATTATTAATTATTTTAACTAGCATATTAAGAAATTTTTTTAAGTAAATATAATTTTTATTTTATAAATATTAAACTATTCCCGCCTGCGGTTTTTTACTAAAAATCTAATAAATTAAAATATTTTATAGCTATTATTTAGGTAGTAAGTTAGGAAGGTTTTAAAGTATATTTTTATATTTAACTTTTAATTATTAAATTTTTTAATATTATTTACCTGGTATGGTTTTACAAATAATAACTTTTTTAAAAAGTTTTTTTTAAATTATATTATTATTACTATAACCCCTTTAGTGGTCTCCTTTAAAATTATAAGGTTATTAAAGTTTATTTAGTGGGGGATTATTAATTACTTAATAAATTAAATAAGTATATTATATATTTATTAGTTAGCTTTAGCCCTTATAATTTATTAGCGTGCCTTTTTAATTTAAGCACGGATTTATTAATATTTTTTTTTTTTTATAGCATTCTTGCTCCTATAATTTTTTTTTTATTAAAATTACTTTTAATATTACTTATAGCTTTTTAATAATTTTTTTATTATTTTTATTTTTTTACCCCTGGGCGGGCCCTTTATATTTTAATATTTTTTATATAATTTAAAATTTAATAGCAAGGGCGCCCTTGGGATTTTTTAGTTAAAAGTTTATAAATTTTTTTTTAAATATATTAATTAATTATTAAGTTAGGGTTTATAATTATTTTTTTAAAGTATTATTTACTAGTTCCTAGGATTAAGTTTATTACCTAGCTATTATATAAAATAAGTTTTTTTTTAAAAAAAAAAAATAATTAAAATTATAAGTTATATTTATATACTATAATAAGCTTAAAAAAATATAAATTACTATAATAAAAAAGGTGTTATATATTTATAATAGGAACTAATTACTAATTTTTTTAAGTTAAAGTTTAAAATTAAACTTAGTATTTTATATATTATATAACTAGCCGCTACCTTAGCACGCGGCTAGTTTAGTACCAAAGTTCCTCCGCCCGGCGGCCTTAGGCCGCCAGATTGCGTTATTATAACACTACACAGTTGCAACACCATAATAGTGATAACATTAAATTAATAATAATTTATGGGTTAAAAACCTTTATAAGGTATTTTATAATAAAATTAGTAAAGTATTTTTTTAATTCCTATTTTTTTTAATTTTATATTAATTTTTAAAAATATAAGTTAGGTGTTAATATTACAGCAAGGCATAAAACCCTTAAATAACTTAGTAATAAACCCACCTTTTTAAAAAATATTTAAATTAGCCTTTTACCAAGCAACACGGTTAATAATAACTTTTTTAAAATTATATATTAAAAGTAAAGAATAAAAAACTTTTTTTTATAGTTATTTATACTAGCGGACTTTTATTTTTAATTTATAAGAACTTATACTTTTAAGTATTATTTTTAAAGTAAAAAATTAAGGCCCCCGCGAATTATTAAACTTTTAAAGGTAATTTATTAAATAAGTATTATAATAAGACGCGCCTTGTAGTAAATAAAAAACTTAAAAATTTTAAGTATTTTAATATTATTATTAATAAGTTTATAAATTAATTTTTTAAACATGTTATTACCCTATTATTTAATACATTTACTTATAGCTTTTTTTATACTTTTAAAAAGATTTTAGTAAAAAAGTTTAAAGGCAAGAAGACTATAAAATAAATTTAAAATTATATTTAAAAGTATTTTATTAATAAAAAAGAATATTTAACACGCCTTAATAATATTAACTAAAAAAGGATTAATTTAATTTTTATAAATACTTATAATATTATAAAAAACACGTGAAAAATTTTTTAAGGTAAAGCTAAGTTTTTTTATATATTTTTTATTTTTTATAATTTTTATAGCCTTTAACTTTTAATAAAAAATATTTTTACTTTTTATGGGCCTTATAAGATTTTTAAGGGTATTATAAATATTATTAGTTTTTTTTATAGTGCTTTAAAGTAACTAGCTATTATTTATAATTACTAGGTAAAAAAAAAAAATAGCATAAAAATATTTATTATGCTAGTAATTACTTGCTAGGAAACCTAGTTTAACTTTTTATATTTAGTATAAAAGTTAAATATCTTTCTTTACTAGTAAACCTTGCTTTTAAAAATTATTATAATTTTAAAATTTAAAAAGCTAATAGTAATAAAGTTAGTTATAAAACTTTTTATAATACTTAGTTTTTAGCTTAATTTAAAAAACCTTTTTTTTATTATAAAGCCTATTTACTATTTCTAGCTATAGTTAAAAAATTAAAAAGCTAATATTATAATAATATATGTTATATTTTTTTTTTAAATAGCTTTAAAAACTAACTTACTTTTTAACTTTTTAGGTTATAAAGCACTAGGTATAGCTATAATTAATTCTTTTTTATTAAGCTACTAAAACTATATTTAAAAATAATCTTTAGGAATACCTTGCGGAGTTAAAATATACTAGCTTTAATAAGTAATTTAATACTTAACTAATTAATTTTTACTAGGCTACTTACTATTTTAATTCCTAAAATATTTTAGCAACACTGCCTAAAGTAATAGTCTTTAAAATTAAAAGTGTTATTTTTTAGTATATTAATAAAAATACCCACGCTAATTTTACCTTATATTAAGTAAGAAAGGCGTATTTTTACCCCGCGGAGAAATAGCTAAATAATAATTTTTTATTTTTTTAGGTATAATTTATAAGTTTTTTATTTTTAAATAGCTTTAAAACTAATTATTACTTTTTTTTAGGTTAAAATTACTCCGGGCCTTTTTTTTTTAATTATATAACTTTTTTATATAATTATTAATTTTATTTTTACTAAGCGCTTGTTTTTTGCTATAAATTTTATAAAAAATAAGTAATAATCTTATCTTTAGGTAGCAAAAATAAAAAAGCTAGTATATATTTATATAAATACGCGCGCTTTAAAACTAAAGCCTATTAATATAAAAAAAAAAAATAAGGCTAAAACGCTAAAGTATAAGTTTACTTAGTTAAAAAAAAAAAAAAATAGCCTGTAACTAGTTACTTTATAAAAACCTTATAATTTAAAAGATTTTAAGCAATACCTATATTATTAATAAATTACTTAATTAAAATAACATAAAAAAAAAATATTACATAGCTAAAATAATAAGATTAGCTAAGGTTAATAAAGCGCTATAAAGTAATAAGCATAATATTATTAATACTTTTTATATGGTTAATAAATTTAACTAAAGCGCTTTAAAAAGTACTTTAAAAAGCGCTGTAAAAAGCGCTGCAAAACATATTTTAAAACTTTTTAAAAAGTATTAATTTTTATATATAAATTAAAAAAAATTTATTTTTTTTATAAATTTACAGTATGCCTTTTAAAATAGGACTAGTTTTTACATGCCCTATAGCTACTAAGCCTTTTATAGTATGCCAAGTGCTAATTTAATAGCCTTGCTTTGCTGTGACTATCACACTTGTTATTTAGGTGGTCACAGACAGTCAGACATATGTCGGATCCCACCCCTAGTCATGACAACATTCAGGCACTCGCATTTACAGGTTTCTATTTTTTTTATCTGAAATCTCACATCAGTATCACTGCCCTGATTGCTCATCTCGCGTCGCAAAAGAATTTCTCCTTCTGGTATCCCCTTACCCCCTCGGCACATTCCGGTCCACACAGCATCGAACTAATGGTCAACCGCGGGCCCTCCGGAGGGTGTGCAACATGCAGACAGCGACGCGTCAAATGTGACGAAGGGAAACCAGAATGCCGGACATGTGGCCGTCTCAAGCTACGCTGCGGAGGCTACAGGACGCAGTCTGCCTCTACCAATCACAAGTTCAAGTTCAGAGACCAGACTCACAAATTCAAGAGACCTGCAGGTGCTTCCGTACAGCGAACAGTGAAACCCAAATGCCTGCCTCAAGCCAGCCCTACCCTACACTCGCTATCTGCACCCGATACAGCCGTTCCGTTCTTCTTGCTCCATTACGCTCTCACCGGCCGGGACATGGAATCAGCGCGTGGATTCTACGAGATCCTGGTCCCGGAGTACGCCGCACAGCCGGCGGACTCGGCTCTATGCCTTGCGGTGTCAGCCCTGGCTTCAGAAACCCTGTCTTTGTGGCGGCGCGGTGCTGGCCTCCGCTCAGCCGAAGCATCCTACACCCAAGCGCTCGCGTGTCTTCGGCGTACCGTCTCGAACGCTACAGAACGTGGTAAAACAGCAACCCTACTGACAGCGCTCGCTCTGCAGATGTACGAGAATGTAGCCGCTATATACGGCCTCCGCTCGGGCGCTACACGAATCCACCACGACGGGGCAGTCTCCCTCCTCTCCTTTGCGGCGCCCAGTCACACGAACAAGATAAGCGCGTATGTTCGGAGATATATCCTCCACTCTGAAGTCTCCTCGGCCCTCCGCCAGAAAAGATCATTGCGGAGCAATGCGTACTCGTTGATCGCTACCCAAGACCAAGATCTCCTCGCTGCGCCGGATAACCCCAGCTCAACGCTCGATCTCATCGGGACGGCCGTGGCTGAGCTGCAGGCTCGTTACGACCTCGCAAGCCAAGATTGCACCGCGCTCCTGTCCCAGCACCTCAGAGAAAAGTGGCATGCAGAGGCGAATCGCCTCGACGAACAGCTCTTATCATGGGCCCAGAGCGTTCCATCCCATTGGCAGCCAGTAAGGCTCACTGGCAGCGAAATAGACCCCTCAATCCCCACCTACAATCTAACCTGCGAGATCTACCCCTCGTGTCAAATCGCAAACGTGTGGAACCTGTGGCGCTGCCAGCGGCTTATCCTGGCTAAAATCACTCTCACCTCACTCACTGCTGTATTCCACCGCGAGCCAGGTGATCAGCTCAACCTCGTCAAATCTAAACAACCCCTCCAGGACCTCGTCGATTCGCTCTGCTACAGCGTGCCCTTCTACCTGGGTAATCGGATGAAACCCTCAAGCATGCGCGATTTCACCGACCCGAGCATTGTATTCCCAACTTCGCCTCCATCGGACCACGCAGGATACCCCGCAATACATCCCGACAACCACAAGCGCCACCTCATCGCCCAAGGCCATTGGCACATCATGAGCCCGCTGGGCTGCTTACTGAGCCTCCTCTCCGAAGACGGGCAAATACTCGCGGGCCATCTGAGAGAGGGACAGGCCGACTGGATTCGCGGACAGTTCCTGCGTGTCGCGACTCTGCTTCGGCTTCGAGATGAGGGGTCTGGTGGAGTGGAAGGACGGCGCTTGTCGAACTCGCCCTTGTCTAGCAGCGGGACGCCGGATCTTAAGGCGGAGTCTTTGGCGAAGAGCGTTAGGAGGGCGGCTGTCTTTCTGAGCGGGCCTTGAATGCGGTAGGTCGTTCCTTTCTAGGTCACGGAACTGGGGAGAGGATTCTTGGTTACCGCCCCGTAGTCGGGCAGCATGGATCTCGGGGGGTTGCTTACGTCTGTCCTTCAGGGTAATTGGATTTATCCCATGCATATCTTACCATCTCGACGCGACGGCTTTTTTGGGAGGCGAAGTTCTAGTTAAGGTCTACTGGTAATAGATCAGAGACAACTGAGAATTATGTTTGAAGATACGGCCATTCATAGCCCGGGTGGCATTTTTTTTATGTGTTAAACTTCACGGGAGCTCACTTTCTATCTAAGTTGTAGAATATGATAAATGGAACAATGGAATAAAGGTACATGAGGATGATCCCACGTGGAGACCACATAAATAACAGAGATTTGTGATACATTGGATATCCATTAACCTTACCCACAGAATCCAGACCAAAGATGCCCGAGAAAGACAGAAAAAAAGAAAGTTGAGAAATGCCACACCTTCAACGCACCATCTAAAACCAAGAAGGAATTTCCCCCCACCCTTCAAGCCAATGGTCCAGAGTCCCATATTCATGCGCTATTTCCACAGTATCAGGGTGCAAGTCACGGCACATATAAAGGCGTTCGACCTCCAACTCCGCTTTCAAGGCGTTAATGAACCGCGCTTTCCTGAGCTCAAGAGGGCGACCTTGGTCTTCTCGAATAGCGTATCCCAAGACGCGCCATAGGAGGCCGCGGAAGCTTTTTCTCAGCCGCTTGATTGCGCCCCTGCAGCCTCTTGTGTTCCTGGTTCGCGTGTAGCGGCCTAGATACTCCTTGTTCACGGTGTAGGTGGTGCCCGTGAAGATAAGGGGGGCGCCGTGCTTCACGAGCACCGCAGCGACGTCCGTGTTTGCAACGGTCCCGGTCTCACCCGGCAAAGCCCAGATGCGGAAGCGGAAGCTGCGTTTTGTTACGTCGTGCCCGGCCGCGAGGAGGGAGGCGAGCTTTGTGGCGTCGCCGTGGTGGATGGCGTGGTAGCCCTGGAGGATGGTTAGGGTGGTGGCGAGGGGCTCGAAGGGCCGCGGCCAGAGGTTCCAGACGTGGAAGTCATTGCGGCTGAGGCCCCGGGTTTTGATGTACTCGATCTGTGCTTTGAAATCCGTCTCGGTTTGGCCGGGAGCCAGGCGGGTTTCGGGGGTGTTTTCGTCGAAGAGGAGCAGGCGGGGCGCTGCTTTGGTGTTCGTGGTTGCCTCGATCAGTTGCTGGAAAACCTCCGTTTCATCCTGTCCGTTGGCAGCTGCGATGTCCTGCATTTCAGTGATCCAGCGGGAAAGGTTGCAAGGCTTGTTCTTGAAGCTCTTGACTTTGGACTCCAGGTAGCGGATCTTCCACTCTTGAGGGAGGTTCACAAATCGATTATGTTCCCAGCTCACACGATCCCAGATTTGAAGCCCGTGGATTTCTAGACGCTGGCTGGTAATCAAGGCCTTGGTGGCGACTCTGTCCCATTCACCTGGTATTCAGAGAGTCAGCTTATGATTCCTTGAGAAATAGCAACAGATGACGGATGACTTACGGTCCACAAGACGGGCATTGAGGGTATCGCGGTGGGGGTTGCCATCAGCGGCTTGTTCAATGATGTTAGTAAAGACCTCTAGCGGTAGTCTCTCCATGTTGAGACCCTTTTCCGCCTGTCTGATATCAACTATGTGGGAGGAGAGTATGGATGCAGGTGTAGGAAAGGAAGTAGACGTAAGAGGATCGGTGTAGAAGGACGATGAAGGTAAAAGATCAATAGATCCAAAACCTAGCTGCAGATGGAGGAAGGATGGAAAACTAAAGACGAAAGGAATTGAGGGATGACTATATACATGATGTTGCGGGGTTCTGGAGTTGGCAAAAAGGCTTCATTCACCACGGGGAGCCTCTTGGGTAGACGGGTGTCCATTCACTGCATGTCATCGTCACAGGGATTTAGCCCTAATATCGAAGGCCTGGAGCTTTACTTGCTCTGACAACCTGGGAAGTGAATGAAACTGGCTAGAGATGCTCCCCAACTTCTCCTGGCCAAGTATAAAATATCGAACAACCTCCATCGTAACCATCACACTTACCATCAACAACATCCTTCCTTCTTCTCCCTTAACCAGCTACATTCTCAATTCGAAACTATCAGTTTGCTCACGTACCTACACTATGGACAAACTCCCCCTTGAGGTGTTCCACAGCATCATCGAGTACGCCGTCGAAGACAATCCTCTTCAGGACACTTTCGGCGCCCGCCTTGTCAACCGTAAGTCATCCGCCCTTGTTAGCTTTCTTCGCTTTGACATTAGTACGGAAGGCTGACCGTCTGTTTTACTTACTAGGGCACTGGAACGACGTCGTAACCAAAGAGCTGATCCGTAGTCCCCGCCTGGAGGGCAGGGAGGGCTTGCACCTGGAGTTCGATGAAAGGAATGTGAGCGCCAACTATTCCTGGGCAAGCTTTCCATACCGCCTGAAGATGCTCTACCTCATGCATAGGGTCAAGCACCACGAAAAAAACCCCTGCCACTTCACCACCTGGATGCAAGAGATGCGCCAGTTCGCTGAGGCGTGGGACGGGGATGACGAGGAAAACTGGCAAAAGACCCTGCTCAAGCTCCTGGACATAGCAACCGCCAGCAACGCGGGGACTCGCTTTCTGTACCATCTCAGCCCTGACTCGCCCGAGCTTGAGCCCATCGAGATCACCCCATATCGCAACATACCCAACCTCCACTGGGTGAAGCCGTTTGAGCCGCTTGAGAAGACATTCAAGATCATGTTGGCCTTCCACGCAATCCATCACGGGAATACTAGAGATCTTTTCCGCCTCCTCAGGGAAGGCCATGACCTCACAGCGCGAAGCACACGGTTCCGGCTTTCTGCACTGGGCGACAATGCCACAGTCAATGCTGTTGCAAGTGAGGAGATCGCCGACATCCTCTGCAAATTCGGCGGGCCCTTCCGTCTCTGCTCTTGCGGATCTAGTTACGTATTTTTCGAGTCCACTTCCCTCGACGCGATGATCGACAGCGGGAATCGGAAGAAGTTGGAGCGGCGGTTGAAAACCCTCCACACGCGGTTTCGGGGCTTCCTTCCTGCTGTGTTGAAAGGGGCTCGGCGCCGTGCAGAGGAGAATTATATCCGCGCGAAAGTCGCGGACGCCGATGATTCCCAGGCGGAGCAACTGGCCCGATGGCTGGACACTGACAATTACCTTGCGGCCGAGATGACCAAGATCAGGCACGAGATCCGTGATGCCGTCATCGAGGATATATCGAGATTTCAGGACTATTACCGTCGCGATCATCCCGCTGCGGTCCGGGATGCTGAGTACGACACGGGGTTCAGTTTCGTGTGATTTTCCTCTTTTCTCTCATCCTGTCATGGTTTAACGGGGATTCCGTCTACAGTAAACTAAATCAGCATGTATTGGAGTTTGGAGTAACTTGGAAATGAAAGCAATAATAAGCAGTTAGTCCATTGTAGCATTTGTACGTCAATATACTTGATTCCTCATCAGCTGGTAAAGATGAACACTGTAGAGAACTTTGTGCTCTAGACTCTGAACAGAGAGCCCTGACTTTGTTAAAGAAGATACACGATGGGCTAAATGCGGTTTTTGACTGTAGCATCAACAGTGAGAGAGGGGTTCACAAGGAAACAGTGGATGCAGGTGGTTGAAAGACACTGCCTTTCTTGGTGTCCTTTGTTCCTTCTACCGCAGGCACGAAAACCCAGAACCACCCAGCGTACAAGTGCTACGCGCCAGTAAACACCTAAAACAACCGCGAGAACTAGCTAAAAAGTGCCCTAAAATACTTACCTATATTTATAAAAAAAAGGTACTACGTGCTAAATAACACCGCCTAGTATAAAGCTAAAATATGCTATAGCTTATAATAAATAATATTAAAATCCTAAATATATATTAAAAATTAATTACTTATAAAATAATTAATTACTTAGTTATATTAATTCCTACCTTAAATTATATAATTAACAGGGATTTTAATACTACTTATAATACCTTTAAGCTTAAAGTAAATAACCTATATTATAATAATAAGATTACTAGATAAGCTAGTAATAATAATATTAATTATATTAATAAACTAAGCATGGCTATATATAAGGCTAATTATATTTTTAATTTAACCTTTTTAAATATTTTTTTACTTACATGCTAGTAATACCCAAGCTATATAATAACTTTAATTATTAAATTTTAATTATTATAGTACCAGGGCGCGGGGAAAAAATACTAAAATAATATTATTATAATATACTAAATTATAAGTTAAAATACCTAGCTAAACTTATTAAAAATAAAATAATATTTTTATTTTAACCTAAAAAGCTTAAAAGTATAAAAATATTAAATTAATATACTAAGTCCCTTAATAATATTATTATAAAAATTATATAAATTATAAATAAATATTTTAACCCGGGAAGCCATGGTGCTCCCTAGTAATTAAATAAGTATATAAAAAATTATTATGCCTAGGTGGTAAATCCTACCCTAAAATAAAAAAAATAGTTTTTAACTATAGTTTATAAAACTAAGCACGTGTATTAAACTAAAATAATTAATAATATTAAAAATAATTAAAAATTATATTAAATAATAACTTAGTATAAGTTAAAGCCTAAGCTTAAAGCTTTTTTATTATTAACTAATAATAAAATAATTAAAAACACGCGGGAAAAGGCTAATATTTTATAAAAAATAGTATTAAAATAATTTAATATAAATAATAATTTAGACTTTAATCCCCTAGTATTAAAATACTAGTAAAAAAATAAGTACTTATACTAGCTAAAAAAAATCTTGCTAAAAAAAATTAAAAAAAATATTATTAATATAAGTAGTATTTCTCCTAAAGTAAACTAAGTAACTATTTATATTTTAAAGGCTTATTAAAAATATATTAGGCAGGCTATTTACAGGCTATATAATTAATTTTTATAATTAAAATACTTTTTTTTATTATAAAAGCTCGCGGAGGTAGTAATATTTTTAAAAAATAATAAAAAAAATAAGTTTTTACTTTAATCCTAGCGCCCTATAGCACTATTTTTAATATTAAAAAAAATTTAAATAAATTATAACATGCTATATTACTTTTATTACACTAGTATAAAATATATTAAGCTTATAATAATATAATACTTTACTTAAGTACTTAATTATAAACTTAATAACCTTTTTTATTTATAATATTAAAATAATACTTTTATAAATCTAGGAGATTATTATAGTTACTATAAATATTTTAAGTACCTTTAATATTATTTTACTATAATACTTACTTTAATAAATAATAAAGTAAGGCTAGCCTCGCGTGCTTTTAATTTTAATTATAAGTTTTTTTAATAAATAAAATATAAAAATATACCTAAAATTTATTATAATAATAATATACTTAGTATATTATAGCACGCCACAAGGCTTGCCCCTTTTTTTAATATTATTTTTATTATATATAGCTAAATTATTACTAGTAAACTTAATTTTATACTTTAATTATATAAATAACTTTTGCCTTAACCGCGCGAGTAACTTTTTTTATATAAATTATAAATACTTAATAAAAAATATTTATGGCATGCTAGCCTAAAAAAAATAAAATAAAATAACTTTTATACCTAAAAAACTAAAAATATTATATATTACCTAAAAATAGCACGGTAAGTTATTATTACTAGTAATTAATAATTAGTTAATAATTACCCTTATTATTATAGCACTAGGCTAAAAATAGCCTGTGCTATACTAGCTAAATATTTTTTTTAATAAATAACTTTTTTAGTATTAATATATTATTAAACAGGTAGCTAAAGCCCATGTAATAGCCTAATATATTTATAATTTAATATATATAATATATAATTTATTTATAAATTTACTTTACAAGGTAATTATTATTTATATTATTTTTAATTTTTTATATAATATAAAGGCGTAATATAATAGTAAAACTAAGCCTAAAAAATATATATAAAATTTAAAGGTTAATACTTAACTAAGCTAGTATATTAAAATAATTAAAAAAATATTAGCTTTAGCCACCCGCGGTATACTCCTAGTTTTTTAAATAATATTTATAATAATTTTTTTTTAAAAATACTAAACTTTTTTTTATAATAATAATATTAAAAAAATATAACTATAATTTGCCCTAAGGCTTTAACTAGTAAATAACTAAAATTTATTAATAACATAAGTAATATTACTAAAAATCTTATAAAATTAAGGCGCTAGCTTTTATTAAAGGCTAAAAATTAAGGTATAAATTATAAAAATATTTTTTTAAATACCTTAAAACTAGTCCTAGTATATTTTTATTACTTTTAAAAGTATTTAAAAAACCTTATTAAGGGCAAGGCCAAGAAGCTAGCTATAAAAAAATTTAAATAATAATAATAAATATTATTAATAATAAAAGTGGTAATTTTTAGTAATAAATTTAAATAAATATATTAAAATGTTTATTATATAGGCTATAGCTATATAGTATATTATATATAATATTTTTAAGTATAGAAATTATTAGTAATTAGCGCCTAGTCTTATATTTATAATACTAAGACTATTAATATATTTTAAAAACTAAAAGTAATAATTAAAAAGCTTTTTAGGGCTTTTATTTATTAGCTTTATATAAATAATATTTTAGTAATTTAATATACATGTAAATAATTATTATTATTATTTAATTAGGCTTTTTAAGTGCTATACTAACTTATAAATTAATATATAATTTACTTAAGATGGTCCCCTGGCCATATAAATATTAAAGGTAATAAGCTAGTTAATAAGCTTATTAATAAGGTAGCCTTTATAAAAGCCTAACCTTTAAAACTTAACTTTTTAAAGGCATAGTTTATAATAAGTAAAATATATAGCTTATATAAGTAAATATATTATATTACCTAGGCTAAATAATAAAAAAGCACCTTTATAAAGCTATTTATATAATATAAATAATAACTTATTATAAAATTAAAGCCTTACTAGGTTAAGCTATTATTAAAACTAGTACTAAAATAATTAATTTTATATTTTTAATTTATGCTTAAGTTTTTATATAATAACTTTAAGTAATATTATAAATACTTTTAATATAAAAATATTAGGCTTACTTACTTTTACAGGATAAGTAAAAGCCTTAAATACCTAGTTTTTTATTATTATTTTAAATAATACTTTTTATAATAGCCCTAATATTTTATAATATTATTAATAATTAAGGCTAAGGCCTTAAAGTATTTTTATAAATTAAAGCCTAAAAACTTTATATTATTATTTAGAATTATAAACTTTTATAAGTTTATTTACCCCTGCTAGGGCACCCCGCACCCTAGTATTATTAAAATTACCTAGCTTAATATTAAATAATTTTTTTTTTATTTTATTATATTTTTTTTTTTATTTTAAATACCTTTTTTTAACATAACTAGCTCTAGCTAATATATTTTTTTTATAATAAAGCAGGTTTTTATAACCCTTTATAATTAAAACCCTAAACATGTAATAAATAATACCTGCTAATAACTATATATAAAAATAATATATAAAAAATAGGTGCCTAGCCTATAAGCTTTAAAAGTTACCTTTTAAAATAAAAAGCCTTCCTGTATATAAACTTACTTAAATAAAACTTATTTAAATAAGCCACTTACCCTGCGGCGGCACGCCCCCATACCCCAAGGGAGGTCTAGAACATTAGGCGTACGCCTAGCGATCCCCGGGGCGTTAAATATCACTACTACTACTACTACTACTTTGTTCCTTCTACAATAAGATCGAAATCAGGACACTGGCAACACAGTCTTCTTCAGCTTTGCGTTTTCCTTAGTTCTCTTCTGGGTACATGGAAAGACGACCTGAACCTTTCCAGTTGAACATTCCAGCGTCAACATCATGCCATTGCTCTCGTCTTTACTGATAATAACCAACCACTCATCCCCATCCTAAGCCACTCAATCCCACTGGACAATCTCTACCGTCACCAGAGACAATTCCACCGTCTGTGCCCTCAAATCCCCATGGAATCCGATTTCTATACCATTTATGTCCAAGCCTCCGCACATTTCTCGAGAGCGATCTTACCTCCGCCTCTTACTATAGACATGCTAGCTTCAGCTCTTCAACTACATTAGTCTGCGAGGGATCAATGCCAAAGTCTGCGCGGAATATTGCGTCTTCGTTTCACACCTGATCAGGTGCGTTCCTACGCCAGCGCGATGAAGAGTTAGTTTCCTCGAGTAGGTCTAAGAATCTCATTGCTACGGTACTACGTATTCGAAATGAACCCCGTCTGTACTCGTTGGATCAATGAGTCTTGTTTTGACTCTTGCTAAACTTCGTCCGCGCCTCTTTGCGCCCGAAGGAGTGATCAGTACCACGCGGCAGGAAACGGTTCTAATCCTGCCGGTTTCTGTCGTAGCGGTAGATGGGCTGGCGAGTTGACCACTCGATGAGTTGAATTGGCCGAGGGAAATCAGTTAATGTCTTGGTGATGCTCCAGAAAGTGAGTGCAGAGTTCTCGTCCTCAGGCAAGAGGCGCCCCGTGACCTCATACTCGAGCAGCGTCGAAATCGATTCACTGAAAGGTGGAGTCCAGGAGCACCCGCTCGTCCCTTCACCAGCGGGCTCGTTCTTTGGTGAAGGGCTCCCAGCACCCGCTCCTGGGCTCGTTCTCCTCCAGTATAAGTTCATCGTCTCTCTCGCCCCAACAGGCCTTCCTCCATCTCCTCTACAACTTTCTTTCTTCGTCTTCATTCCCTAACCGCCTTCTTGGACTTCTTGGTTCTCTGATTGCACCTCTTACAAGCTATTGCTACAGCTATTTGTCGTAGTCATCGTTATTCAGGCACGATGGCCGGCATACAACCCAATCCGCTCCCCAACCTCCCCAAGGAGATTCATTACATGATCCTTGAGAACTATGTCAACATGTCCTCGCGCCAAGATGCTCTGATTCCTCGTCTCGTTAGCCGTATGTCTCCTATCCATGTACTGCCCATGATCCAAGCTAACTGGCTGTTTACAAATAGGCCACTTTGAGGAAGAGACCACGCGACTTATCTGCCACCGCATCCAGGGCGAAGCGACAGTGATCTTTACGGAAAACCGCCAGCCGGAACGCGACGTCTTTGGACGGCAGATCGGGCGCAGTATCGTAGTCCCTACTTGGGCACGTGCATCAAAGGAGCTGAAAAAACGTTTCTTGAAGACGTTCTACGAACGCATCAGCCTCCAGAAAAGCTACTTCAAGACCTTCATGGATGATATGTTGGACCTTGTCGCACCCGATCGTCGAGAAGAACTGCTCCCCGGCTCCTCGACTCTGTCGCTCATGGTACCTGGAAAGCGACGGACTTCCTCGTCTCTACCACCGTTATCGAAAACTACTTGCCTGACCGGGATGAGGTGAGGGACTTGCATGCGCGTTGGGGCCAAGAGACAATCTATCAGACTTTGCATGCCCTTCTTGCCGATTACGCCCTGCGTCATGAGGATATCACCGAGTTGAAGTTTGAGCTCGCACACATCTGGGGCGCCCCTGTGCTTGGCTCAACCAAGTTTGGTATCAACCTGCTCGAGGTTGCACTGTCCTTGGGAAAGATCAACATGGCTCGGTCCATGGTGCCTTTGGTCCGAACAGAATTGTTTGAACAACTCTACAACGGAAACCTGTGGCGCACTGCGCACGAGCAAGCCGTTTTCAATGGTGATCACGATGCTCTTGCGGTGATGATCGTTTTCGCCGGAGCCACAACCCAGCAAAACGCAACGCTGGTGGTGCGCAGTGCCTTCAATTGGGCTACAATGGGAATGGTATTGGAGCTCAGCGACACCACCGCACAGTGGCTTCTGGAAAATTACTCGGCTCACCTCGACGCAGGGGACATGTATCACGCCCTATGGCAAGCAGTCAAAAACAGAAAGGCCCTCCTTGTCCATATGCTGCTTTGCTCTGACGCTTTTGACCCAAGCTTCCACCCTGAAGGTCCCGCCCCTCCTCGCCGTGATCACCTCTCCAACTTGATGACCGTAGATCCAGAGCTGCAGGGCTGGGCAGGCCAACGCACCAACATCCTCAAGCACTTCCTCTACCGCGGTGTGCACTCCGGCATTGACACGGCGTTGTTCAAGGCCATTGAACAGGACGACACGGAAGCTTTCGAACTGATGCTCGACTACAACCAGGCAATCTCCGATGGATCCCAGGCGAACGACTGGACCATCGAAGGCCGTCTAACCAAGGACCTCCTTGTAGCGGCCATCTACTTCGGTCATAGCAAGCTGGTCGAGATGTTGCTCGCCAGGGGCGTTGATCGCAGGTTCGGCCATCCCCGCAAACGCTTCATGGTCGAGAGTATTGCCCCCAACACCGTCTCCTATCTGGACTTCCTCTTCCTGCTGGATCGCACTATCCCTGAAGAAATACCGGGTTGCAAGGCTGTACCCAGTGCACTGGAGTGGCGACTTAGCTCTCTGTCTACCACGCAACGAATGACCGGCATCCAGGACAAATACGGCCTTCTTTCTGGAGTTGATGTCCTTGTGTGCCGCACCGTTCGTGTCTCATACACTATCCATGAGCTAATGTAATGGTTCATTGCAGAGAGAAATGGACCCTTGATGGGTATGAACGCTGGCTCTATGGATCCTCTGCACAGGAACAAGAAGTGTTAGACCTTGCTGATGCAAATTAAATGTTGCGAATCTACCAACCATCTGTGTTCCTGTCATTAATCTCTTTTGTTATCTTTTTGTTTTTATTCGTTACAGTTTCAATTATTCACGTACTTAGGCACACAAATTGGAATAGCAAGATAGCCTAATATGTCATGCAAGTATCACACAGTCAAACAATGTATGTTAAAAACAGCTCTAATAAACTATATCTTTGTTTAGAAGACCCTCTTCAATATTCCTTGTACTCCTTCTCACTCTGAGCACATCCAACATCACAGTCCCTATATATTCTACGTAACTCACGTGCACAGATAAAGCGCACGTCCACCTATATAAGTAACAACAACCCCTGTTATCATCGCCCATTTTAGAATAATGGACCAAAAGCGCTGCCTCGGGGTAAGATTTGATCTAACAAACATTGCCCAAACCTGGTCCTCTTCTGGGCAGGCTTTCCTTGGAACTAACCGAAATCATAGCCAAATTCATCCTAGCGGAGATTCCAGATCGATATTCGAACCTTGGGTGGATTACCTGGTTCAGCAAGCGAGGATGTCGACATAGGTTCTATTGGAGGCCGCGTTGGAAGACGAGTCTGAACTTCTAATCCATATAGATTGGCCGTGAGATAGTAATGGATGGTGTCCCGACTCTTTATCTCCTTTGCGTTGTTCGTCGATTTTCTCCGTGTGGTAGGGCATACAATCAACGTGGATGTATATGTTTTGATTGAGGGATTACGCAAAAAGAGGAATTTCACTGGATCGAATTGTATCGGAGGAAGGCCGTTAAAGATCGAAGGCTTAGCATAAGGTCGAAGCTAGGGTTGTATCGAGGCTTAAAAATGCCCCCGCTCCCCGTGAGATGCCCTTACGCTTCTTCGAAGCGCCTGGGGGCTTTTAAACTCATCCATGCCCGACTCTCATTCCCCATTCGTTTCGCGACATATCTTAGCTCCAGTTTTGGGAATGCTCAGTCAAACTCCCTCCAGCTGTGCGCAAGAATCGCCACATAAGTGATTGTCACCGTCCACTACTCATCCTTGTATTCATAGCTTTTCTCCGCCCCGAGTCAAATGTCGTTATGAACCTCCAATGAGAAAGGGGAAGGCCATGGGAAAAGCGGCCTGCATATATACGCAGAGACATGGGATGGTTCGTTGAAGCAAATCCATCTTGATCTGGATAGAGATGGCGAAATCAGTGAACCAACACGCAGCGAGAAAGACAGTGCTTAACATACCTAGGGCCTTGCGCGTTGTTTGTCTATCCTTGTCAGTCAGTCAGTGGGAGAGCGGGGTTGAAGGGCCTGGGATCTTGTCGCGTATCTTAAAGATGCACCTGGGAGCAGCCCGCTAGATTCGTCTCAGCAACCGCAAAAGAAGCAAAAGGACGTTTCCTCCGGCTGGAGACTAAAAGCTCTAATGAGATTTAGTTCGGTTTGTGCAAGAAGGGGCTGCATTTATCTTAAGGAACCCTAACACCTTGTACCTATTTTGTATCACGTACTAACACCGCTGGAATTAGACACTGGGCTGGGGCTGGCGTACGGAATAAGGCCTAAGTGGAAGTTGAACTGCTCGAAAGCGAACTAGAAGGTTTAAATGGAAGGTAAATGGTTAATGCAAGAACCTCGTGATTAGGTCCTGGGACATTAGACAAACTGCGAGAGAAGCAGTGGGATTATTCGCTGGCTAATAAAGGGGCATGTGCTCGGTAAATACAAATCCGTTGTTAGGGATTCACCTCTCGGATTAGAACAAGGCTAAAGAATTAGAAATGGTATTCGGTCCGGTGCAAGATTAGAACCTTGGAAACAACGAAGCTGGATAGGGCTGCAGTTCTCATTATAATACCCTATCTCAGGGAAGTCGAATCTTGAATGGTAAAGAGAGTAACAGGGAACGGCATCTGGTGGAAAAAGAGCGTCGACTACTATTCCCGTCATATAAACAGAGCATCATTTAACGATGGTTCAGGGGAATCCTGATACTGACTCCGGCATATTCGGACACCCCCGATTAACAAAACAAGGTTAAAGCTTAGGCGCATCGGGGAGAAGGGTAGATAGAAAATACAACGCAACGGTGGGCATTCATGGGGCGGATGATGATTGCTAGCTCTACGGCCAGCGAGGGCGAATACTATTACCATGCGATGTGATTGTCAAACGGCTGGGATAGCGGCGATACTTAGGAAGGGGAAATAACTTCCTATTAACCATTAAGGGTAAAGTATAAGGAGAATGCACGCTTAATTTGCCTGTGTTTATTACTTTTAGCCAGCATGAAGGATAAATGCATGCTTCATGTGCAGAGTTGCATACAGCTTTACTGCACTGCACTACCTTTCACGAGAAATAAGACATGGACTTACGCCTTTATATGCTGAAGAATAGTCTCTTTACTATTATTTAACTAACTCTTGGTATTGTAAGTTAGACCTTATTCTGGAGCGAAGATACAGGATCCTTTGTACCAACAAATAACAGCCGTAGACAAGAAAGAAACATGTAACGCGAGACGTGGAGCTGGGAAGGAATGGGTAGGTGTGATAAAGAACATTTAGATAGGGACGTGATTGATGAACGTGCAGAGACCAACAAGTAAACCAAGAGAGGCGACTAGACATGAAAACAAAGGAAAACAGACAAGGGAGCAAATAACAATTTACTGGCCCTGGTCCGACAAGAGACGATAGCGAACCTGGACAGTGTGCACCTCCTCTCCAGAGAGATGGCCTTGAACACCATACATAGTCCGATACTGCTTTTGGTATCGACCCCAGATGTTCATCGGCACATTGCCCTGAGCCCTATCCTTCTCGACGCGCTTGACATGCTTGTTGTATTTCTCAACGCCAGGATAGAACATCAAGAGGACCTGCCAGAGGTAAGAAGGATCATCGTCGTCCTGCCCTTGGGTCAACTGCACGACGAAACTCGCTTTGCGCGAAGAGATCACTGGGTCTGCGCCTTTGCTTAGTGCCAGCTCAACGGCGCCGCTGTTGCCGAGAATCACGGCGGCTTTCAGCAATTTCCTCAGTGCCAACGTGCTCCCCTCGGCTGATACCGCTTGGCCGACCTCAAACGATGCCCCGTTATCAAGCAGGACAGAAGCGAACTCTAGGTTGTTGGCGAGCAGAGCGTCCTTCAGGGGTGGAGGGCTGGCAGCCACCTTTCCACGCCCCAGGAGAGGACCGTTGGGATTGACTCCGCGGTCGATCAGTGTCTCGACCAGATCGCGTCTGCCGGCGTTCATCGCTAATGGCAGCAGTTCGCGCACGTATTTCTCGCTTGCGTTGCTCGGATCGAATTCTGTACTCGCCAGAAAGCTATTGACTTTGGTCATGTCCGCTGACCGTAAAGCTTCTTGGAACTCACGGTGCCTCGATTGGTTTGCTTTGATGACCTTGGCCAGACCTTGGAGGAGCGTCTTCAGTATGCCAGTGAGCGTATCTGGTTTTTCAAATCCTGTTGTGGCCTCAACGAGCAGATAGCTGATTTTCTCTCCCACGTCTCCATCAGTGCGTTTAAGTAGGTCTATGAATACCTTGACGGCCTTTTTATTCCCATGAGCCAAAGCCACCTGCACAAGAGCATACTCTCTAGGATTCGGAGGACGCAGATAGATATATTGATAGATGAGGCCCCGGTATGCGCCACCGAATTGGTGGGCCAGGATATTGCACTTGAAACTGGGATGGCGGCTTCCAAGCGAATTCCAAGTAGCCCAGAGCCTTGCATTGTTGCTGGGACGATCCGAGTGTTCGGCTGGTACAAGTAACAGGTCGGTCGGCGTGATAAGGGGAAGAATCATGTTAACCATCCGTTTACGCCCAAACTTGGCTACCTCATCCAGGACCGAGAGTCCAAAGCGATGCGTGACCAGATTGTATCCACACCGACGAAGCATACGGCGGAACTCAGAGACATCTCCATGGTGGATGGCGCGGCAGGCGAGAAGAACCCAGAACGTTGACTCGAGTGTCTGTCTTCTCCAAGCCTGGTGCCAGCGTCCTGCCTCCAAATGCTGTTCAAACCCGGGTGAGGTGAAGAAATACTCTTCATATGGCCAAACCGTCAGCGAGGAAGCTCGAGTTAGAAACCGAGGATGTGTCTCTGGATCGATGGGCGGAGCGGTCAGGTTCTGGAGCTTACACTCCCCAAAGGAGATGGCGTCGAGAAGCTTGCTCTTTGTGTCCTCCCTATCTGGGTACGGGCTGAGATTGAGCATCCCATCCATGAACTTGGCGAGATTGCTGGCATTCGGATCAGGTCCAAGGATTTTGTCAAGGTAGATGCGTCTCAGGCGGATTGGAAGGCGTGCCCAGGAAAAGGGATTCATGTTGAGTCTTCCGAGCAGACGTTTCTCAACCTCGTCACGAAATGTCCCTAGAAGAGAGGACAATATTAGCTTGTGTTATCCATTGGTGTTTGAACAGGAGGCCGTACTATTAACTTGACGCAGGCGTAGAACATGGTCCATGTCGCCCATGGGGTTCATATCCTCAACGCTGCAGCGGATGATGTTGAATATCATCTCCAGAGGGAGGGAGGGATTGGTACTGGACGCCATTGTACCTTGGGCAAAGCACAGGCCGACCAGTAACAACTAATAGAGGAGAGAAAGCAGACAGCAACTTTGTCAGATGAGATTCAAGTGCGACAGCGAACAGAAAGAGCAACAGGGAGCAGTTGAAGAATAAGAAAAAACAGCAAAGAGGGGAAACAGGGCGGGGGCTTATAGCTTTCCTGGGCTGAAGACCATGACTAGCAGTAACACATCCATTAACTGCTTCATTCACTGCTTCATTCACTGCGGCAGGTAGGGTATCCACTCTACTCTTCACTAAAAATCACAAAAAGACCCCAACCACCAACATGATTCTACACTGGCAAATGTCAAAATGAACCCTGAGTAAGTCTCAAGCATATAGGCCTAAGAGTATAGTTTCTAAAGAGCACTACCCCTATTCTAGCGTCTATACCAAGACAACCAGCGTGTAAAAGAGCCTTAATGCTGCTTTAAGGGTGCAGGTGCTGTTGTGTTATGCCCTAATTAGGTTTAGCGGCTGGCTCACCCCCCTGCACCTCCCACTTTGCGCTCTGCACACTCACCAAAATTGCAGGGCAAGGTTGTAACATGCTAAGAACTTCCGTTAGTATGCAAAAGCCTTGTATTAATGTCTGTGCCTGTTGCAGTTGGAGTGCCTGTTGGCCTCCACGACCGCCGCCATCCCCAGCTGCGCAGGAGGCATCCACGGCCACCCATGCCCACTCGACGACTCCATTCTCGACTTGCTCATGATTGAAGATCTCAAAAACTGTGTGGTCTGCATTAGAAAAATTATTCGGAAACTCCTAGTTGTTGCGAGCACCTGCACCATTCTCATCTGGGAGAACACTGTCTTCTCTCCGCTGGCGGCGAAAGTAAGATGCTAGGAGGATTTGACAGATCCCCGTCGTGTGAATAGGGCCTCCACAATTCTAGGCTCTTGGCTGGGGTTCAGCTTTTATTTTCCTCGCTAGTGATTCCGGCAAGGGCCTCAAGAGCTGGGAACTTTGGGAGTCATTCCTCTCGGAGCTGCTTCTGGCCGATGATCTTCCCTGCAAAATGAACAGAGACTTATCGTATGTCATTAGCCGACAGCCTGAACTGTTTTCCTGTGGATTGTGATCGACTACATGAGACGTCCAGCAACATGCTATGAGACGTCCTGACTAGGCCGGTCAATTCAGGTATGCCATTGTTTCCTTCCCCTCGACCCAACCCCAACAAGATCCATCTTCGATCCTTAGCTGACAAAAGCTGCAGCCTGAACTAGAGAAATCGATTTCCAACCCTCTACCTCCTTTCCCGATTTCCCAGTTCAAGTAACACGTCCCCGACCGAGACTGCTATCGACCAGACTTCCAAGTCCCTTATGGCGGCCGTCGCTGGAACGATACAATGAGTCTGCAGGGAATCTATCTAAAGACTAAGGTTGCCGAACAAACCTCTCCTCATGCTCTTCCGGTCAAGACTAAATCTAGTTTCAAGCTACCGCATTTCCACCGCCGTGCTCGAAGAGATCCATTATTCTGGCAGAGAGAGTCCGCCTTGCGTATGGCGTTTGCAAGCGTTGACTAGGTAATTGATCCAGGTGCGGAGTTGGAAGCTGAGTCTGTCAGGGCATAGTCAAACCCGCTTCTTCAACCTGGCTTTTCTCTCCGTCTCTTTGTTCCTGGACGCTGTATTGATAGACAGCTTATACCCTCCTGGCCGCGGACGTTGGTCATTGAGTTAGGGCTCGATCGATGTGGGGCTGGGCGTGGACCAGCTGTGGGCACTGGGCAGTGTCTCGGCATCCAGGCTTGGCGACTGGAAGGTTCATTCGGGCCAGCTCTAGGGCCTTAGGGTTGTGTTGGCTTGCTGCCTCGGATCTGAGTTCATGGTCTACTGGGGTACGATAATAGGCTATTAGTCTCGAGCTAGATGGTTCATTGCCAATGGCATTGATCAGCGGCTGACGAAAGGCGGCCATGCTATTGTATCACTAGCATATTAGGCCTCGTCGTTTTCTAGATTGCGCTAAATCCAAGAACTTAGATTCCTACTATGACTCAAGTCCTAAACCTTGTGAGCAGATAGCTTCCCCCTCAAAAATCGCCATGCCCAAAACGCATCCACGATCAGAATCTCGCCAAAGCTGAACACTAAGCTCCCACCAAACACCAGGCTGTGGTATGTCCATGCATTATCCGCGTCCAAGTGTGCTACCTGGCATACGATTGCCCAGGGAAGAACATAGAAGAGATTCGAGATGAGGGATTGGCCTAGGTACCATGACGTCCGGGTCGCGAGGAGGATGGCGGCGAGTTGGGTCGAGATTCCGTAGAGAATGTAGCACCTGCATAGCTGGTTAGATATTTCGAGACCTGGCGAGGCAGAACGTACCAGTCGATAGTATGCCACATGTGCGTCACGATGTCTGATACCCGCTCCGATTGACTGAGCCAGAAGGCGAAGCGCTCGCAGCCGAATAGCGACATGAATATCAGGAGCGGGATTTCAATCACCAGAACAATGGCGACGGAGAGAATCGCGGGCCGGATGACCGCTTTTTATGATTAGCATCTAGATCTTGATGGATCACGATAGAAGACGGCTCGGGGTTCCGTACTGCAAAGAGTTTGTCCATGACCGGCGACGTCCATCTTCCTTCTGTTTCAGCTGGCCCCAGGCATGACCGACGAAAGCTAGAGTCGTTGCTTCCAGGGCTTGGATCGGCACCATGATCAGTCCCCAGCGGATAGTTGAGAAGACTCCCCATGCGGTAGCATAGTCCGCGGACATGGCGACGACTCCGGAGACGAGCCAGAGATAGAGCGCATTTCGAACAGCCGATTCAATGAATGTAAAAGACCCTGGTTTGAGTAGAACGAGGAATGCAGCCACAGTGGGCATCTCGCTTTTCCAGTGCAGCCGACGCCCAATTCGCTCTATGCTTGTAGTGCCGAAAAAGTACAGCAATCCAGCAGCAGCAGCAACGAGATCGCAAGTTAGGCGAATACCAGCCTGTACGTTAATATCCGGCGTCCAGCTGCCGACGTGAAACTTGGAGATGATGAGCAAGTCAAGGATGATGTTGATCGCGATTTTGACGGAGCTGATGAAGAAGGGGACGTCCGGTTTATCGAGAGCGCGCGTGGCGTTGGAAACTGCGACTTCGATGGCGGAGCTGAAGGCCGAGAAGGCGCTGATTCGAACGTACGTGATGCTGGCTTCGCGCACGTCGTGGGGCACAAACGCCGCGGAGAATGATCTGGCTGCGGCTGCAAAGGCAATGCTCATGATCAGGCCGAGGATCGACTGGAAGACAAGGAGGGTATGGGCAAGCCCGAGGCGTGCTTTGAACGAGCGAGCCTCTTTGTCTGCAATTGTAACCCACACTGCCCGTGGAAGGCCTTCGTTCAGCACCTCCGCCACTGTCCCGATGTAGGTGTAGACGTCGGTCGTAACGACCAGGGAGGAGTCGATGTTGGCGATCCATATCTTCACGAGAGTACTGTATAGAGCTGGAAGGATAAACGCTGCTACGTTGAAAAGAAGGGCGCCGGTGTAGCTGAAGAATCAGAGATCAGTGTGTTACCGTACTCGTGTTGAGCGCTCACCTTGAACGATGCCACCATCCATCACCCACTGTCCATTTCAGCGACCATAAATTATCCGTTTGAGGCTCTTGGGCTGCACCAGTATCGGTGTCCTCTCTCGCTAGTATTAGTACTCCGCTTTCTTCGACATTTGGTGCCATGGTTGTGCGACCGCGAGATGTGGTTCAGATCGGGTTCCGCAGCTTGTGGGAGTTGAAGGCGCACCCTGGTCGGAATCGACTTCCCCGCTCTCTCTGACCTCGTGCCCGAAAAATAAAGCAAGCGGAAACGACGCAAATACATTGGGTGGATTGATTAATAGATCGTAGATTATAGACGCGCTGGTATTGATGAAAATCAATGAGAGTGGTGAGAGAAGTCTGGTGACCGAGGCAAGGGAACAGTACCTATACTGTGAACAATGTACGATTGACATTCATAAGCGCTACAGAGCCTTCCTTTGGAGCTCTATGCTTGCGATAGATCATGTACTCTCTGTATCCTCTTTCTCCTATGCTCCCTTTTGGGGTTTTTAGTCTGTTGACGTCCCACGAACTTTTCGCGGGTCGTCTATATATATTTACGCTGAGTAGAGAATAAATCTAGGAACAACGCAGATTGGCACCCAGTCCCTAATTTCAACAGGCCCATGTCTAGCTATTACTATCGGATACTTAAAGGCTTTTTCATTCCACATGCTTGAGCTGCATCTCATCGCAGCGGGCGTTGCATTCGCTTTCTTGAAAAACGTCCGGATGCATCTTGCAGCCTCAGGCAGCATTGGTGGGGTAGTGACGCCTCAGGCATAAAGGCACCACCTAGCGGGGTTTGTTGACTGCACTTACGACGCGACGCCGGGATCCTGGAATTGAGTGGAAGCCACGTGTATGGCTGCAGGAACATCTAGATCTTTTCTTTGTTGCTATATTATTTAGAATGAGTATTCCAGGCCATCAACAACGCACAACATATTGCGACAATACGCACAGTCCTCGAGCTCGGGCGCCAAGAATGACGAAGCCAGACCAAACTCCAGACTCGCACCGAAGATCGCGCCCAGATCTGGACCTCGGGACACCACAAATAAACGCACCTTGGTGGCTCACGCCGGAGGCCTGTGGGACGCCGGAAATGGCTGATTGGAATCTCGATTCCGTGCTGCAACGACAAGGTGGTTGGCTGGCTGGCAGGCTGGAGAGCTTGTGGCCGTGGTGAGTGCTGACAAAGGCGGGGTCCTCTGTGCCCCGCACTGAGAATTTATGATATAAGGAGCTCCGTCCCCAACTCTCTCTTCTTCTTTCCTTCCATATTGCTCTGCTCATCCACTCGAGTACCTCAATTCCCGTCACAATGGCCAACGTTTTCTTCGATATCACCGCCGATGGCGGTATGTTTCTCCCAGCTGTTACTGACGCTTTGCGTTTTGCTAATACCCCACCAGCTCCTCTAGGCCGCGTTGAGTTCAAGCTCTTCGACGACGTCGTCCCCAAGACCGCCCGCAACTTCCGTGAGCTTGCTACCGGCCAGCACGGCTTCGGCTACAAGGGCTCCCCCTTCCACCGTGTCATCCCCCAGTTCATGCTCCAGGGTGGTGACTTCACCCGCCAGAACGTGAGTCGCTCGCGACGGAATAAATTGTGGTTCAGGGCGCTAATGTTGTGGGTGCTAGGGTACTGGTGGCAAGTCCATCTACGGTGAGAAGTTCGCCGACGAGAACTTCCAGCTCAAGCACACCAAGCCTTACCAGCTCTCCATGGCCAACGCCGGCCCCAACACCAACGGCTCTCAGTTCTTCATCACCGTTAGTCGCGCAAATCCCGAAACAAATATCAGAAGCTAATACCATGTCTATAGACTGTCAAGACCTCTTGGCTCGATGGTGCCCACGTCGTTTTCGGTGAGGTCGTTTCCGGCCAGGAGGTTGTCGACGCTGTCGAGAAGCTCGGCTCCTCGGGCGGTGCCACCAAGAAGAAGGTCGTCATCTCCAACTCCGGTACCGTCTAAGCGTTTTGAGGAATTTGGTTACCATAATAGTTGAAATGAAGTGAGCTTCCGCGGTGCAGTGTGTTTCTGACACTCTGCATGCATACAATCTCTCTGAGCATTGATACCGTAGGCTGAAAATTTGTTCTATTATCTGTAGTCCTGATTAGTACTCGATTTTCGCCGGCGTTTGCGTTATCTCCGAACACGCAATGACCTGCAGATTTCCCAGCGTATGCGTATTCTCTGTCAGATTGACTCATTGACATCAAACAGGACAAATACCGGCCGAAGCGAACATCTATGCCGAAGCAATTGAGTGAATGCTGAATGAATATTAGGACTAGAACCTGCCAGTCATGGATTCGAGTCAGACAACCTGAATAGGTTTATCCTGGATGGGTCCAGACCAAAGCAGCATGGTGAATCCCAGGATCAAAGTTAGAAACATTGTGAAGAACACCATGCTGACTTGACTGTCTAAGGCAGGAGCAGGCCAGAGCAATGGCGTGATGCAACTCCTGCATGCGCAGGATTTTGCCCGGACCCGGGACCGGCTTTCTCATTGCATATATAAACACAATAAACCAACCGCAGAAAAAAATCACAACCCGCTCCTTTCTTCCTCACTCTCTCGTCTCTTCTTACCTTCTCACCTCAATCCCATACCTCTCAAATCCCAAACAAAATGTCTCCCACTACCTCCGCCATGGTTACCCTCCCACCAGCAACCACTCCCACCGCAACCACCCTCACCGGCCGCACCATCAAGCTGGTCCCCCTAACCCCCGCCCACGCAGACGAGCTCTTCCCCCTCGTGAACAACGCGCACCCCCACCAAACCGCCCTCTGGGAATGGGTGCCCGTCGGCCCCTTCGCCGACCTCCCAGACCTGCGCTCCACCCTAGCAGCCGCAATATCATCCGATGACACCCTCCTCTTCGCGATCCTCGACAGCCGGCCCAACCTCAACACCACCGGCAAGGCAATCGGCTTCATCTCCTACATGGCCATCTCCCCCTCCAACCTGCGCCTCGAAATCGGCCACGTCATCTTCACCAAACCCCTGCAGGGTACCACCGGCGCCACAGAGGCCGTCTACCTCCTCCTCAAGCATGCGATCGAGGACCTGGGCTTCCGCCGTGTCGAGTGGAAGTGCCATTCGGCTAACGAGGCTTCGATGCGCGCTGCTATTCGCTTTGGGTTTAAGTATGAGGGGCTCTTCCGTCAGCATATGGTTGTTAAGGGGCGCAATCGGGATACGGTTTACTATGCCATTCTGCGTGATGAGTGGGCTGTTCTCAAGAAGGGGTTTGAGGGCTGGCTTGATGTTGAGAATTTCGATCAGGCTGGTGTGCAGAATAAGAAGTTGGAGGAGTTCCATAGGGCTGCGCAGCGTGCGCTTGGGTTGCTTTGAGTGGGTGTTCTCTTTGCTACTGTGGTTTCCTGCTGAACTGGTTTCATGCTGAGCTGGTGTTTGTTTGTACTGCGTTCTTCACTGTTTTCTTGTAAAGCCGTGTTTTCCTGTGCTACAATACCCCTGATTCTCCGTTGTTTTCCCTCATGTTTTCAATATGTCTCTCTGGCTTCCGCTTATCTTGCCTGTCTCTGTCTTTCTCTCAGGTGGATTTTTGGCTTGGATTTCGTCTGTGAAAAGTTCTCTTGTTTTCTTGTTCTCAAAAGCCTTATTTCCGCACTTGATGTGATTTTCTTGATGGTTAGTCTTTCAGCACTAGCACTTGGAAGATACAAGGGATCTATGCGGCTTATTTGCTGTCTTGTGTTCCTACAGCATCCACGTCGCCACTGCACTAATAAAAGTCAAAAGTTGTTCTTTTCTTTCGCTATGGGTCGCATCTTGAGTTCCTTATTAGAACAGTTTGTAGAAGTGGTTCCCAGGGAGTAGGTTGGATGCCTGCTGATTGCAAAGTCAGTCTATAATGTGTAGCGCGATACAATAGCTACTGACTGCTGGCAAGTTAATGCTTTCTTATAGATGTATGCTCCTCTAGTGCATCAATCGTGCCGATCCCATCCAGACTAAGCTCTCTACTTCCAGAGACAGATGTTCAGAGATAAGTATTGTTGAGGGGAGTGTATGGCTTGGTCATGTGACGGGCATAAAGTTATGGGTGAGTTATGCACGCTTGGCGTCCCTATGTCCTTGCCTGATTCCGCTGGCAGACCTTGTCACCGTTCCCAACCATCCATCGATCGAAAGCGATGTCAGAAGCTATCGACAGAAACAGGATTTCCCATCTCAGCAAGAATCAGACCCGGCTGTCCAAGCCTCTCCCCCGATGCCGTCCCTCGGGAGCCGGATGTCTCCCCAAGCCCGCCACAAACGGCTCAAGATCTACGAAGATACAAAATGACGTTCCCCTGGCCCGCGCCCGTGAAGATCAACCGCGGTTGCACCATCGCCGGTGTATTTATCTACGGGGCCGCCCTGCTAAATAAACCGGCCTCCTTTCCTGCTTTATCTTTTTACGAATTCCAGACGCGACCATGTTCATTACCGCGGCGGCGGCCTTCGTCTGGGCAAACTTGAATCCAACAAATTACATCGGCGGCGTCAGTTTCCGCCCTGAGCGCGACATTCCGGATCTTTCGGGGAAGGTTGTTCTCGTTACGGGAGGTAAGCACTGAGTCGCAGAAAATTACAATTAAAGTTAAGGTGCTGACAGGGACCTGCAGGAAACGCCGGCCTTGGGAAGGAGACGATCCGGCAAATCCTCAAACATAACCCCGAGCAGGTCTTTCTCGCTGCGCGATCCGAGGAAAAGGCCCAGAACGCGATAAGGGAGCTTGAGTCGACTGCGCCCAACGTCAAAATCACCTGGCTCCCGCTGGATCTGACATATACGAAGTCCATTCACGATGCAGCTGAATTATTCAAATCGCATGCGTCGCGCCTCGACATTCTGATCCTCAACGCGGGCGTCATGTCCCTCCCACCGGGCGAAACGGATCTAGGGCATGAGATCCAACTAGGAACGAACCATACGGGACACTTTCTGCTCACGAAGTTGCTTCTCCCCACACTACTCAAGACCGCTGAAGAGCCGGGCTCTGATGTCCGCGTCGTTTCGCTCTCTTCGATCGGACATAACCTCGCGCCCGACTTTGAGACTGTGCTCGATCAGACGAAGTTGAAGCAATGCAATACGCACGCCCGCTACGGCGCATCCAAGGCCGCTAATATCCTCTTTGCCGCTGAACTCGCGCGTCGGTATCCGTCGATCACGGCCGTCTCCGTACATCCCGGTATCATCGTGACGGATCTCTACGGCGCCGTCGGCGCAAGCAACCCGCTTGCGGCGGGGGTGATCAAAATCATGGGCATGATCGGGACGAAGGTCGAACAAGGCGCGTGGAACCAGCTCTGGGCTGCGGTGGGCGCGAAGAAAGGCGAGCTTGTCAACGGTGGCTACTATGTCCCTGTCGGCATTGGGAAGCCACGAAATCGCTATGTGACCGATCAGCAAATGGGGAGCAGACTGTGGGAGTGGACGGAGACGGAGCTTAGGAAGAGCGAGGCGAAGCTTTGACTTGCTATCTATACTGGATCTTGGTTCCCTGGATCTATTTGTCATATCCTTGGATCTACCTCAGCTACCATATAGTGGTGGTGGGCAGTGGTGACGTGCATGGCGTTCCCGGACAGCGGACGGACCGCGCTCGCCACGCAAAGCATAATACAACCTCCCCCCCGCATTCTTGACCTCAGTTGACCTCACCTCGTATTCCCCTGTCAGCAATAGACTCTCTAGTTCTACACCAGTCAGAGCAAGCCATGCCTGAAGGTCCGCCTTCCCCTTGCCCCTACCGTCTACCCCATTTCCCTCTCATAACGTACAGACCCCTTCCACAAAGAAGGCTTCATAGAGCGCATGCTCCAACCGCACCACCAGCCGCGGCGCCGCAGCAGCAGCGCCGGCGAAGGCGAGCGCGAGAAGCCCGATCTCGCCAGCTTGGCCCTCGAGCGCTCCAGCAGCAACGAGGAGGACAAGAATCTGAACCTGGATACTGGCCAACCGGAGAATCAGGAGCAGAATATCGGTCCCACTGCGCTCCGCCGCCAGCGCCGCAATTCGAGCTTCCAGCGCTTTAAGGAGTATATGCAGAGTGAGAAGGAGCTGGATGAGGAGGGCGAGATGTATGCTAAGTTGATGTAGCTTTTTCTTTTTTCTTTTTTCTTTTTACTTTTCATAAGCTGTTGCGTTGGGTTTCGCGAGCTAAAAGATTGGACTGTTGCTGGGTATTCTTCTTTCAACTTGTTTTTGGCGTGTCTTGGTCGGTTCAAATCTCTTGCCTAGACTGATAATCTAATCTACTATGTCATAATTCTACATACAAAAGGGACACTGGATGCGCAGATGAGCACAAACTCGGAGTGTTTATAGAATGTCTCTGCGCGAACAGCCCAACCAGCCTCAATTGCAGGAGATGCCCAACCAATCTGTTTTCAAAGATCGTCCAGGCCTTTGACTCGGCTCAATGCGATATTTCGAAGGTGGCGCAATGTCTTCCCTTCCAGTCGAGACATCCCCAGGCTTTCTCTGTATAGCGTTGTCGCGTTCAGCCTCCTATACCAGAGCAAGTATAGTTTGAAGCAGTGTATAAAAGCCCAGAAGCATCTTAGTATCTCAATCTCAATCTGAGGCTCGAATATTCCATCTATAATTTTATGCACTTAATGAACGATCTACCTGGTAATATCAGCGACGATGCCCGCACCACCAACCGCCATCCCGCGCCGGGCCCTTCCTCCCATGATTTTTACACTCCGAATCGCTCATATCCCTAGGTGCCCAAATGACGAAAGTAAACGGCCCGTTCGCCGAACAACTCGGATTGGCGATGATGGGTCAGGGTGATATCGAATTCTCGCATTTGCCGTCGAGACGAGCGTTCACGGTGTCTTTGCGGTTGATATCGCGGGTCCGTTCAAAGTTGTTACTACGGCGCTATATCCGGACGATGGGGGAGGGGGAAATTGCGATGCAGATTTAGCGGCATTCTTCATGGATAAACAAAACAGGATGCGAGGCTTATGCTTAATGCTTAGACTAGCTGAGCTTCACGGCGGTAATTGGTGGCAAGAGCAATAATACAAGGTAGACACGCTCGGATTGATTGGATTGTGGACATTATGACCTAATACTTGTCTCGAGCGCTACGGTGCATTCAGTAGGACCGGGGTCGTGTCTACCAACCCCTCGTAGGCTCTGGTGTCGTCGCCGCAAGCCCCTCCCCAGGCGCCGCAGCATCCCACGCCAACCTCTGCTCAGCAACCTCCGGTGTCGGCGTGATGGTAATCTCCTCCCGATCAAGCGCAACCATCGTAACAGGCGGGATATACCAGTCGTCATCGCAGACGCTCCAGCCGGGATCGATGCTCCTCACCTCCTCCGGAATCTTAACCCAAGGCACATAGTCATCGCGAATCATGGTGCAGGTGCTATCGTCCGGGATCGGGCACTGCTGGCCTCCGCGGTACTGCGGCCATGGAACGAGCGACTGGGTGTAATTTCCGATCTCGTGGGGCTGGAATTCGGCGAAGTTGAAGGGGTAGGCGGTGCCGATGTATGGATACTTTGCGTTTCGGTGGTGGCGCATTGAAGTCAGTGTTTCTGGGTTCACGGCTACGACGGTGTTGTAGTGGTCCTCGCCGCATTGGCTTCCGGGGTGGGCGCGGCGGTTGCTCCAGGCGTAGATTGTTGTGAATGAGAGGTAGACTGTTGGGGAGACGAATGTTTCTCCGTTTACAATGGCGGTGCTGGGTCCGGAGGGGGAGAGGGTAGTTCCGTTCTGCAGACAGAGATCCCCGGCGTCTGTGGTGACTGGCCAGTAGAAGAGGGTTGCCGTTCCAGGCAGGAAGTGGCAGGCTGAGCATGGGTTCTCTTCCGGATACGATCTGGTGGGCGTTGGGCAGTCCCATGGTCGGATGGGGCTGTTTGTGTCGCCTGGCACAGAAGTGATGATGGAATCTTGGTACGAACTTGATAGCTCGGAGTACGTTGACCAGATCGGAATACACTCACTTACTTCCAGAGTGCAATCAGGAGTGGCGCCGGGATCGCGGTAGAGGGTGCTTGTGTAAGTGTTGGTTTTCACCCATGTAGAGCATGGCCCGGTGCCGGGGTAGTACGCGGTGACTGTTTCTCTGGGTCCCAGCGCACGAGGGGCGCCATCGCACAGGGTGGTTAGGGGGCCTGTATGGGTGTCTGACCAGTCTTCCGCGGTGACGGAAGTGCGACAGGCGCCTTCGCTGGTGGTGTAAGATCCATAATATGGGCTTGTGGTCGTGGGCCCTAGAGAGTGCAGCTCAGTAGAGCGCCGTGCGTATTCAATCCAAGCGGCATTGCATGACACGGCGGATGCGTCAGGTCCAGTAGTAGGCCCGTAAAAGTAATCCGTTGACGTAGGCCAGAAGATCGACGTGTTTAGCGTGATGAGCCATTGGTCGCTGGTGATGGCTGCCTCAAGTCAATTCAAGGCCTAGAAATCTAGAGCAAGGACCTACCATCCTGGGCGGCAGCCGAGCCGAGCAAAAAAGGTAAGAAGAACATTGTTGATCAGAGCATGGAAAGAATTGAATGATGGCTGCCGGGGTCTTGCTGTTTATAACTATTCGCGAATCGCGAGTGACTCGTGCGGCGGGCAGCTCGTGTTCCTGGCGCGCCTCATTGGCCTGGCCCTGCATCGTTTCCCTTGTGCTGCGCTCCTGCAGCTGCATTGCAACACCACGTCCTTGGCAGTGTTTACGATTGGTCTCCAAGTGAGACATCGCAAGCTCGTGAGGCTGGATCTCATCTAACAGGCCAGGTTTGACTGCCTCCGCATGGGGCGGGTTGTCCCGCCCGTGTCTGGCATGATTATCGTCGACTTTTGATCACTCATCAATATCATTGTTCAGGCGATCGTCGGTCGATCTAGACCCATGAGGGCTGAGGGGCTGAAATGGCCCTGGCGGAGAAGCGGTCGGTGGTTGGTCATCCGTCAACGCTAGGTACGATGGTCCGGGACTCCGGGTTGTCATTTTCAGAAGGTCGAGCTGGACCCTGAGTGCTGTGGACGAGTACGTGCGATCAGACGCCACGATGAGGTGGCGGCAAAGGCTATTCGGAGTTTGGGACTCCGCCGGTGTCTATTTGCTGGGGATCAAGCGTACCAGTAGTGAGTCATGACAAGCTTCGCTGAATTTTGATGACTTCGAAGGGCGGTTTGAATAGTACGCGTTGTCGCCAGAGTGCGTCATGGAGCGAAGAAGCTTTGATGCAAAATGAGACTTCCCGAGAGTTTGTTGGATGAAGAATGAATGGTCGGAATTTGTCCGCTAGTGCTGTAGGGTCCGCGTCCGACCACCGGCGCTGAAAACCGACAAGCCCCGACTGGCCGGCCCAATTGGTACAGAAGGATCTGCTAACACAGTTTGGACCTTCGGAGATTCACATTGCAAGAGGGCTTAAAACTTGGCAGAGCAAAAACAGTCAAAGGGCAACGAAGGTTTGAATTATGATGGGGATACCGCATCAGATTAGGTCGCCGCTAGCTAAGCATGATATCAGTCTAGAGATGGGTGCCAGAGTGCCAGTAAGAAATGGAAACCCGCTAAGCCTGCGCCCGCCGAACAACTAGCAAAAAACTAAGAAAGAAAGCCAAGGGAACAAAAACAAGGTTCAAGCCTGCGCCTTGGGCTCCGCCGTGGCGGCGATCGTCCGCTCTGAAGACTCGTCTCCAGACTCCTTTCCCATCCCGCTATAGTCGCCAGGCTTGGTGGATCCGTTGGGAATCCAGAAACGCTTATCGATGCGGCTGAATGTCAACAGGCAGAGGATCATGATCTCGAGGACGAAGTTGAAGACGTAAAAGGCTGGTTTGCCGTGGTACCAAGCCGGGTTTGAGACGGGCCTCAGCGGACGATAGAGACTACCCATCTTGAAACCGGAAACCAGGATGCACAGGCAAGTAGAGGCAGTGAGGATAACGATCTTGGCAAGCATGCTTCCCTCGCCGAATGTCTCTTCCTGCTTGGACCGGGGAAGTGCGACTGCTGGAATGATGTGGAGCAGTGGGAGGCAAGTGAAGAAGAAAAGGTAGGTGATGGCAGTAAGCTGCACGTCGCGGCAGTCGGCGCGGGTAACCGGGTCGAGCGTGTAGAACATGACCACAATCGCGGTAATGACCATGATGAGCGCGGCGGGGAGGAGCCAGTAGAAGACCTTGCTGCCCTTGCGTGGAATGGGATGCCATCCAATATGAGGTTGCTTTGCCCGGAGTATGCGTTGAGCGAGGATCAGGTTGATGATGTAAACCAGGAGGATGCCCGCGTTGACAAAGATGTTGGCGGCGATACCGAGGCGGACGTTATGCGGACGGTTGGCCCAGACGATGCGCAGGGTGAGGGTAGTGATTCGTGCCATGCAGAAGCCAAACAGCATGCCCGACAGGTTGAACTTGTGACCCCGTCTCTTGTTCTTCTGGAGGATCGTCATGTTGGTCACTGCAAAGCCAATGTACATGACGAGGAAGATGGCGCAGATGATAGTATCGGGGACATTGGTTGGAAGACCTCCTACTCCAGCGGAGGTGGAGGCGTAGGGGCCGCCGCGCTTCTCAAGGGAGGAGAGCATCGTGTGTACCGGTACTCTCGAGTCTTGGAGTTGTCGAGCAAACGCGAAATCGGTAGAAGTAGTAAGCGGACCGGGGAGGCTTGGTGTCAATGTCGTTTGGACTGATTGGCAGGGGATGGGAATGTGTTGTGTGTTGTGTGTTGCGTGATGAGAGCAGGGTGTTAGAGGCGGGAAAGGACGCCCTCCCGGTCGTCTCTATATATATTAGAGCCACGGGGGTGATCGCCGACAGGAAGCGACATTCCGGCGTTGAAAAGGTAGATTCGAGTCATCAGCATTTGGCTTTAGTCGTCATTCGAATCTGGTGAAGTCCGAGCCAATGATGGAGAGCTGATCCTTGGAAAGCTGGTTGACAGCGCAATAGCCTACGCAACCCAAACGGGCAAGGCGGCCGTCGGCTTTAGCTTTGGCCGAGCTCCGCGGTCGCAACTTTCGTCCGTCCGTCCTCTGCCCCTCACGAGTCTTTCTCCTGCCACTGCTGACGGAGTAGATGACCTTATCCCCGCTCTATCCCTGGCTTATCCTATTTTCAACTGACTCCCAGTCCCCGTTGATTGCTGCAACGTGTAGCGGGCTCCGACTCGGACGAATGTCGCATCTTCCACGTGGCCGCAATGCTTGCACCCCATAGCCCTGCCGCTGGCGTTCGGAAAGGGACGAAGAGTTGCACCGAATGTTCGTGCTCGAGGACCTTAGGCTATTTATCGCGCTGTCGTTTGCTAACCGCGAGATGCAGGTAGAAGAAGAAAAGTTCGCTGCGTTCGAATCCCCGAGGACGCGCCAACATGCCGTCAGTGCACTGAACGCAACACCGCTTGTCTCGCCCAGACGTCGAGTTCCCGCCCGCGACAGGCGCAACGGCTGCCATCAAGATATCGGATCGCACAATTGGAGTCCCAAGTTAGTCGATTGACTAAAGCTGTCAATAACATCGAGGTCAGGCTCGGGGGCAACCCTTCGATCCAGGTCGATCAAACCGTGACCCACAGCCCCGGATCCGAGGAGTCCGATGCAGAATCCACCGCGTCCGAGATCTTGATTGCGGAGGAGCCTTCCCAATTACGCTCGCTTTTTCAAAATGACTGGCTCAGCGTGGATACCCAACGGCGGAAGGATCAGCTTCAGGAACGCAGGATGAAGGCCTCCGCCCACCTTGCCGAGAGCGTGCGACCCGCTCTGCAGAAGCTGATTCCCACCAAAGAACAGACGGCGGAAATGTTGGTCTGTACTTATGATTGGATGCAGATGGTTCATACCATGCTACCCCAGCCTTCGGTGCCGAACTCGAGCCAGGAGATGCTTCAACACTATGAGGAAATGTGTCAACCGGATGTAGACATCATTGTTCTGGCCTCGTGGCTCTTGACTCTGGCCATCACTGCCCAACAAATCCCGCAGTCAGGCAACAGCCCCGATACCCCGTCAATGGGCTCCCATAAACGAATAAGCTTCGCCCGCTCTGTCTCAGACGCCGTCGAGAGTCTGGTGATGACTCATGACCGTTTGATCGGGACATACCAAGGCCTCGGAATGTGCATACACTTCATTCGATTGTACGTCTATCTCCTCTCTTGCAGCGTCATACTTCTTCTGTGAGCTCAAAATTAATCTGGCACTTCATAGACAAATGGGCCGTGGGAATCCCCAAAAAGGCTGGCTTAAGATGCGACACCTTATTGCCCTGGCGGAGTTAATGGGTCTACCAAAGGCAGTCCAACTCGCTCGAGTGAAAAAGGCCAACAGTCCCGCCGAGCAGGCGGCGCAGCATGAAAAGATCCAGCTCTGGGAACTCATCTGCACCATCGACCGCCTGGGAGGGCTGTTGATCAATCTTCCACCGTATACCAGACGTTATCAGTTGAAAGTCGTTGATGATCTTGTAGTCGACGGTGTCGTTCAGCCGTCGGTCTATATGAGCCGGTTAATGGACATCTCCCCCAAAATCTACGACCTGGAAGACCTCAGTGCCACAGAGGGCTCAACCACGAAACTTTACACATCCGCATTGGAGATTGTTCGGGGCGCGAGGGATCTTGCTTCTGAGGCACCGGCGTCGTGGTGGACCATAAATATGACAGATGACTTGAGGCCCGATCATGTCGTCCAGTACATGCACTATTGCATCGTCATGAAGGCTCATCTACCGGTCGCGCTTCGACAAGATCGAACCGAGGAGTATCTGTATAGCCGACTAGCCTGCATTGACGCGTGCGAATGCGTTGCTCACAGATATCATTTTCTTCGGCGAAAACTCCCATCGGGCTTCTTCACGCTACGGATGCTTGATCTTCAGGCGTTTGGAGCTATGGCAGCCCTTCTCTTGCTCTCTCATACTTGTCCATTCCCCGACCACCGTACCTTCCAAATTGACAAACCGCGCATAGAAGGCCTTGTGACGCAAATCATTGAGCTTATGGAAGAAAAGTCTAAGGATGGAGTGGGTGTTGATTTTGCAGAGCGTGGTGCTAAGACACTCCGGTCGCTACGAAACCTTTTGCAGCAGGATGCGAGTAATCCTGCGCCCATGCAGGAACTGACCGTCAATGTACCGCTGCTGGGAAACATTCACATTCGCCGTAACGTTCCCGCAACGCAAACCGCTCCGCCTGAAAGCCAGCGATCCAGCGCCGTTCCGCAGTCTACCAGTTGGCAACCTCAGGAGCAAACCTTACCCGCCCACTACAACCCGCAGTTTGCCACGAGCACCTACGTGCAGGAGCCTCTGTTGCCAAGCCAGGCCGTTTCAAACATGCAGTGGGAACCGTTATCATGGTCTGTCGAAGATGCAGGCGAAAACCTTCTCGAGGATGCTATGATGGCAGAGTCCTTCGACCAAGCCACTATGTGGCATAATATGTACTATAATACGTTTGGTTGATGGGCCGGAGAGAGCTTACCATGCTTGTAGACACTGAGCGGCCCTCGCCTGCGACTCAGCCTGCGACTCACGTCGGGAGCAGCTCAAACGAAACCTGTATCTCAAAACGCGCGGCTGCCCTAACGAACACTAACGGATGAGCAAGTGTCGCCAAGTGCCGGGGCTTCAGCCGAGCCAACGGATCGTCGTTGGTATAGCCGGCACCCCACAAAGCTCCCCGCGCTCACAAATCCTGGGTCCGGCCGGGGCGATGGCGCCATTTTTCCGAATCTCTTATTAATGGTGCCTGAGCGCTCGCACATAAAGGGGGCTATTCGAGTTTCACTTCGTCGCTCGAAAGACGATCGAATGAGGCCGGTGGCATGGATGAGACACGGGAGGCAAAGCATGGAGCGCCGCCGTCGGCTGAGCCTCTGGAACAAGTGCAGTCGCAACGGCCAATCCCAAATGGCGGCTTGGAAGCATGGCTTAGTGTCTTCGCGGTTTTCTGCGTCTTCGTCAATTCCTGGTATGTCACAGCACCCGGCAGTCGCGATCGCAGCCTAATCTCAATCCAGGGGTTTGATCAGCACTTACGGCGCCTTTCAGGAGTTCTACCAAACGGTACTTCTCCCTAATGAATCCCCTTCTTCCATTTCCTGGGTAGGGAGCATTCAAGCCACGCTCGTTGTCATGGTGGGCATTGTATCCGGGCCATTGGTTGACCTCGGCTACCTTCGCCCTCTCATTATCTCTGGAAGCTTTCTTGTCGTATTTGGGATGATGATGACTAGTCTGGCTACCCAGTACTATCAAGTGATTCTTGCTCAAGGGTTTTGCGTTGGCATCGGCGGCGGCATCGCATACATCCCCGCCCTGGTCGTGATCTCGATGTACTTTACTACGAAGCGCCCGATCGCAATCGGTTGCGCATCGATAGGATCAAGCGTAGGCAGCGTTGTCTTCCCAATTATGTTTCGCCAGCTCCAGCCAAAGATTGGCTTCCCTTGGACGGTCCGCTGCATCGCCTTTATCAACCTCCTGCTCGCTATCATTACCTGCGCCGTACTGTGTCGTCGCCCGGGGAAGAAGATCGGGGCTCGAAGCCTTATCGACTGGAAAGCTTTCAGAGACATCCCTTTTATGATGCTATCCATATCTATGACTCTGGTAATGCTCSGCTACTGGATCCCACTATTCTACGTCCCCTCATACGCACGAACCGCGTTGAAAACAACAACCAGCCTTTCCTTCTACATGGTTGCCATCATTAACGGCGCGTCTGCATTCGGGCGAACTGTCCCATATCTCTTGGGATCGCGCGTGAAGCCGATCGGCATTCTCATAACCTGCGTAGCAGGCTCCGCAATTGCTATGTTCACCTGGACTGCTGCGACCAACATTCCTGGATTTATTGTGTGGGCATGCTATTGGGGGTTTCTGACCGGGGTTTTGGTCACCGGACCAACCTCGATCGTCTCGCATCCCGCTCTATGCCCCGATCTGAAAATGCTTGGAACTCGGATGGGCATGATGTGGGGGATCAGTTCGCTCGGATCGTTGGCTGGAACGCCTATTGCTGGAACACTGGTGGAACTGTCCGAAGCAAACTTCTTGCGCGCTCAGATTTTTGCGGGATGCATGATGGTAGGTGCTGTCGCACTGCAATCCTGCCCAACATTTGTGATCTTTCGGTATGACCGGAAGGGACAAGGTTCTCAGTAACGTCACCACACTATGTTCTAGAACACTATACCATCAAGGTTCAGCCTTAGATCCATCAAAGCCATCCTCACTACCACTGGATATCCGCATTCCCGCCTCCCTCAGTCGCTTCTCCTCAGCTACCTTCATCTCGTAAAATTTCTTCATCCGCGCCGGCACAATCCTCTCCCTCTCCGTCGCGATCTTCCAACCCCTCAGCCTATCTTTCCCGAGCGCCAGAAGTGTCTTCTGCTCGATCAGGCTATACTGACTATGGTCTTCACGGTCAAAATTAAACGGTTCCTTCAAAGCAACCGGGGGATTCGTGATGATGCGCGGGATACGTAAACTGTTCCGCGACGCCGAGTGCAGCATCAGTGGATGTATTAGGATCACGTCGCCTGTTTCCCCCGTCATTTCACGGAAGTCCGTGCAATTCTGGATTAGAGATTTGTAGAACGTCAAGCCGGGGTCTGATTCTGGATTCTGCGCTCGCAGCCGGGGCACCATGTGCGGGGATACGCCTTCGGGGTGCTCGTACTAATCGCAAGAATAGTCAGAGCGAAGCTTGGATCATCCTAGAGAAGTACAGAACTCACCAAATACCTCGCCATCAAGCCTATCGCCTCCGGACAAATCATAGTCCCGCCACCGCGCGGCCTAATATCCGAAAACAACGGTATAACAAGCAGCGCCTGCTCCGGCGAATCCAAGAAATGCCAGAAGAAGTCCCCGTCAACGTGCCAATCATCCAGCTCGCGCGGGTCCACGTCTTTTCCCTCCCACTCCGCACTCCCCAGATTCACGATCAGACTGTCGCGCCAACTTCGGAATTCGTTGTCCTCGGAGATCCGATCCTCGCCGCCGCAGAGCTCGCAGATTGCGGACCAGGCTTTTGGCGCGAAATCGCGGGCGCTTTCTTGTCGGTGGTGTGGCATGTTGATGCGCTCGGATGTCCAGGTGCTTTTGTCGGAGGCGGAGTATCCCAGTCGGATCCAGACGTCGCGCGTCCATGATTGGGCTTTTTCGCGCGTGAAGCACTGGGGGATTAAGACGTAGCCGTGTTCGAGGAAGTGGTTTTTTTCAGCGGCTGAAAGGGTGTATGTGGGATGTTGGTCTTGGGTGCGTGAAGGTTCGGGGGTCATTATGCTTGTATTTTGGTCGTATACTTGAATATGTGTCCTTCAATTGGTGAAGATGTATTAATTTACGGCATATGCAAATATCGGGGAGAGGGGTTTCGCGTCCGCTTTATAGGTACATCATGCGGAGGATTGTCCTTGTCCGAAGCGGCAATGGCCGTTTCGATCTCGACGGGGTGTACAGAGTGGCTTCGTATAGGTACATATTTCAATCCGTATCATCCAGGACGCTCGCACATTATTCTTGTCCCTTACAGGATATAGATGACGCCAAGAATTACCGCTACAAGCGCCAGGAGACTTTTGCTGACGGCCACTTGGTGAATAGCCGCGTCTGTTGGTGCAGGCCCAGCCTCAGTCGTCTGGTCTACTGAGGTCTCTTGAGAACTGTCGGCAGTGGTCTGGCTGGCTTCATTGCTGCTGCTGTCATCGTTGTCGCTGCTATCGTTGCTGTCGCTCGACCCCGTAGGAACAGATGCGTCCGTTGACACCGCAGTAACGGGGAATAGTTGGGATCCGATCGTGAAAGTGACAGTCTCACTGACAGGAGTGGTGAGGGCTCCGATATTGCTCAGAGTTTCCGTTCCGCCCTCGGGGATGTTGCCAGGTCCATAGTATGTCTGAATGCTCGCCGGATACCCAAAGTCCGCGACGCAGTCGTATTGGTCGAGCCACTGCTGGCAAGTACTCCAGTCGAAACCTGGTACGTTGTCCTGGACAAATTGCTCTAAGCCGTCCAATCCGAGCTCGGCGGGGTTAAGGCGTGGGCAAAACGAGTCGAGGCTATATCTTGTTAGTGCTGTTAATCACAGGACTGTACGAGAAAACCCACCTAGATAGCCAGCCGCTCCATCCGCAGCACAGGCAGCCCATGCCAATGCTTTCTATCTGGTCGGCCGACAGACTGAAGGGATCCGCGTAATCCCCACAGCTTTCGATGCCCTCGTTCATGAGAACTTGGGCGGTGGTGACGTCTCCAATTGGGCATGAGCATCTGCCTGCGGCTTTGTCTGGAGCTGGCCAGAAGGGAATGCTATCGAGGTCAGGATCGATGGCAGAGGTTACATAGTCGCTGGCTTGCTGTTGGTATTCGCAGCTGTAGACCTGGAAGAACGGGAGACGTTAGCTTTCCGCGGCGTGCCCTTGATGGGTTGTTCGGAAACATACCATATTCCAGCATGATGTTGCCGCACACCGCGTATACGCACCTTGTCTGGCGTACTCGCAGGCATCGTGACAATCTTTACCCAGTCCCAAACAGTTCTCATTGATGCAATCTGCGTACCATTCATCCGCGTCCTCATAGCACGAGGCAAACCCGGAAGGGTCGGCGCAGTCGTCGGAATTGAAGTATCCGACCTGATCGGCAGCTGTCAGCCGAAGTGCAGCCAGAAACCCAAGATAGATCGTAGAGCGCATTGTGGCACTAGATTGTCAGCCCAATTCCTAGCAGTACTCTTCGGGCGCTGGGGGGCGCCTCGATTCCTGGTATTTAAATCTGATCAGGCGATGCGGCTCAGCGGACGAATGGAAGGGTCAAGAGTCAAGACCCAAGGCCCGAAAAGCCCGATCTATCCAGCGCCCAGGGGTGCCAAGGCATTGCAGCCTTGAAAGATACAGATCGATTCCAATCAATTGTTGGGGTGTTCGGCTATAGTGCCTTGATCCGGCGGAGAGTGGTTCTCCGGCAGCCCCATCGGCTCGAGCCGCCTCTCCAGCGCCAACCAAAGCGTTGCATGATTCAGTTGCTCCCTTGGCAGTCTTGGCTCGCTTGGACCTTCGAGTCGTTCGATTGTGATGAGTCTGATGACTGGCGTTGAAAAATATTGGAGACCTTGGACTTTGCTTGAACGGTTGAATTCGACGAAGATTCCATTTGTAGTATGGCATAGACTCCTGCTGGTTTCCTTCCCGGCCAATCCACTGATGCGATGCGCTCTGTTGTACCTACTGGTTACGTTGGTTTAAGGATATATATCTCGAATGCCTGTTTGCGACAACAAAGATACCGAACACAGGGGCTAAGGAGGGATGCACACATCCGAGGGCATGTCCTGCTGTAAACAAAGGGCCATCAGCAAGAGATTCGACTGACAATCGCAACATGCCTATGTTCCCAGTATACGGTTCACTCAGTCCACTCACCTTTACGGTACCGCAGGCTGCTTGACGACACAAGAAAAGCTCAGGGGAGCCTGGGGTTGAAGAGGCGAGAAAAGTCTTCAGAGATAACCCGGTGGTTACCAGCGCAGCTCAAAGCGAAGGAGGGGTCGCTGATTGAATAATATACGTAGGTCCCGTCATTTCTAGGGCGCAGGCTTTAATGCCGGGAGTAATGCGCGAGGCCGGAACAAAGTTTATCCTGCCTAAAATATTAAAAATATTATTATTAATAGCTTATTTAATATTTAATACTTTTATTAACAGCCTGTTTTAAATAGCAACACTTTTTTTAATAATTATAATAATAGTAAATTTAATAAACATGTTTAAAAAATAATAAAAAAATAAATTATATAAGTAATATATAGCTTGCTTATATAAACCTATAATTTATAAACCCTTAATTTTTTAAATTTTTTTTATTATAATAGCTAATATTAAAGGTAATAATAACACTATTTTTTTTACTTACTTACTTACTTTTTTATTAACCTGGCCGCTAGCGGCCTATATTATTAATATAATAAATTATTTAGGCTATAAATTAATAATTTTAAATAAACTTTATAAATAATTATATTATTTATAATATAAGCTTGTGCTTTACAAGCTTGCTAATAAAGCTAATATAATAAAAAAAATTATAACCTGCCCTATTAATTAAAAAGCTATTATTAGGTAGTATATTAACATGCTTATTAAAAGTAATTTAATTTATAAGTATTACGCCCAAGGCCACGGGCTATTTATAAAGTATATTATTATATTAAACCACTTTAATAATAATTATATAAATTATTATTAAAATAGTTTTAGTGCGTGATATATTAATAAATATAAGTTATAATTTTTATTTACCTATAAATATATTAGCTAATATATTTAGCTTTTATACCGGGTAATAACAACAATAATAATAATAATAAAATAAAAAAAAAGGAGGAAAAAAAGGCTAAAAAAAATAAAAAAAAGGAGGTTAAGAAGGTCGCGGAAAAAAAAAAAATAAAAAAATAAAAAAAAAAAAAGTAAATATTATTACCTTACTTATATATGCTATTTAGTCCACCTGCTGCCTGCATTACTTTATAATTATAATAATAATAAACTTTAATATTATTATAACTAGGCTAGCTATTATAGCCCGTGTTATAGCTTTTATAATAAATAACCTTGCTAATAAAGCTAGTTTTAAGGGTGTTAAATATAATAATAATAATAAATAAGTAGTTTTTTTTAGTTTATTTTCCCTGGGGCTAGACCCTAGTAATAAAAAAGTTTAAATTTATTATAATTTATTAAGTATAATTAACTATAAATATTATTAAAAATAGCTTATATAAATTATAAGTAAAAATCTAGCGTTTAAAAGCAAGTATTTAGTAAAGTATTAATATTATTTTAGTTTATTAATATTTCTTATTTAACTTTAAACTAATAAAATTAATTACTTAATAACTTTAAAAGCTTTACCTAAAACATGTTATTATAGTTTACAGCCTGCTAGTTAAATACCATGGCCTTATTTTATTATTATTTAAGCTACTTTTTATTTTTAATAAATAATAAATAGCTATTACCTTATTTATTTTTATAATACCTAAAACTTAACTTTATAATACTAAGCTATATATTAATATAGCCACCTTTTAGGATTAAACCTAATTATATTATTTTTTTAATATATTACTATAAAAAATAATTTATAATTATATTATTTGCTATATTTTTATACTTTATTATAAAATTATTACCCGGCGCCCTAGTTATATAATATATTATAAATTATATTAAGGCTATAAGTAACTACTATTAATAAGTATTAGCTAAAATACTATTAATATAAAAGCTAGAGTTACAGGTTAAGCGCCTGGAGGCCACCTTTATATTACCTAGTAATATAAAGGTAATTATAGTATAAATTATTAAAAAGTGCCCTTTTACGCCTTATATTTAATATATAAAAAAAATAAATTATTTATAGGTTATATTATTATTAATAGGTTACTATTTAGTGCCTGCGCTAACTACTATTACACTTTAAAAAATAAATATTATAATTATTATAATAAGTACCTTAATTAATAGTTTATAAAGCTAGTAACTAATTATAATAGCCTAAAAATTAATATTAAAAATATTACTACTGCCGCCCGTGCTGTAAAAAAAAAATATATAAAAATAAAAAAAAAAAAATAATAACTATATTATAAAGTGGTTATAATACTACCTAGTAAATAATTAAGTATTTATTTAAATATTAACCTTAGCTTAACTACGGACCCGTGGCCGCGCTAAGTAGCTTTATAATTTATTTAATATAGTAATTACTTAAAAAAACATGTTTACTATTACTTAAAAGGTATTTACTAAAACATGCTTTAGTATTATAGTTAAGTTTATAAAAAAAGCAGGTTTACTAATAAAAAAAAAAAAAGGTAAGGATAAGTTTCCCGGTTTATTAAATAATTTTAATAAAAAGTTATTAAAAAATAATTAATATTTACAGGGCTGGACCCTAGTTAATAAAGTAAGTTTAAATTATTATTTTATTTTTAAATTTATACCTATATTATTGTTGCTCTTGTAGTAAGAAATATTATTTATAATTATAATAAATATATATTAATAGTACCTTAAATAACCATTTTTATGCCTTTATTTCTTAGTATTAAATAAGCTGCTAACTAATTAATTATAATTAAAAGGTTTCTTAAATAATAGTCCTTTAAGCAACTATACACGTAATATAGCCATGTATATAAAACCTAGTAAAAGCTTTTTATATATAATAGGGTTTAAAATAGCCTGCTTAATAATAACCCCCTAAGCCTTATAAATTATTATTATATATACTAGTATAGCTAAAAACTATATATAGGTATAAACAGCGCCATGGTAGTAAAAGTCTTATTTTATATAAAAAATTAATACCATGTTGTGGTTATTATTTTTTTTAGCATGTAAATTATTATACTAGTTAAAAGCTATTATTAAAGTAAGTAATGCCTTTTAGGTAAGATTTATAGTTTTTAGTAACTATATAATATTTATTAATATACTTATAATACTATTTACAAGACCCCTTTTTATTTAAATATTTTATATTAGCATAATACAGCAGCTAAAAAAAACTATAAGCTTTTTAGTTAAATTTTTAGCCTAGTTTATTTTTATAGTTATAGCACTAAATTTAATATAATTAGCCTATAAAATAATTATAGGCTTACTAAAGTTTAATATATAGTTATAATTATACTAGTATATATTATTTTTTTTTATATATATAAATTATATTTATAAAGGCATTACTCTTGCCTGTAGGTAATTTAACCTATACTTGTGTTATAAAAAGCTTTTAGTTTTTTATTATAATAATATTTTTTTTTAAGTGCTTTAGTATAAAAATAAACACATAAGCTATTTAAAAGCTTATAATCTAGTAATAAATAATATCTAGCTTAATAATAAGGTTAAATTAATTATATAAATACTAACTAGCCTTTTTCTTTTTATTTACAAGTAAAAATATAGCCTTAAAAAAAGGGCTTTAACTAATTAAAAATAGCTAGTAAAAGTCCCCGGCCAGGATAATATTTAAGCTATTAAATAGTTTAACTTTATAATCTAGGAAAATTTTATAATATTATTAGTTAATATAGTATAGCTATTTTAAACCTATTATAAACTTTTTATTAATAATTAAATATAACATGCTGTAAAAACTTACTTACAAGGCTAATAATACTAAAGGCTATAAGTAATTATAACCCCCCTTGCCTTTTAATATAACTAATAATTAAAATAATAAATATAGGGTTTAATTACTAATATTATATATGGTAATACTAGTTAAAGTAGCCTATATAATAATAAAGGTTTTATAATTACTAGTATAAAAAGCTATATATTCCAGGGTTATAAATAATAGGTTAATAATATAAAATTTATTAATACTAGCCTTACTATCTAGATTAATTAATAACTACCCTAGTAAGGGTAATAAATATATAAAAATAAATTATTATTTATTACCTAAATATAGGACTAGCAAACCGCGCGACTATAAAATACTTTTATAATATTTAATTATAATATTATATAGCTAGCGTTACTTAACCTTTAGGTTATTTAAATAAGTTAATAAATAAGCTAATATATTTACTAGGTAATCTACCTTTACTAAATCCTAAAATTTTAAACTAAAACCAGGTTTTTTTATATATTAAGTTTAATTATATTATTAATTAATATCGCGCTAGCCTAGGCCATTAGGTTTTATAAAAAAATTATTATTATAGCCAGGCCGCTAAGCTACTATAGCCTTTTAAAAAAGTATTTTAATAATTAAGCTAGTATTATTATTTTAAGTTAATAAATTAGTTTTATTTTTTATATTTTTATTATTTTATATATAGCTATTTTTTTTATAGCTATAGTATTTATAGTAGTACTTGTATATATTATAAAAGCTATTAAATACTAATTTATTAACTATATGCAGGTTATTTATTTTAATAAATAAATAATAAAGTATTAACTTAATATAAGTAAAGTTTTTTAGGTCTGTAACTTAGCTATATATTAGGTAATAATAAATAATATAATTTTTTATTTTACTTTTAACCTTTTTATATACTCTAGGCTATAGGGTATAGCAGCGCATGTAATATAATAATATTAAATTAACAAGCTCTAGTAGCTGCTATATATACTTTATTATTATATTTAAACCTTATTTAATATTACCTTTTTTATTACTGGCATTATTATAGTTTATATTTAGTAGTAAAAATAGGTTATTTTATTCCTAATTTATAAAATATAAAATAATAACTATATTATAGCTTAATATTTAAAGTAGTAGGCCTAGTAAATAATAGCAAACCTTTTATATAAACTAATCTTACTTTATAATTAAGGTATTTATTATTTTTTATACTAGTAATAATAAAAAATAGCACGTATTAACATGCTTAAAAACTAATTTTATAATTTTTTTATATAACTTTGTTTTCTTTTTAGGCTTTATAATATACTTAATAATATAATAAAATAGGGAGCGCTTGCTAGTACACGCGGTTATATTTAAGTTTATAAGCTACTTTAAGCTAATAATTAGGTTAAATATATTTAGGGTTATGTTATTATAAGCTAGAAAAAAATAATAATAAATATTACTAGTTAATTTTATTAATTAAAAATTATGCTATGTTATTATAAAAAAATAAAAGTAATAAATAACCTTTTTAGTTTACTTATTTTTTTATTAATAATAATTTATATTATAATAATAGTATAATACATGGTTTATAACTTATATAAAATAAGCAAGTATATTTTTTTATTAAGACCAGGGTAGCTAAATAGCCTTATAATTTATATTAATAATAATAATTTATATATAAAAAGGGTTTATAGCTGTAATATACATGCTTTAATAAGCCTTAAATAACCACCATAGCTTGTTAAATTATTAAAGGCTATTAAAAATAAAAGTGAATTATATTTAATATATACTATAATTATAAGTTAAACCTTAACCTTGCTATTTATAGCAAAACTAATTATTTATAATATTAAACTTAAGCTTAATAACTATATTAAAAAATATATAATAGTAATAATAAAACCACGCTATAATAATATAAAGGTTATTTTATAAATTATACCATATAATTTATTTATAAATAGTCTTTATATTATTATGCCATGCTTTATACTTAGGTAATTATTATATTAGGTTATCCTAGTATAAATTAGCCATAAAAAATATTAAAAATAGGTAAGCCATGCCTATTTAAAAAATAAGTGGTTAAAATAATATATATAGTAATAAAAAAAAGCTATTTACTAATATTTTTAACCATGGCTTTTAAGCTATTTTTTTTATTATACTAAAATGGCCGCGTACCGCGAATAGTTTTAAAAAAACTAGTAATAAAATTTAGTAATATAAATAATTTAGCTATATTTAATTAAAAGGCTACTTATAGCTTTTTTATAAAAATATCTTACTAGCCAGGCGCGCGGTTATAAATATAAAAACTAGCTTGCTAATTTATTTACTAATAATAAATTATATTAAAGTAAATATATTAAAACCGGGAATGCCGTGCAAAATAGCTACTTTTATATTTAAGTAAATATTTAATATAATTTATAAATAATACCTTGCGTGGGTGTGTTATAACTAGCTTTATATTATTATAAAAAAAAGGGTAAAAAATACTAGTAATAGTAATTATTATAAATAGTTAAACTTAAATAATAGTATTATATAAAATAAAAAAAAAGTTAAATAAGGGTTATTATATACTAGCTTAATAATATTATTTACCATGGCTTATAAAGTCTTAAGCTTTATAATTATTATAAGTAAATTAAGTACTATAATTATATTAAGCGCCTATATATTATTAAGGTTTACTTATTAATTATTATTTAGGGTAATTAGCTTACCAGCCAGCTCCTAGTTTAAAATAAAATAATTAATTAATTTATTTTTTAGTAATTATATAAAATTATAATTATTTTTAACTATATTTTAGTACCCTAGATAATTTACCTAAAGGTAATCTAGCTATTATTTAACTACCTAGTATTATATTTTAAAATTATAATAAAATTATAGGTATATTTTTTAATTTATACTAAAATTAAATAGCCGTAAGATTAATACCTTAAGTTTTTTAGGTAAAAACAGGAGCTATTTATATATTTAACTAGTATTTTATAAAAAGTTAATAATATAGCCTTTATATAAATACTAGTAATTTTAAATATAATAAACCTTAATAAATATATAAACTTTTATAATTAATATTTTCTTAATTTATATTAATTTTAAAAGGTAAGAAGAAATATTACCAGGATTTATTTTATTTTATAAACTAAATTTAAAAATCTTTTGGTTTTAGTTAGCTAATACACAACGCTTGTAAATATTATTTTTTTTTAAAGGTTTATATTAAATTATTATTTTTAATAATAACTGCATGTTTTTAGCTAGTATATATTAAACTAGTAATAAAAGTTATTTAATAACTTTTAATTATAGTCCGTAATAGCTAAATATATAAAATTAATTAAGAAAAATAAACGCGGTAAGAAAGTGTGGTTTAGGTTTATATATATAAAAAAGCTAAAGTTAACTTTAGTAGTTCGTAAAGGTAAAGGTAAATTATTTTTAATAATAAATTAGGAGCTTATAGTAGTTAAGCTATTAATATTTAACTTAATATTATTTTTATTAATAATAATTACTAGCTGCGGGCGCCTACCTAGCAAGTAAAATATAAATAATAGTAAAAACACGGCTATTATAAGTATAAAAGGGGGTATAAAAATAATAAATATAATTAATAATAATAAGTATGTTAAAAATAAATAAAAAAGCTAGGGTTTGCTAAAATTAACTATATAAGTTATTTAATTAATTACTTATTATATATATTATTATTTTATATTTTTATAATATTTTTTTACTTATTATAAATTATTAAATAAGTATATACCATGGTATTAATAATTTAGCTTTAGCTATAATAAGCATGCTTGTTATATATTTAGGTTAATTATATTAAAAAAAAAATATTAAAAAAGTAAAATAAAAAGGCCTGTAGCTATAATAAATTATTTACTTTTTTTTTATTATATATTAATAGCTATAATATACATGCAAGGTAGTATAAACATACCTAATTTTTATAATTATTATAAGTTTAGTAAGGTTTACAGCCTAGGCGCTATTAAAATTATAATAAAAAAAGTATAATATTATAATAGGTATAAATTATAATTAGCTTTATAATTAAACTTATTTATATAAATTATAAGTAAAAAAGGGATTGCAAACCTAAGGTTTAAATTATTATATTATTAAAAAAACTATATTATAAGGTTAAAGCAGTAAAATAAGGTTATATAATTACCCTTTTTTTTAGTTAATTAATATTATTTAGCTTAAGTAGTAAAAGGAGGTTATGTAATTACTCTTTTTTTAGCTAATTAATATTATTTTACTATTTTATATAATCCTTAATAAAGCTCACGTGACTGGGAGCCGGGACCTATAATTTATCATGCGCGGGCCTCCACTTTGTTCCGGCCTCGCGCAATCAATTTGTTTGTGTTTGATGCAGACAGTGAGTGTTGTTCGTGTTGTTTTGTCGGGCGTTGACAATGTCCGAGATTCGCTGAGTCAGCACTCGGGGAATCCTAAACTCCGTGCCTTCTCCTTCCCATCGATGGTCACCTTGTTCCAACTATCACTCATCTCTGTTGTCTCTATTCCTGCACACTTTGTTTCTTCTATTGCGACCAGCCGCTACGCGTCTCAGTAATGCCCGATTCCTCCCAATCGATCAAACCAATCCGCGTCTTGTCATGTGTTCTGTGCCAGCAGCGCAAGGTCCGGTGTGACCGCACATTTCCATGCGCCAACTGCGTCAAATCCAACAGTCAATGCGTGCCAGCCGGTCTTCTCCCGCGTCGCCGGAAACGGAGGTTTCCCGAGCGTGAACTGCTTGACCGGCTGCGCCAGTACGAAACGCTGCTCAGGCAAAACGATGTCGAATTTCAGCCGCTCCATGCTGAACCGGCAAAGGAAAACGACGACCGCGAGTCCCCAGAAAGCGTTCAACCGGAAGGAAGTGACCAGTCTATGTGCTCTTTACTATCTCAGCGCAAGTCAGCCGAGTCCGCATATGAGGCAAAGTAATAGGCATTCTCGCAATCTTCATCGTGATTGGCTAATGTTTGTCAGGGATTTTTGGAATGCAGTGAACCAAACGGTACGTTTTTCAAAGATCATGGCACCACCTTGTGTGCATTGCTGACTCCAGATGCAGTCGCCAGAGTCTGACCAAGATCGTGATTCACCCGCCGCTGCCTTGCCACAGGATGTTGTCAAAAAGGCCTGGGACCAAGGATTCGAGACAACTGATCCTCTGTTTGGCGGCGAAAACAACCCTGTCGATCTTTCTTCACATCACCCCGAACCGTCCCTGATTTTCCGTCTCTGGCAGATGTATCTGGAACGGGTTGATCCGTTGTTCAAAGTCACTCATACACCAAGCTTGCAAGGACGCATCGTGGAAGCCATTGCGGATGTGAAAAGAATTAGCCCCGGATTTGAGGCGTTGATGTTTTGTATCTATTGCATGGCAGTTCTCAGCGTTACCTCAGACGAGTGTGAGGCTCGGCTCGGCTTATCGAGAGACGAACTCCTCCCAGGTTATCAGCGCAGTTGTCGCCGAGCCTTGATCAATTGTGGATTTTTGCAATCAGATGATCGTGAAATCCTAACTGCTCTGTTCTTCTATCTGGTAATTTGATATCCCCTGACAGTCCTGCTAATTCTCACGGTATCAGACGTCCCTCCGCCCGACCGTTGGTGATCCCCGAACGCTCTCAACTGCCCTAGGCATGGCAATTCGTATCGCAAAGCGCCTGGGCATCCACAGTGAGTCACGATGCGCCAGATACCCTCCATTGGAAGCAGAGCTGCGACGGAGACTCTGGTGGGCGTTGGTCCTATTTGATGCTCGAATCGGGGAGATGGCAGATTATCGAACCACTACGGAACTCACCCCCCTCTGGGACTGCAAGATCCCAAGCAATGTCAACGATTTCGATTTACGACCAGAGATGAAGAATTTGCCAGCAATTCAAAATCAATCTTCAGAAGCTCTTTTCATCGCGGCTCGGTGCGCAATGGCGGATTGCCTGCGCAACTTTTCGTTTTATCTTGACTTCACATGTCCGCCCTTGAAAGCTGTTGCCAGAGAGGTCCACCGTGATTCTGGTCCAGAATACCGCGAGCTAGATGCTCTAGAGAAAATGATGAATGAACGATATCTTCGATTTTGTACCCCAGACAACCCGCTTCACTCCATAACCATTTGGGTGACTCGAGGATGGCTGTCGAAATGCCGTTTGTTCGAACACTATTCCAAATACTCGGGAATCCGCCAGTCACAGACCCAACGTGATATGGCGGTTGAATATGCAATTGCTATGCTCGACCATGATACCGAATTCCTGTCAACTTTTAGTGAAAGCCGCTATCTTTGGATGGTACAACTGTATTTTCCGTTCCCGGCATATGTTCACCTTTTGCAAGATCTGAGAAGGCGTCCTCTCAACACCCGGGCAATGCAAGCATGGACCGCGCTGAGTGAGAATTTCGAATGTCGTGCCAACTTGTTCCGTCGCATGTGCCCAGGGCTTCACTTTTGCGCAATGTCTAGCCTCGTTCTCGAGGCCTGGGCAGTAGCTGAATCGGCCTTGAGACAATCAGGGCAGCCAGCAGCACGGCCGAAGATCGTCACGATCATGCAAGCAGAGCTAACTCGCGCTAAAGGAAACGGTCAATTGGAAAAATCGTCAAGTTCGACTAGTTTTATCCGCCATGAAGCTCTAATGCCGGTCCAGGAAAACATGAGCTTGAACAACACCCTGCCTAGCCTGGGTGGAAACACTTCATATTCGGGAACCGAAATGTGGATGCCCTTTGGGATACCTGATCAACTATCAGCTGATGGTATATTTGCTTCGTCGGACTGGTCGCTTATAAACTGGGGTATATGAAGCGAAATGTGAGGAATATGGATACGATTGCAATACACTTCCAACAGATTAGGGCTGATTTCCCGGAAGGTACTATATACATTCAGAAACCCCTTCAACCCTTCGACGACGCAAAAAGAATTCTTGTTTGAGTCCCCCACAAGATCTCGTATCGAGTTCCCATTTAATGGCCATGGACCTTCTTTCACTCACTGGTACCCCCTAAACGCTTTCCTGCTTCCCAAGGATTTAATCTTGCCTCGCAGGATCCTGCGCTGGCCGATTTTGAAGGTACTCGTCCACTTCCGCCATAATCTCGGGTGTCAATTTTGGCAGTATCTCTAGGCTCTTCACGTTGTCGATGATTTGCTCGGGTCGTGAGGCACCGGTAATGACGGAGGCGACATGTTCATTTTTCAAGCACCAGGCAAGGGCGAGCTGCGACAGCTTTACATCAAGCTTATCCGCCAAAGACTGTTGCTGTCAGCAAAGCTTCTCGATCGCTTTATGAAGTGCCCTACCTGTAATCCAGCGATCTTCTTGACATTGCCCGCCCACTGCTCACTATCCCAGGTATCTCGTGCTCCGCGAGCGAACTTGTCTTTACTCTCCGCAAAGCGAGAGCCTGGAGGAGGTGCCGACGCGTTGTTATATTTCCCACTGAGAAGCCCCATCTTCAACGGCGAGAAGGTCGTTAGACCTATCCCAAACCTCGAATACAGTCGCTGGTACTGCCCTTCAACCTTCTCACGGTCGAGCATGTTGTAAAGTGGTTGTTCGACAATGGGAGAAATTAGACCCAAGGATTTGGCAATGCCACATGCCTCTGCAATTTCATCTGCCGACCACTCTGAGGTCCCCCAATAGAAGGCCCAGCCCTTTTCAATGACGAAGTTAAATGCTCTGACCGTTTCCTCCATTGGTGTCAACCGATCTGGGCGGTGGGCATAGATTATGTCAACATATTCCAGCTGGAGCCGTTCCAGTGACGCCTTCGTGCCCTCGATGATATGCTTGCGGGACAAGCCATGGTTGTTGATGAGAATCTCCCCGTTTGCGAGGCCCCAGTTGAGCTGCTGGAGTGTTATTTCGCTGCTCGTATTCATGCGGTCGTTTCAAACTTACTTTGGTACTGATAACGATGTCGCTTCGCTTCCACCCATATTTCTTGATGGCCTGGCCCATGACGATCTCAGATTGACCACCGGCATAACTTCCTGGTCAGTTTACGTATACTGACTCGAGGGCGGCTGCCTACCTTTCGGCCGTGTCGAAGAAGTTGATACCACAGTCATATGCTTGCTTCATGCATTCAAATGCAGTCTCTGCATAGGATGATGTCAGTGCTTTCTTCACCAAGGCAAATTCTGTAAAATGGTACTCACCATTGCCGACATGGCCACCGAAACTATGTAGAAAGGAGTTAGGCATGTATGCCAATTTGTGCGCAGCGACTCACGTTAGCCAACCCCCTAGGCCCAGCGCAGAGACATGCAGTCCTGAATTGCCTACTCGGCGGTAGATCATGTCCTTGTTCTTGTTTGGCCACGCCATTTTGCTCAGAATTCAGAATCGAAAGTATGGATGGAGAGGCGATGCAAAGTCGGTTCTTTAGAAAGGCGACACGCTCGATTTAAGGCGCTCTTGGGTTTCGCTGCGGCTGGCGATTGGCAAGCCTCGGAGAAAAGCTCGGAGGGGCAAGGTCGGTCCCCACGAGGGGTCGCCCAGGCCACTTTGGAATTCTCTCATGGAGCAGTGTTGTATGCAATCATTGCAGGACAACCTTGCATGATGAGCGTCCCCACCAGCCAGGGCATGGTCGATGTATACAAAAGTGGACCCGGTGATGGCGTGTTGGGTGGGGAGAAAGACGCCATCGCTGCTTCCATGCACGACGCACTGGGCATCCAATCACCAACAAGTCATGCTGTGATCCCTGTCAGCGGGATGTTTGAGGGGTGAGCGACTGAGCGTCTTCCGAGGTCCAACCTCCGCAAAGTCTCCAACCCATGTGTCGCGACGCGTTGCTTTTTGGGCAAGAGAATCGATGAATCCGACCAGGGCCGGCGTCACCAAAAAGGCTTGCGATGCCTGCAAGATTCGCAAAGTGCGATGTGGCGGAGGGCACCCTTGCAGGCCCTGTCTAAATGCGCGCGTCCACTGCACTTACAATCGCATGCATCAGACCCGAGGTCCCCAGAAGTTGCGGGCGGCGACAAGGCATCTTATCGAGCAAAGCCAAAGGACGGATGCGCAGAAGGCTTCCTCCTCAAGCCATGCCGATGGGATTCCAAAAAGGTGATTATTGCGACGCAAACCCTTCGCGCTTGATCTAATTCGCGAAAACTGCCAGTTTGCCGACGAACTCCATCGCGCCGCTCCTCTATGTCTACCATGTCCGCATGTACCCGGTCTGGCCGATTGTGCACGTCGATAGCTTGATCGCCGATTTGCAACAACACTCCGAACGAGATGACTACGAGACGATAGCACTCGCGACCAGCATAGCCGCTGCGACAATGGCTCAACTACGGCTGGGAAAAAGCGCGACACCCGAACGGTCAGTCACAGCGGACATCCTTGTCGCGGAGTGTTTGGAGGCTCGGAAACGATTCGATTATCGTTCGCGAGTAAACTTAAACAGTGTGCGGACGGCCTTCTTCCTACATGTATATTACGAAAACCAACAGCCCGGAGGAAGCGAGTCGGTTCTATACCTCAGAGAAGCCATCACTTTGGCGCAGATGATGTATCTCCACCGCGAGGCATCATATGGTGGCCTGGCAGCTGATGAACAGAAGCTCCGCCGCCGAGTGCTGTGGTTGCTGTTTGTCACGGAGCGGTAAGTAGGATCTAGATGTGTGCTCGAGCTTATTCTGATTCAAGTCTGGAAGTGGTGTCTGCATTCTTCACAAGCTTCCGGTTGTTCTCAAAACGGACACTGCGATGCCCGAAACTGACTCGGATGACGAGGTCCTACCTGCTTTTCTGAAGCTTCTGGCTTTGTTTAGGATATTCGAGCAATCCCGCATGTTTGACATTGTGGAAGACTATCACCTAGGACTTGAGCCCCCCTATGGCTCCAGCAATACCGCAGCCACCAAGTTTGATGAAATACTGGAAGACAGTTCCTCCGATGGCTTTGGAGCAATGGATCGAGTATCTGACGTTCAGCGGGCCGACATTTGCGTGACAAGACATTGGATGCGCATTCTCATATGGAAGGCCTTATCCCACCGCAGCACTGCAATCAACTCGTTCCTGTCGCCAACATTCCCTTTGATGGTTGGAAGAGATCTGGTAAATGTTGTCTACCGATTACCTCGAGTGGCTCTCCAAGCACATGGGCTTGGCATGGTAAGCGCATTACTTATCTCCTAAGCCAAGTTACTGGCTGACAGGGAAAACAGCAGTTGAAATTATACGAGATCGCCAACTCTTTAGCCGACGCAGTCACCAGTACGGCTACGGTGTCAGATATGGCCCGATGGGACCACGACAGCCGCCCGAGTAATATACTCGCACGCCTTCACTCTATTCTAGCCGCATTGACAGACGGTGAGGACAACACGCTGGTGAATATACTATATAGTAAGGTCGCCCGGGCACATTTCATGCGTCCCGCAAGAATACTCCCAACACTGGGCCATAATATCGGAAGAGTGTCCCAGAGACCTGAAGCTGTGACAAAAGCACACGCTCAGAACGATCAAACCCAAAATACTTGTTCGCGATACGGGAATAATGATGCCAGGACTGCAAGCGACTGGTCAGGATTACTTGACACGGAGAGTCGGCCGGCCGGTGACGATGGCCGTGCGAAACGGTCAAATGCCGAGTCGACTACGTTAATGCATTACAGTCTGTTGGAAGAGGATCCTGGGGACCTATGGAGCTATGCGCAACCTAGTTATGATCCTCCCGTCGACTCATCCATTCAGCACCTTAGTGCTGAGTCAAGTGCACTCACTGCTTCCACGACGTCCACAGACATAGATCTAGGGGCACTCGGTCCCATGATAACCAACGCTCTTTCCGATCCCCATGAAGATTACATTTGCCTAGATGCGTATCTACCTATCACAAATCCCGTTGCGGACACACAGTTTGCACGACTGAACGCCTTCAGCTGACAGCGTCAACGGTTGAGTGCATAACCCGGCCTCTTCAGAGGGAAACAGTCAACAGTCAACCCAGAACTCAGCAGCATGGCCACTCGAGCCTAATATTTGAAGCGGAAGTCGAGTCGCTTGTTTCCATCTTTCTCTCGTTGAGCAAGGTCGGCTTGATATTCATATCTCTCTTCCGAAGACATAGCGTCCCACTTCCGCTCTTTCTGGCGATTCAAGTGCTTTAGATATTCGCGCTGAACGATAAATACGACCAACGACAGGGCGCAAATGGATATCAGGACCTTGTTTCCTTGATAATAGTACGGCGAGTCGTAACTGCGGTAAATCTCTGTTCAAAATCAGCCTATGCGTCTTGTGCTTCGGCTGAATTTGACTTACGTGAACCAATGACCGAGCCCATCTGCACGATGACATTGTATGTCGCAGCGGTGATGGCTCGCTTCTTGACATCGAATGTGTTCTCAGAAATCCATGAGGACACGATGGGGTGGAAGTAGGGGTATCCTGAAATCATCGTGGTGACAGTAAACCTGCCCCAGTTGTATCCGTGATCGGGAAGCCCAAGGAGAGTGGCCAGCAACGGCAGGGACCAGAATTCGCCGAACACGCAGTGGAACGTTCGCTCTCCAAAGTACTCGCTGCTCTTCGAGAGGATGAGCATGAGGATGATCTGGAGCGCAGCAGATGGGATCGACAGCATGTTCGATTCGAAGGTTGTAAAGCCGAGTCGCTTCAATGTCAAGGACAGGTATCCCTGGACGGGGCTCTGCGGTATATAGGCGACCAAGCCGATGAAGTAAAGTCCCCACATGGATTTGTCGCTCCATGCGTTGAGCACATCGCGGAGTGTGGCAGGCTCATGCAGGTGAGTCAATCCCTTGGATGGGTCATCCCGCAGGAGGCGCTGATAGGTATTAGTTCATGCATTCCCGGGCTTTTTGGAGGACTTACGTTGATCATTATCACCTCTTGGCGTTCGGTATACCATGCTTTGGGGTATAGGACACTCTTGGTTCTTGTCGGCGAACTGGGGAGGTAGAACAAGGCGAAAAGTCCGATGACGAACGTCAAGAGCCCGTCGATCAGGAACAGCCAGAACCAGCCAGTGTGTCCCCTTGTCCCCCTCATCTCGAGGATACCAGCCGCCAACAAAGACGAAATGATACGGGCGATCTAGTCTCTGTTAGTGCATGCTTTACCAACGCGACTATGCGAGGAATGTCACTCACATTCAAAGTGGACCAGAAAAAGGACAGTCGGATGGAGAGCTCCTTTGTCTTGTAGAAGTATGTCGCGAACAAGATTGTGCCTGGAATGAAGCCTCCCTCGAAGGCCCCAATTAGCGCTCTGGTCACGTAGAAGGATGCTCGGTTCGTCATCCAAGACTGAGTCCAGGAGACCAAACTCCAGAGCAGCATCAGGGTGGGTAGCACCCGTCTGAAGCCGAAGCGCTTAATGAGAAGCTGCACTGGAAATTCCGCGGCAAGAAAGCAAAGAAGCTGAATGGTGTTTCCCTGTATTCGCCTGTCAGTCTGGATTCTGGTCTCCGGTGCTCCGCCATACGTACATTGTTATAGTCATCGGTGGTCATGTTAAGGTCATCCAAGAAGTTGTCTGTCAACGCATTGGACAGATTGCCGCGATCCAACTGAAGACCGAAGAACTGAAGCAAACCACTTAGCGACTTCCTTCAGGTCTCTAGAAAAGGCATACCATCAAACAGAGCCAGGTCATGAGCATCAGGTCCGTCTTCCAGATCACCCTTCTCTCCTCATCCTCGGTCCATGTCGCGGTGGGATCAAACCGGTGATGGCCCTCATAGGACTCATGTGGCGGGGTCACAGCAGCGAGGTTCTCCTGTCCAACTGCAGGCGATACTTTCGAACCCTTGTCATCCTCCTGGGCTCGAGTGGACAGCGAGCTTTTTCCGCTCTGTTCGATATCGGCCATTGCTGCTAGCGCTCTTCCACCGAAACAAAATACAGACAAGATGATTTCAAATGAAAATGGCACGAGTCGCTCTCGCCCTTATATACATGGCTGTAACATCACCCGTCTGGTCCGATGGCAGGATGAGCATTTTTGCCTGTAGCTATTCGCAATCGAGCCCTTGCAGCCGTTGGCGAAGAACAGGCCGCACTAGGGCCATTACACCACTGCCTGCGCCGAGCACATCATTGCGGGGTAAACGCACATCACGTCCTTACTCCTGCTGATGCCTTGAAGAAACTCCGTGGTCGGAAAGCTTATTGAATGCAGTCTCGAGGCAGTTTGCTTTGATATATCCCAGCCTAGCACCATTTGAACAAGGGCAGGGCGAAAGAGGGCGACCACCCTATACAAAGTCCCTGCCCTGGTGCCACGGAATCTCCGGCTGCTGGCCTGTCATGCTGGATCTAAACATCCTAAACCTGCTTTGGAAACACGACCGGTCCACTCCAGAGGCTCTCCGAGAATTTCGCCGGTGCCCCGCCGACAGCGCTACGAGGCGAGGCCTGTGCTGACTCTTTGCGTCCCGCATGGTTCTTTCCAAGATTCCGCTCGTGGCCCAAATATGGGGAAATCTGGACCGTATGACAGGCTGCGGTAGTGGGGAGGATGCCATATATGTCGCCATCGAGGATTCTTAATCCCACCTCGCCGCCGTTGCAGGAGTCATTCGCAAATTAACCACCATGCCAACCATAATCCAGGAAGATACCCCAGCCCTCTTTGGAGGACACTCCGACGCTCGCCCTCGGCTCTCGCCACCGCTTGAGTACTCGGGCAGTCTGGACGCCTATGATCGCCAGGATCTGACTCCTGTGATTGGCACCGAGTTTGAAGGCCTTCAGATTGCTGAAGTTCTTCAGTCGCCTAGTCGTGATAGACTAATTCGAGACCTTGCTGTCACCAGTATGTTGGTTGACTTCTCGACCGTTCTCTTGCTAACCCTGTCAGTCTCGACACGTGGGGTTGTGTTCCTTCGAAACCAGGATATCACGCCCCAACAGATGCGCGAGTTCGCGGAGAGATTGACCCAGCTAGCAGGCTGTGTGAGTTACCTCAATCGCTTTCGCAATTCTGGCTAATACCAGTGCAGCCAGAGTCGTCAGGACTCCATGTCCATCCCCTGACGGAGGAGGGAAGTGAATTGGGTGACCAGATCAGCGTCATTAGCAGCGAGAAGCAGAAGAAGGGCGGCGGCCTCACGCATCAGCTCAGCGATGTCAGTCGGTTCGCCTCTGCTGGCTGGCACACGGATATTAGCTTCGAGCCCGTCCCATCTGACTATGCGATGCTCAAAATCCATACACTCCCCAAAACCGGAGGCGATACTCTTTGGGCGTCCGGGTATGAGATTTATGACCGTCTATCGCCCGAGATGGCATCTTTCCTGGAACGACTGACTGCGACTCACGATGCGACTTTTTTCCATGATGAGGCGCGACGACTGGGCAATCCCTTGCGCAAGGGAACTCGGGGGTCACCCTTGAACCATGGTGATGAGCTCACGGCTGTTCATCCTGTGATTCGGACGAATCGTATGTCGCTCTATCTTGCCCTGTTCCATCTACTAACGCGTCAATCAGCGGTCACTGGTTGGAAGTCAGTCTATGTCAACAAGGGTTTTACTAAGCGCATCAACGGAGTGACCAAGGATGAGTCGGATGTGCTTCTGGCGTACCTCTTCAATGTTAGTTGGTTGGCTTTGCTCTAGACCTGATACTGAATAGTCGGTAGCTCGTTACCCAGAACCACGACGCCCAGGTCCGATTCAAATGGCGCAAGAACGATATGGCGATCTGGGATAATCGGTCAACCTGGCACTGTGCGACGTACGACTACGCTGAAACCCGGACAGGGGACCGGGTGTGCAGTCTGGGCGAAGCGCCATACCTCGACCCTCAATCCAAGTCGCGAAGGCAGGCCTTGGGTGAAAGGCCTTGATGTCCTGTTCCTGGACGCTGAAGAATGTACCTAGCATACCTTAACTATGGCAATCCTGACGTCATTCCGGATCTGGCAATGTCAGGCCACGATCATGAACTTATCCACTCTACTCCGGAGTAAGGTTACTTTCACCATCCACGGCCAATCATTCGCCGTGGAAGAACATGCCGTCGGTGTACTCCGGAGTACCTCTCCAGCAGGTCATTCTTACCTCAACGCGGTAGAATGTGGACTTCTGCTCACGTCGTATATAAGAACCGTCGCCGGGCTATTTCCTACGTTGCCAGTGGTTCATCAACATGTTCGAGAGCCTCTCCGTCCCTCGCTTGGCGGGCAAACCGCACCCATCTCAGAGTTCTTCCGTCCCTCAGATTATCGACATTCGCTCGGACAAGAAGGATGTCGAGCTCCGCGAGTCCCTTCGCCAGAGCATACACAGCGATACCGCGGCGTTGCCGGATCTATTACTCTGGGACGAACAGGGCCTCAAGTACTTCGAAGATGTCACGTACTGTCCATCATACTACCTAACCCGGGAAGAGATCGGTCTGCTGGAGAAATACGCCCTGCAGATTGCCGCCCGCATTCAGCCGGGGAGTATGCTCGTTGAGCTGGGCAGTGGGTATGCATACCATCCTCTTCCCATGGGTCCAGAGCACAATGCAGGTGGTTAACCAGCGCAGAAACCTCCGCAAGACAAAGATCCTCCTCGACGCCCTGGAGACCCTAGCCCGGCCAGTCGACTACTTCGCCCTCGACGTCTCGCACCCCGAGCTGAAGCGCACGCTCCGCCCCGTCTCCGCCGGCGTGTACACGCACGTCCGCTGCTTCGGACTCCTAGGCACATACGACGACGGCCGCGCATGGCTGCAGCACCCTGATCTGCAGGCGCGGCCGAAGACGATCCTCTACCTGGGCTCCACGCTCGGCAACTTCGAGAAGCGCGATGCGGCCGCGTTCCTGGCGAGCTTTGCGAACCCGCACACCTCGTTCTTGCTTGGTTTGGATGGTTGCACCGATGAGGGGAAAGTGTTGTCGGCGTATAATGACCCCGAGGGGGTGAATCATCGGTTTGTGATGAATGGGCTTGCTCGTGCGAATGCTATACTCGGGTATGAGGCTTTTGAGGTGGGGAGGTGGGATGTTACTGGTCTTTGGGATGGCGAGAGGGGCGTGCATAGTCAGTTCTATGAGGCAAGAGTTGATGTTTGTTTGGAGGGGGTGGATATACCCGCTGGACGGCGGTTGTTGGCTGTTAAGAGTCATAAGTATGGGCCTGGGGAGAGGGAGGGGCTTTGTGAGAGGGCGGGATTGAGACTTGTCGATGGGTGGGCGTCTGATAGCGAGTATAGTGAGTTCAGCACCTCCTGTGTGTGTTTGGTTCGAGCTAACAGGCGCAGATCTGCTTTTCTTGACTAGCAAATCGGATAGAGTGTGAGCGCCAATTTGTGGCTAGATATACTTAATGCATAATATCTTCACTATATATTGCTGCCGCGGTTTCCCTGATTTGTGCCGACAGCTCGTCGCTGTCAATTGGAGCTGGGTACCATTGGATTCCTCTGAGCTCGTTATTGATATGGACCTCATTCCATGCAGACGTACACCCGTGGTCTTTCAGATCACTCGTCGCTTCAGAAGGTTTGATTTAGCATGATGTTGTTCCTATATCCGCCCGCGCGTATCACCGTCACACCAGTCGCCGCGAGCTCATCCTTGCCCAGGGCCATGTCTAACTCGAATGGCCCAGCTACTCTCCTCAGAAGCCGATCCACTCTCATTATGGTCGGGATAGCTTGCTGATACTCGTAGTGATGGAGGCGGAGAGGAACAGATGGGGCCATGTCTTGGATGAAAATCTAGATTGAAGCCATTATTAATCCTCCATTGCACTTGGACGGTGCTCGGAAGAGTCAAGCCCCGATCCTTCTCCTTGTCCGACCGATAACTCCGTGTCTAATGTACTGCAGAGGTATAAAACGAATCGCAATCTCGTGGCCGATGAGGTTGTTTTCTTGACTTGAGGAGACGCAGAGCCGGAGAATAGACCCTCTTTCCTCTTTAGGCTTAGTCCGGTCGCCCATCTTCTTCAGCCTTGGAACTCCCCGACTTCTTTCAATCATCCTCCATCACGCTGACCCGATGGCTCCCAAAATCCTCAAAGACGGCACCGTGCTGTCCTTCGACACATCAACCCAGTCGATCAAAGTCCTCCGGCGCGCCTCCATCCTCATCGTGGACGACCGCATCGCCGCGATAGAGGAGAACAGCGATGACCTCCCCGCTCCACCCGGCGACGTCGAGATCGTTGATGTCGCGGGCAAGATCATCTCGCCGGGCTTCGTGAACACACACGTCCACGTCTGGGAGTCTGTCTACCGCTCCATGGGGCCCAATACCACCCTGCCGCAGTATATGGGCTGGGCAGGTCACATGGGGCAGTTGGTGCCTGTGGCCTTTACGGCGGATGATATCTACATCAGTTCATTGCAGGGGTATATTGAGGGGTTGAATGCCGGTGTTACGTCTGTTGTTGAGCATGCGCATAATAATTGGTCCAGGGCTGTTATGGAAGAGGGATATAGGGCTGCGGTTGACAGTGGGGCGAGGGTTTGGTGGTGCTACGATGTTATGGAGAGAGAGGGTTTCTCGGCCCATGAGCAGTGGGATGCTTATGGTCAGCTTGTGAGGGATAAGAGTGCGCTTGTTTCTTCGGGGCTCTCTTTGGATGGGCTTGGTTGGGGGATTCTGAATGGGGATGGGAAGGCTGTGGATTTTATACGGGGGAAGAAGGCGTACGTCTCCCCCGTGCTGCTTAAGGGATATGCACTGACGAACATAGCGAGTTGGACATCCAGGCCCTCACTGTGCATCACTGCGGCGGCCCGTGGCCCCAGGGCAATACCTCTCCAACCAGGATCTGCGCCGACAACAACCTCTACGAGGCAGATCTTCCAATCATCTTCTCGCACTCTCCTTTCCTCACCGACTCCGACAAGGAAATGCTGCGCGAGCATAAGGTCTTCATCTCCATTACCCCCGAGTCCGAATGCCACTACGGCATAGGACAGGAAACCGGCCACGAGATCTCGGACCAGGCATCCTTGGGAATTGATACGAATTGGACCTTCTCTGGCGACATTATCGGCCAGGCCCGACTGTGGCTACAGCTCACGCGGCTACGACAATACACCAAGACTTTGCACACCGGTCTGCTGCCCAATGCGAATCCCATGGCAGTTGAGCAGGCATTCCTCCTGGCTACACGCCAGGGTGGCCGGGCGCTAAGACGAGACGACATCGGCGTCATTACCGTCGGCGCCAAAGCAGATCTTGTGGTGTTTAACGGCGACAGTCCGAGTATGCTTGGATGGAGTGACCCGATAGCTGCGGTTATACTCCACGCCAATGCTGGGGACATCGAGCATGTCCTTGTGGACGGGGAGTGGAAGAAGAAGGATTTCAAACTGGTTAGTCTGCCAATGGACTGGAAGGACTTGCGCACCCGGTTCTTGGAGTCTTCGAGGCGCATCCAGCCGCAATTTGCGGTGCCGCCGCCTCTGCCGGAGAAATTCTGGGGCACTGGGCGGTTTGGCGATGTGGAATCTGTTAGCACTATCTACGAACGCTAAACCCGGTGATTTTGTCACTTAGTACTGTCCTTACTGCGCATTTAGTGTGAAAATACAGTCAATCTCCGCTATTCAAGTCCTCCTCCGTTGTTCTTTCGGCCTCCGCATCCAGTTCCGGCTTAAGTTCTTAACTCCGCTGACTCCGGTCGCATACAAATCCGCACCCATCCTGCAACATTTCGATATCTAACACTGTGGACTATCTCAAATTCAACCTCACTCTCTATCATATCCCTCACCTGATATAATGGCCAAGAAAACCATCGTGGTCGTCGGCGCCACCGGCCAACAAGGCGGCTCTGTCATAACCGCCATCCGCGCATCTCCCACCCTTAGCAAGCAATACACCATCAAAGGAACAACCCGAGATCTCACCAAACCCGCAGCACAAGACCTCATAAAGAAGGGCATCGAGATAGTCCCCGCCGACATAAACGACCCGTCCTCCCTCCGCGCCGCCTTCAGCGGCGCATCCATCGTCTTTGCCAACAGCATCACAATCTACGACGGACACACGCTGAAGCACGAAATACAGCAAGGCCGCGCCATGGCCGATGCTGCCGTCGCCGCAGGCGTCCCGGCAATAATCTACTCGACTCTCCCGCACGCCGGGAACATCTCGAACGGGGAGTTAAAGGCTATGGGCCACTTTGACGGGAAGGCCGAGGTTGAGGCGTATATTCGGACCCTGCCGATCCGCTCTGCGTTTGTGGCGCCGGGCAGCTTCATGAGTAACTTTTTTGACAGTATGGCGCCGCGTCCGGACTATACTGAGGAGGGGGCGTATGTGATTGCCATGCCTGTTCCAGCCGAGACAAAGTTACCGCTCATTGATACGGCTGGGGATCTGGGGAAGTGGGTTGCTGCTATCTTGGAGGACTTTGATCAGTTTGAGGGGAAGGTTTTATGCTGCGCGACAAGGCTCTACTCTTTCAGCGAGATCGTGGAGATTTTGTCCCGCTTGTCCGGGAAGAAGATTGTTTATAGGCAGGTTCCTGTTGATGTCTGGAAGGGGTTTCTGCCGCCGCTTATGGCGGAGCATATTGCGGATATGATAAGGTTCTTTTATGAGTTTGGGTATTTTGGGGAGGACACCGAGGGGAAAGTCGCTTGGAGTGCGGAGATGGCGGGGGTTGATGGGAGACTGACGACGCTGGAGGAGTTTATTGGAAGGAATCCGTTGAAGCTATAGACTTGGGTGTTAACTGGGATGATGGTGCAAGTAGTACTTAATTGATGTCCTTCCAAGGGGCTGCTCGTTGATCTTGAGGTCGTAGTTATTCGATAGTGTTACCGAAGCCACTGGCTGCAAGTCGAGACCTCATGACTACCATGGGTCAGAAGTCAGAATGAACACTACTGCACCCTGTGCCCTGAACTGCTTCTACAGTGCCACGCATGCTGCAATTCCCGCGGACACCATCTAGACAGTCTGTACATATTGAGCAGGCACGCTATTCCACTTTGGGCCTCGGCACTTGAAGTCCACTCGGGACCCGGGGAGGTCAACAGATCCTCCAGTCCTCAACCTCTCCCTCTTCTCCATGCCACTCTTCTTTGGTTGCCACTTGCTCTGCACGAGTGACGAATGGTATAGGTCTCTGGTGTCCTTTCTTCTCAAGCCGTTGTTAGGGACTCGTGTCACCTCCACGCGCCTCACCAGGCGAAACCCTCGTCGAGCCTCCAAAAATCAACACAAGCGCTGGGCCAACCTGCATTCTGCCGCTACCCCGGACATCAATATCAGCTTCTGCATCGAATAGTCAGACAGTGTGGGGCACGAATGTTGGTGATCGGAGCTGATGATTTCAATAGGATCCTCCATCGTCCCACTCCTCCATCTGCGGCCGCTTCCGTCGGTTAACGCTTGCTCCCTCGGTCCCTTGATAATATACGGGTTGGTCCAGTCCTTCGGGGAGCGTATATTGGGTGGTTAGTGGCTGAGCGAGATGGTCTTGGGACGGGTACGAGACAGAGCCAATACCTACAACGCCCAACGGCGGCGCGGCGTCAAGACCCGAAGGCATCGGTGCCCAATCACCCCAGAGGAGACCCGGATGGTCCGGAATGATTGGCCAGTGAGAATCATGAGGGTTTTGCTGGGGAAGCTTTCCAGCTGCATCAGGGAAATCGAGGGGACACGGAATGCTTGAACCTGGAGACGTATCGGTCATTGCCTTATCTTCGGACGGACATTTCGGGATCTTGCTCTCGCCCGGGTGATCGATGAATTTCGCAATGTCCAACACGTGGTGGAGAACACCGGCGACCTTTCGGTGGTAGCTGTTGGACTCCGTCGATGAGACGAAGCGCGTGCAACACTCGGAAACTTGTCGCAGTAGTTGCAAGTCCTCATTAGACGACGACGCTCGGTAGTCACCGATGAGGTCTGAAATCACGTCCTGGCTAAGAAAAAAATAGGAAGGAATCGAGAAAGCATCCATGGCGCGACACATAAACCGAGTCGCCGTCTCATGATTGACAGGGCTGGCGGTGGACGACGACAAGACACTGCTAGTGAGCAAATGAAATCTGGGTATGATCTGCTCAGCTCGGGCACCATTGGCAATAAGAAGAAGCAAGCAGCTCGCTCTCGCATCCAATCGAACCTGTTCCAGATGTCCCTGCTGCCGGCTGAGACGCAGGGCCAGTATCCTAGTCGCGAGGAATTCCAGACCAATCCCGACATTATGATTTAACTTCGAGGGGGAGCTCAAGTCAAAAATGGCGAATGTTGTCGCGAACTCGGCAAGTTGGCGCTGAATAGACTCGATGGATACCCCTAGGCTCCTGCGCGAGCTGGGAGTGTCGGTGTACGCGGCTTGGTTCAGCAGATATACCTCGTCCTGTATCATCGCCAATCGAACGCGTATATGATAGGGCTTCTCAGGATCGACTTCTACGCTGAGCCTTTTGATAAAATCGCAGGCATGGGGTGGTAGCCAGGACACTGTCCCGCGGGTGATGCACAGGCCGCGGTCACGAATGTACAACGATCGACGAGCCTTTTCCAGTTCCACCGTCTCAATATCGTTGTCATCGTGTGAAGGCAAATGCCTCTGACGCATACTCATCATTCGGGCAAGCATGCACGCCTGTGCAAATATTGACTCGGCCAATTCGGGTGGATCCGATTGTTCTGCTGCGATACTCTGGGGCCAGTTAGATCTGATGACATAAATGGGGATGAAGGACTATTACCAGCAGTATCAGCACTTGCACGTTGATCAGGCTCGGCTTGGCTAACAGCCCGGAGGTAATCAAAGACGCTCGGTTCGGAGCCCAAGATTTGGCAATGTTGGCAAAGGAGGTGGTCGGACCTGGACGGTGCCTCACTTTTCCCATGGTCAAGGCAAGAACCGTGAGCGTTTCGAAACAAATTGCCCATGAGTCCAGTGTGTCACTGAGTATATTAGGACGCGAGTAAACAAGCTCGAGCTGCGCAAGAAGGTGACTCGGCACGAAGAGATCGGTGATACAATCCCCATATTCAAGGACTCGCTTAACAGCGGCCATGACCTCTTGCTTGGGGGGAAGTGAGATCCCTTGTTGATTGCTAGATATTGGAACTGTTTCCGTGGCAGTCGCGGTCTCACAGAGAGTCTGCAATTTTTGTGCCAGTCCGTCTCTATCCAAGTGACCGTGAACGGAAAGAATGTGCTGCCGTAGGTTGCCGCAGAGAGCAGCGATTGAATGAGGGCCAGTGTACCAGCCGTCGGCCCAATTCTCCTCACTCAGCTGAGACGGGCTTGCCATTATGACTGAGGCGTGGCCGTCAGTGTCCGCGTCATGTTCCCATTCTTCAACGTCTTCTTGTTTGCCCGCCAGGGATTCCCCGAGCGGCGCGGCTGTGTTTTGTTCATGGCTCTGTTCCAAAGCGAGGGTCATACGATGGAGGTGGGATTCGATGCTCGAGAGGCGGTCCTGAAGTTGGTCGACACTGTCACATCTAGGCATTTCGGAGGTCAGCCAGTCCGCTTCTGCACACGTGGAGCAATAGGCTATCGAGAGTCACTCACAACAGCTTCAGGTGGTTCACTCTTATAGGGGGTGTTTGATAGACACAGCCAGCTCCATCTTCATTGCCACAGTTCCCACAGCGTGGCCGTTTCCTATCGCAGCGAATCTTGCGTTCGCGACAGCGGGTGCAAGCCAGGTCAGCAGTACTGGAATCGGAGTGGTTCTATATGTGCTTAGCCCGGCCTATATAAGGATTGGACTGTGGCATACGAGTCTCTCGCTACCTGCCATCGTCTGCCTAGGTGGTCTGAACCGTGCCTTCGGGACGCTCTTTTGGTGGTCAGAAAAATGGTTAGTGAGGTTGAAGAAAAGCCAAGCTCTCACCGGTCGTACCTGGAGGCCGGTTACTGCTAGATAAAGCGGAAAGCCTCGGGTTGCCCGCTCTTCCTCAGAGGGCCTACTGGCAGGGCTAACTCCTCAGCCCTGTCTTATGTGAGCCGAAATGCCTCGATCTTCATTATGGTTGCCATTAATCAAAGTCTCGCCAATCGGCACGCGTCGTTTATTTCATGAGCTCTACAAAGGCACCGAAATGTCCTCGGATTGGGCTACTTGCGTATGCTTATGGACAAGCCCTTCAAGTGGCTGGGCCCTCAAGAGCCGCATGCCATCCCTACGGTACCAAACAGACCGGATAATATCTGCAGCTGTCAATACCACCCCTCTTATAACGGATCATGGGACGTGGATCCAGCTGAATAACAATCTAGACTGCCACCCTGGCCGGGGGGCCTTGTGACCTCAACAACCGTTGCATTCCCACCCCCTTCAATGCAGTGCTATGCCGGCAACCGCTCCCTCCGCTCATACTCGGCTACTGCTCACGTTGAACCTTGGTCCAGGATGCTCTGTCTACTTCGAGGCGGCTCGGCCTAGCCGGAAGGCGTATCCCCATGACCGCTTAGTCTCCTTTGGCAAGGTTCTGATGGCAGGCTCGGCGGATTTTAACAAGGTTGTTATGTTTGTTTGTGCACTGTGCGCTTTCCCTACCCAATTACATTAAAGCAATGCCGAGAAATAGGCGTCCAATTCAGAGACCTCCTCTAGCCCCCCGACCCAGGCAGCATGCTGGTCTGGACGGCAGAGAACAACACAGCCAGTTCCCTCGTCGATCCCATATTCTGCATATGCACCCCCGCTGCCTTGTCCGTAGGCCGCATCATCGGCGAAGACCTTGCCATAATCCCATCCTAATGTCTCATCAAACGGGTGAAACATCTCTGGCAAGTCTAACAGTTTGACAGATGTCCTTGGACTGTTATGGATCAGAATCGTTTCTATCACCATTCCCTGGATGCCTGATGTCGATACTTCTCGTAATTTAGGGCAGTGTGGATGACGTTCGAATGCGTCCGCAAACGCCTCCAGCCGTTCCACCCCCTCGCTCTGGCCCAAGTCTCCAGCAAAAACGAGCAGCCTCCACGCACCGTTGCTTGGCAAAGCCTTTGCCAGTTGTATTGTGCTACCATCGGCCTGATTGACCAGTGGTGCCGTCCTTAGCCGCCTTCCTACTATTACCTGACTGGCATGCGCTGGCTTCCCATCACCGCCCTTCGACGCAATCAGTACGTTCGGCCGGTATGTCACTTCGACTCCAGACATGAACCCCGAAAACTCCCTTCGTACTTTGCTGACTTCACTGATGGGCGCGTTCTGTTGTTCGTAGGTCTGAACCAACTCCGAGTCCATCCTCATTAGCTCTTCCGCGATTGGATGTCGTTCGAGTTCGTACGTCTCCAGTATCTTGGGGCTTAAAGCCCCGGTGATAACCGATCCCAGCTTCCACACAAGGTTGTATGTGTCTTGGATGGAAACGTTCATTCCCTGGCCGGCCTTTGGGGAGTGGGTATGCGCAGCGTCACCGGCCAGAAAAACACTGAAGCGATGAGCACCATCTCAATCCGCAAGCACTATTGCACATACCGGTTTTTGACTTGATAATTCTTGACAAGGCCTTGCTTTATCTTATTGCTGTCAGCGTAGACCCTTTCTCTCGCTGAGCAGCAATCATACAGGGTAAACTGAGTACCAGTCGCAGTAGTTGTACGTCAGGCTGTACGGCTTCATAATCCTCTGGACCAGCTGGATCAATGCATCCGGGGATTCTTCCGTCTGCCCCATGGCTTTTTTATCCAGCTCGTCGTCTCCCTTGAGCTGTATGTAGAAACGAACGAGGCGATCCTCCCTCGGGGCCGTCATTACACTACCGAACTTGTCGGAATGGATGGCGCAGGACTGCCGGATATCAGCTGCAAACGTCAGATCAGCCCTATTTACGCCGGGGAGAACATACGAAAGTCAGTAATGGGGACAATGTCAATAACTCCCCACATCGAGTCAGTGGACTTGGCCTCCAGCGGCACGTTCAGCTGTTCCCTGACGAGACTCTTAGCGCCATCGCAGCCGACAACATACCGCGCTTGGATGACTTCTGTGACCTGCGCGTTCCCCTGGGAATTTGCATCGGATTCGCCGTTTTGTAGCACTTGCACCATGCGGTCAGTCCGCTGGCCATCTGTTTCCACCGTGACCGGATGGGTATCGTGGTCAGTGAAGTATATCTTCTCCGCTCGCTTTTGTCTCTCGATCTTGATGCGGCCCTTCGACTCGATATAGTCGATCAATATCTGCTCCACTTCGCCCTGGTTGAGCAGCATCTGCCCGAACCTCGAGAGACCATCTGGCTGCGATCGCGCCCGTTGCTGGCATTCGAGCTGTGACGTCTCTTTATTGACGCTCTACCGCCCAGTTAGAAACCCTCGTCCACTTACCCTAACAGGTACGCACCCAGTAACTCATTTCAGTCTCGTGCACTCCCCGCCGCATGATAGGATCGACGATCCCGAAGCTATCCAGGATCTCTAGCGTCCGGCTGTGGATGCCGTCAGCATGGCCGGTCTTTGTGCGATGGTCTTTGGCATCGATGATACGCGTCGACATCCCGTACTGGCTTGCCCAGCAGGCGGCCATTAGACCCGCAGGCCCCGCGCCAATAATCAGCAGATCGGTCTGGGATGTCCTTAGCGCCATGCGACGAGCGTTGAGGTCTACCCCCAACGATACCTTTGAGATCGTCACGAACAAGAGTCATTGGCTGGTAAGTCTATGTACGGAATTAAGTGAAGTTGGATTTAGGTTATCATTGTCTATGCCAGTCCTTGGGACCTGCCCAAGTCTATGAAAGTATGATGATGGTGGTGGTCACAGAGACTCGACTTAGGGCACGATGATGTACCCCGATGATGTCATGGCGACGTGGGCCTGGAACTCAACGATTCCAGTCTCCCACACGAACCTCCCCCTGCCATTCCTCCATTTCGATTATTAATGCCCCTCACTCTATCCATGCGGAACCCACCTGCCCTGATAATCATGTTCACATGCCGATCTTCACATGTTCCCGCCCGTCTTCCCGATTCTTTACATCATCATCATCATCGCGTAGTTGGCAATGGCTGCCCGGCGGCCGGCCCACTGCCATCGTGAAACGTAAACCCCCCAAGCCACCATTAAGCGTCGCCGTCCACAATGGCCGGCCCCGGACGGGTATATATACCCTACAGCCTGCACTCCCCGGAGCTCTCAAGAGTCTACCTAGGACGCCTACGGAGTCCCACTTACACCAATCCACCACCTGCAACACACTCGAGAAATACAAACACCGCTACCATCATGCCTTCGTCGAATTCTCCCGGTCCCCATGTCACCACTGTCCCTGCTACGGCTGAGGCGAAGCCTTCGGCCGCTGAGTCGAAGCCGCTAGAGGCTAAGGCGCCCGAGTCCAAGCCGGACGATGATAATGTCCCTGAGCCGGTTGAGCCTGAGCAGCCTAAGGCTGAGGGGAAGTCGTTTAAGGAGGCGCTTGTTGATGGGGATCGACCTGGTCATGAATTGAAGGATAACGGGGTCGAGGTCGGGGACTCGGATTCGACGGAGCGGTCGAGCGAGACTTCGAGTGATGACAAGGATGATAGCACGAATACCTCGCGGTCGAACTCAAATGCGAATGCCAATTCGAGCAAGGACACTGAGAAAGAGGAAGGCTCCAAGCCCAAGACCAAGAAAGAGACCAAAGATCTCGGCAAGGAGGACAACAAGGAAGACTCCAAGGAGGATAGCCGAGTGGACAAGCACCAAGTACAGAAAGAGGATCAGGATAAGGAGAAGGATACGGAATCCGACATCCCCGTCACATCGCCGCACTGCGCCGTAACATCCAAGCGCCTCCCAGCAAAGAACACCGACGAGAAAGCCGGCGTTGCCCGGACAAACGTCGTGGAGGGCGACACCTCCGAGGGCTCCATGAAGGAGTTCCACGAATTCGTACGCCCCGTCCTCTCCCTCTCCCCTTTCCCATATGCAGGTTCCACTAACAACACCCACCCCAGACACCCATGCAACAACACGTCCTCTTCTGGGACCGCGACCGCGACGGCCAAATCTACCCCTCCGACACCTACCGCGGCTTCCGCGACCTCGGCTTCAACATCCTCTTCTCGCTCGCCGCCGTGCTAATCATAAACCTGAACTTCAGCTACCCCACGCGCCTGGCGCACTCGTTTCTCCCGGACCCCCGCTTCCGCGTGTACGTCGACTCGATATACAAGGCGAAGCATGGGTCTGATTCGGGGACGTTCGATGCGGAGGGCCGTTTTGTCCCGCAGGCTTTCGAGGATATGTTTAGCAAGTATGATGGCGATAAGGATGGGGCGCTGACGTTTTCGGAGCTGTTTGGGATGATGCATGGGAATCGGTGTGCGGTGGATCCGTTTGGGGTGTGTTTTTCCCGACCTTTTTTCTTTGGTTTGGTGGCTTATGCTAATGGTGATGTTTCATAGTGGGGAGCTGCGTTCTTTGAATGGGCCACGACGTGGCTGCTTATTCAGAAGGATGGAAAGGTCTACAAGGACGATTTGCTCGGCGTGTATGATGTATGTTCTATGTCATGCTATCCTGCCGTTTATCATGCAACGCTAATCGATATAGGGTTCACTTTTCTGGAAGATCGCCAAGGCGAGGAAGTCCGGCGAGGGCTGGTCCCAAGGGTTCGGACTAGGCGGTGATAATTTTCTGGGTGGTGTGAAGGTATTCTAGATGAACTGCCTAGCCCCTCGGAATATGCAAATCACGATGAGTATATAAATGATGAGTGTATGAGTGATGCAGCCGTGTTCTTTGCAGGTTTTGTTGCCAGACATACAGTATATAGAATGAAGAAATGAGAAAATCAGACTCAAACCATCAAGGCGAATCTAATTTGGATTCTTGTAGAGGGGAATCTCATCATACGGTGTCTGGATGGAAGGATGGACCGTCATGTTATGCGGCAGCCTCGGGAATGGCTCGCCGAATGACGCACCATCCGTAAACTCGGCCGCCTCGAAAGCCGGTGACAGCGCTGTTGGGGAGGTGAGACTGGAGCTGTGCGAATCCCTCTCGGGTGAGAAGACGCGCAAGTCTGACAACACCGCCGCTCGAGGGTCCGGCCCGAAGAACAGGCGGTTATATATGCTGTTGCAAACCTCCCAAGCTCGGCGAGACGGAATGCTGATCGCACCCAGGCTGTGCAGCCAGTCGAGGCCCTTCTCCAGATGCAGAGTAATATGCGACGCTCCATCGGCGTGGAACCGGACACAAAACTCCATTTCAATTAGGAGTACGGTTATAGACTGCATGAAATAATGCAGAACACACCACCAGGGCGATACCTGGACAAGCCAAAGCGCATCCGGCTTATCTGGCAGTAGATCCAGCAGCTCGCATGCCGAGTCGATGCAGATCCTTGCGATCCGTTGCTGACTGAGTGCTGACGCTTCGTTGGGAGATCGCTGCCGCTCGGAGCGGCAAAGTGACGGTCGACTGAGAGCGATGCGCAGACTGTAGAATCGAAAAGCCAAACTCCATCGTTGACGTTCGAAGTGAGTTGAAGGATGACTCATCCTCCACTGGAACACAGCAGGGACACGACTTAGCCATTCGTCTGTCTCCTGAACTAAATCCATGATCGAGGCGCTGATGGTTAGCCACGGCCGGCGTGCAAACCCGGGACTGTAGAGCGAGTCAATAGCCCGACGCATGATCACGGTGAGATCAACGAAATAGAAAAAGTAGAAGGAATTGCTGGGAGAAATATCCATCGGGCTCGGCAACGGGTCCTGCCCAAAAACAGGGTTCATTCTGGGCGAATCCCACCCAATAGGACTAGGCCGCCGCTGAGATGTCAGGCCCTGCATGTAATCAGTGCGCGCCCGAAAGTCCGTGAGAAGGCGCGAGGCTATCGGTTCCCTGAATTGTTCCTCGTCAAAAGGAATGGGCAGAGGTGTCGTGCTGTATTTGTCTGGTGCACTCGTAGGCCGACCGGTCATGATGGATAACGTGTTCTCGAGCGTATATAGCGACCACCAAACCCGATATCTAATCTCTTTCGAGAGATTGGATGTTTCTTTACTCTCGCTGCGCAGATTCACACCGAGCGCAATGGCCGATCGAACAGAAACACCACAAGCTCTCCAGGAGCGGTTGATGTGACCGATTGCCATCAAGAAGAACGCCGTCAGGCCCTCGACTTGAACCTGTTGAAGATTGGGATGTTCTAGCAGCTGGCTCTCGCTGTAGTTGAGCTTGCGCGCTCTCGTGAAACAAGTCATCGGAGTGTCCGCTTCTAGAACCCATGGCTTCGAGACCAGCTGAGCAAACTTCGACGCCAGCGCAAAGACCAGATTTAGGATCGTAAGCCATCGCTTCGTCGGCTGAATGTCTGTCCGCGTGTAGTACATCTCGTACTGCTGCATAAACGGAATCTTGGCGATGATCGGGAAGGACGGATGGACGGTGAAGAAATAGCAGTCGAGTAGTTGATCGGCAATATGACGCGGTGGTCGTCCGTAGGGATCGATGTTTGGATCTAAAATCAGCTCCTCGTCGTCCAGAAAATAACAGACCGATGTCAAGGATTGCGATTTGTTCGAAGCCTCGTTGTCCAAGAATGGGGTGTCCTTCTCGAGGACCTGGTACAACTCATTGATCCATGACATCTCCGACGGTCCACCCATGAATCCAATGGCTTGCAAGCCCTTGTCCTTGTGAAAATCTTCCTGGATGTACTCGATACCGAAGGAGCGAATCTGGGGAAGCGTAGAAGGGTGGGGCGCGTGTTCGACATTCGCAGGATCTGGCTCTAGGCTCGCAAACTGTTCTTGGTTAACCCTCTTCCTGAGATTGCAATAGAGCATTCATATCCATACTTGAGCTCGTGTCCTTGCGATGAGATCCTTGTCCTGGTTATCCACTCGCGGTTGGATCTCCTGAAGCAGCCTGTCGTAGGCCTGCACCTGTTTCTCCAGATCTTGTAGCCGTTTCTCCGTCACCTCCCGCTTTCCATCCATGTAGGTGCACTCGATGCTGAGGCTGATGCACCGACTGCACGGCGTTTGTCCGTTGCATTTCGTCTTCTGTTTGCGGCACTCGAGGCAGGCTCTCCTGACGCGTCGATTGCCGAACGTTCGAAGCTGGGAGACACGGGGGATGGCGATTTTGGAGCCCGGCGTAGAGGACTCCGACGAAGTCAGCGGAAGTGCTGAATCGGGCGCCGTCATCGCGGGCGAAGGCACTGTTCGCTGATCAGACGTGGCCGATGAAGGGCCAGGAAAGGAGACGACGCGAAAGATGGCATGGTTGCCCGCAGGGCGAGGGCGTTTATTCGATCGCATGGCACGGCGATCGCGGGGGAAAGGGCAGGAGCCAGGCGTCCCATGTGAGGAGGAAGCCGCCCATCTCTGAAGAATCGCAGATGGGGATAGACAGTCCGCTTCAGCTCAAACAAAGGAGTGACAGCGGTTGACCCAAGGATCGGGAGTGAAAATTGAGGTTGTCGAGACGCCCGCCCGGAAGCTCGCCCCGATTGGCGGAACGACCTTCCGGGATTTTCCTGCAGGCGCGGGTCAGGCCGGAGTCTTCTGCCTTGGCCTCTGACTGGGCGGGCTCTTATATCCGCCGGTGTTCACTCGGTCTCCATCCATCTGGCGGCGAACTCCTGATCTGAATTATCTGATGGGCCGAATACCTGAACTCCTTGCTGATTCGTTCTTGCCCATCCCAGAGCCCTGGGTTCTCGAAAATCTGAGATCTTCTGTCCCCAGAATAGGAGAATGCAAGATGCTAACTAAGTACACCCGTTCCTGCCCAACACCCGGGTCATCTGCTAACTCGCTTCGGATGCAGCAAGGGGTCCCATGGATCATCCAGATTCTTAGCGTCGAAAGTGAAAGTCCCTCTCAGAGCAGAATCGCAGTGGTGGTTTGCCCGAAGATGAGCCCTGTGCGGAATGGAGACTACGAATCTTGAACCCACCTCCACCCAGTGCGAACCTACGGAGTAGCGCGATGCAAGGCGCCCACAGCGGCAATGTTGAAGGCTTCAAGCTTCAGGGATTTCAAGTCCTCGACTCATTCGAGATGCTAGACGCTCGAAGCGCGTTCAAAATGCGTCACTTGACTCACCCTCAATGGACCTCGAAGGTTTCGAAGCAGTCAGCTCGTCAAGAAGAATGCGTTGCATTTTTAGGACCTGGCTAGGAGGATCCCTTACCTATGGGGCATCTGGGTTCCAGGCCCTCGTCAAACGCGTTTGAGACATTCTGAGTCTCTGACTACGAAAATTGAAAGGTCGTGCTCAGCGAGTCCCCAACCGAACCGGCATGTCAAGGCTTGAAGAAACCGTGGCAACCTCATGTCATACAGATAATCGGTGGGTCTCAGAAACGCCAATATTGCGTGGCAATTCAAGTTGCATCCGCTACGCCGTTCGGCAGCTCAATGCGCCAGCAATATCCGTTCGACTTCTTGTACTCGACTCTGATGCGGATGATATTGGCGTCAACAGATATATGTAGATACTCAATGTGCGAGACGTTGTCTTGGAGTATCGAAGATGTTACAGACTCTACATGTGGGTCTTGTTCTGACTTTGATGTTTGATGATAAAAGACCAAGCAAAATATATATGTAGCCCCGTAGCACCCACAAACATCAACCTAATTATCAACTCTTTTTCTAGGTGTCTGGTTAACTGGACGGCCTAGTAGGAGGGACTATCTGATTATTGTCAGGGAACAAATCCATCTAGGCTTATTTACAGCGCATATAGCGTGCTGCTCGGATGATATCAGTTTTTACCTGTTGAGATAGCCATAGTTGTAGTCAGTATCACCCAGAATAGCTAGTACGACAGGTGGAGCCAATCCAGCTACTCCAACCCCAGCGCTGCCTATCGCCGTTTCTTTCTTATCCTCGGCCCCGTCTAGTCTCTAGATAAGATCGCGTCTCTCCACTTTTCTGGTGTTCTTCTCCAGACTCCCCAGTCAACAGACAACAGATCTTTGCGATCATGTCGTCAAGTCACGTTTGCGCTCGTTGCGCCCATACAGTTAGTTCAACTTGATGGCCATACAATGAGGCATTCTGCAACCACAGCTAACCGCTTCAGAAACAACGATGCGACGGATCTTCCCCGTGCTCGCGATGCGCCCGTAAGCCTCCGTCCTTTCATGAAGCTACGCATCTCTGATCGCTACCAGGATTGGGCCATCTTTGTGAGCCTCAAATGCCAGGGAAAAGGCCTCAAATGTCTCGTCGACCCCGGGCAACTCGATCGCGGGGAGGATGCACTTCCTGTAAATCTCGGTTGGTTTCTTCCAATTTCGCAAGTTATATTCCGTCCTGATGGGAAGAAGAAAGAAGAAGTGTGACGAGCTGCGTCCTCAATGCGGTGATTGCCGTCGCCTAGGTATTTCCTGTGTCTGGAAGTCTCCCTCGCCCTCTCTTTCCTCTGACGACTCTCCATCTTCTCATGTTAACGATGTCGCCTCGACCCCGTTGCCTTCCGCGGATTTGCCTACTCTGCCTTCACCCGCCTTTCTCGACGACGAATCTTCCCTTCTCATAGACCCCTCATGGCCGATTCTGGATTTCGCTATCCCCAGTCCTGGAGCATTCCCCGTACAAATACCGCTCAATCCACATCTTCAGACAGATGAGGACATATCGTTGTTCAACCACTACGTGCACATCGTGTCCCGCTCTCTATTACGATCTGCCAAGTCAGATGAGAACCCGTTCCTCAGAACTTTGCTCCCCGTGGCTGCCACCTCGGACATGGTGACTAGCGTCATCTTGGGGCTTAGTGGTAGTCATTGGAAACGCGTCTATCCCGCCATCTGGGGGCGAGCTCTATCGCGTCAAGGACGAGGTAAACGCTCAGTTAGCCATCGGCAGCAGAGACGAACAGCGCTAACCAGCACCGCAGCCTTAAACCAGGTGAACCTGCTCTTAAGCCAGACGAACCTATCTAGATCGCTAGAGACATGCATCGCCGTCCTCCTGCTTTGCCTTGCGGACTTATTCGAAGGAACGTCCAGAGCCTGGAAGTGGCATCTGAAAGCGGCTAGTGCTCTCCTTCGATCACTAGGCGAACTGGTCCTCGAGAATACAACCGAGGGGATGTTTTGTCTTCAACTATTTCACTACCTTGATTCCATGTCAACAATCTCACGATGCCGACCACCACTTCGAGGTTCCCCGAGTCTTTACGATCTCGCTAATTGCGATGATTTAGTCACTTCCGCAACTAGTGACTCAATTTCTTTTCCGGTTTCGTCATCTTCTACTGTGATATCAGGAGTGGATCCAATGCTCCTCAATTTTATTGGGATGGTGAACCTTCTCGCTTCCCACCGAAAGAACCGAGTTGATGAGCTGTCGGAAATCGGCTTCCGCGCCGCAGCTACCCGTGTACAAAGACAGCTTGACTCGTGGCGCAGAGAATATCAAGAGCAGAACCCGGATTCGCACGCTTTGGATGATGAAATGCACCAGGCCACAACAGCTTTCGCGTGGGCAATTCATCTGCGTCTTCATCAGATCGTCGAAGGCTATGACCTCGACCATCCGAATGTGAAGCTGGCTATTGCTAATATTATGGAGGCGATGTTGCCTATCCCATACGGTAGTCCCGTCGAAGGAAGTCTACTATTTCCGCTTGTCATTGCAGGCGCAGGAAGTACAGACATTGAGGGACAAATGGTAGTCAAGGAGCGACTGATGGCCATGGAGGGTACGCTAGGATTTGGACACGTTAAACAGGCACGACAGTTACTGGAGACAGTATGGGCACAGGGTCGAGAACGGAACTGGGCGTTTATTCGGTTTACACAATTTCCCGGGTTTGTATTCGTCTAAACCTGAGCAGCTCAACACCCTACACGTAATTTTCCAACAGCTCCGCCAAATGCTTATCCATGTCATACCCGCACACCTCCTCGATCGTCAACTTCCCCGGTCGATCCATAGTAGAGGACCATCCGATCCGCTCATTCAAATCCTCTCTCGCACGGAAACTCGCTTCCTGTACACGCGTTGCCCTTGGTTTACGCAGGTTCTCGTACAGCGCGAGCCCGCGTTCCAAGCCGTACTTCTGTCGGAAATCTCGATGAAAGATCAAACCCAGGGCTCCCGCATCCTCAAACGCCATGCATGAGCCCTGCGACTGATCTGGCATCATAGGGTGCGCTGCGTCGCCGAGAAGGCATACCTTGCCTTTAACCCAGTATGGATATGGTTGATGGCGGTATACTGCGTTCTTAGTTCTCTCTCCACCCTCAAGCTCACGGATTGGATGTACTTACATCGCCACATCTTGATATCCTCCGCATTTGCCATGAGTGTCCGCATTCTCGGATCCAGATCTGGAAAAGTTGCAAGAAGCTGCTGCGGCGAGGACGAGATATTCCACCCATCGTCTCGCAGATTGTTGTACTCTGATGGGTAGAAACAGTAACAGCTGACGACATCGCCGTCACTGCACGGTGACATGACTATCTTGTTTATGCCAAAGCCTCCCCAATACTCGATCGCCTGATTGTTGATGTAGTCTTCCAATCCCAGAGCACGCAGCTTGTCGGCGCCGATGATGCAGCGGTAACAGCAGGAGGTGGACATCTCGAATTGCGGCGTTATACCCATTTGTTCTCTGGTAAGGGACTGACAGATTAACGTTAGCCTATTACGGGCCTTCCGAAATGGCAATAGTACAACGAACCCTGATACCGTCTGCGGCGACGATCAGATCGGCAGTCGCTTTTTGGCCGTTTTCAAAACGGATGACGCCCGCTTCTGCGTCAATCTCGATTGCTTTATGGTTAATTTCAAGGATGCATTTCGGTCCTTCGCCTGGCTCTTCGAAGGCGGACTTCAGGAGTTGTTTATGAATGTCAATGCGATGGAAATTGTTGTAGTCCTACTGTCATCAGTCAACGTCAACACGGACCGAAGCACAACCCACGGTGCCAAATTTTGCTTTATAGTCACCAAGTCCGAACTCATTCAGCACCTTCCCATCTTTCCACTCATGCATGATGAGGTTCTTCAAAATCACCTAAACCGATCAGCTGCGGTTACTCTTAGTCGGGTTTCAATCGGGATGAGATACCGGTTTTGCAGCGGCAATGTCGACCCCCCATCGTTCCAGGAACTTCGACCCATTTGGAGCCGCACTCAACGAAGCACCGACTTCTCCAGCGAAGTCATGGCGCTCATAGACAGTGACGTGGTGCTGCTGACGACGCAGCGCAATGGCGGCTGCGAGGCCACCCAGGCCAGCGCCAATGACGGCCACGTTCAGGGGTGTATCTGTTCGGGAAGGCATTCTTTTGACGGCAGGGTTATGCAAGGAGTAGTTGTGCCTTGTGGGCGTATAAATATCGCGAGGCTCCGCTTGGAGGTCATGATGAAAACAAGGCGATCAAGCCTCCCGACGGGCCCGATACGATTGGCTCCATCTCTGCGGCATTTATCAGATACGAAGCCGACTGGACAAAGCATCCCTGTTGATAGTGCGGGGAAGATTATCTATGCGACGGAGATAAGCAGCCCCCTGGACTCGATAACCACCGGCTTATATGCTCCAAGTCAGGTCTTCACTTCAAGCAACTGTTGCATGATCTACTCCAATATGGACGCCAAACACGAAAAGAGGGCCTCGGCGGAGTATGCCGCTGGGGAAATGGAACTGTCTGACCAGGCCCTGTTGCGGCGGATCGACTGGCGAATCTTGCCGATCATGTTCTTGACCTATTTCCTCCAGTTTTTGGATAAGGTCTCCTTGAATGTCAGTTATCGTCCCATTGAGCCTGGCGGTTAACTAATTAGACAAGTATGCAAACATCATGGGCTTGCAAAAGGACCTGGGCATGTCAGGGAACGACTTTTCCTGGCTGGCCACAGCATTCTACATTGCCTATGCGGTTGCTGAGATCCCTCAAGGTAAGCGTCACATCCGCACTACAAAAAAAGAAAGCTAATAGATAGGGATCCTGTTACAAAAATATCCGATCAGCAAAGTCCTCGGATGCAATGTGCTCATCTGGGGCATTCTCCTCTGTTGCTCTGCTGCAGCGCATAACTACGCCGGCATAATAGCGATCAGAACACTGCTCGGAATGATGGAAGCAGTGATAGCGCCCTCGTTGACTCTGTATACGAGCATGTGGTACACCCGCGCCGAGTCGACCCCGCGCTTCGGCTTATGGTATTGCGGCCTCGGAGTCGGGCAGATTATCGGCGGCTTAATCTCCTTTGGAGCCCAGCATGCTCCTGCTGATGGTTGGGCCGGGTGGCGTATCATGTTTGTTGTGATCGGCATTGTCAACCTTCTCGTCGCCTTGCTCGTCCTCTTCGTCCTCCCCGAAACCCCCGAAAAAGCAACATTTCTTTCTTCCGCAGATAAAGCTCGCATCGCAGAGCGCCTGCAGCTTGATTCGGCGGGCGTTGGCGAAAAGGTCTTTCGCTGGACCGCGGTCCTGGAGGTGTTCGGTGACTTGCAGACGTGGTTGTTGATTCTCTTGACAATCCTGATTACCATCCCCAGTGGAGTAATCACTACATTCTCGTCAATTCTCATCCAGGGCTTTGGATACACCTCGAAAGAGAGTGCACTGTTGAACATGCCTTCTGGAACTGTGAGCATTGTATCGACAATGGCGTCTACCTACGGAATTGCGAAGGGTTACTCCCGCTGGCTTTCGATCAACATTCTGCTCGTTCCGACACTGCTCGGCTCGTGCCTCATGAGCTTCCTACCGACCACCAACCAGGCTGGGTGTTTGGCGGGTATTTACATGGTCAACGCGGTATGCTTCACATATTTCTCTCGTTGAGATTGACTAATATTATATGACAGACTGTTGCACCGCTCGCTTTGATCTTCGCATGGACAGGCGCCAACTACAAGGGTTATACGATGAAAGTCGCCGGAACCACCCTGATCTCTGCTGCCTTCAGCATAGCGAATATCATCGGGCCCCAAACATTCCAGGCTAAAGACGCCCCTGGGTAAGTCAGGAAATTTGGCCGCCATCGAACGCTCGGAGTAGATCTAACAAGCGAACAGATACACGCCCGCCAAAATCACCCTCGTGGCCGTCAATGCCGCGGCTATCGTGGTCTCTACAGCCCTACGTGGAATCTACGGGATTCGTAACAACCGCGCAAATGGTCTCGGTGCACCGGCACAAAGTAAGATGGAGGCTAGACTGGCAAGCAAGCGGCGGACTGAGACGGGGACGGATACACAGAGTCTGGGCTTTAGATATGTCTATTAAGGCTGACTTCTATCTCCGTATCTATGCGACGGCCCCACAAGATACACCAAATTGCCTTCTACGTGTGATAAATAGCTGTACTGCCATTCTCCAATTGAGCCATAATCTAGCAAAAGAAAACATGGCAATGAGAGTCCTCGTAACCGGTGCAAACGGCTTCATCGCCGCCCACTGCATCGCCCTTCTCCTTTCACATTCCCACCATGTCATCGGCACAGTCCGGTCTGAGTCGAAAGCCACCGCGACCCGCGAAACCCTTCTCGCTGCTGGTATCAACAACTCAAACCTCGACCTGCTCGTTATCCCCGATCCCACGGACGAAGCTCAGCTCTCCGCGGCACTAGAGGGCCAAGCATGCGATGCGATACTCCACCTCGCCTCGTCCTTCACCTACGATGCCAAACCGAGCGAGTTCGAGCACAAACTGCTTCTCCCTGCTATCAAGGGGACAGAGGCAATTTTTCGCGTCGCGGCGTCCCACTCCTCAGTCAAGAAGGTCGTCATCATGTCGAGCTTTGCGGCGGTGTATGATGCCGCCAAAGGAGCGCAGCCGGGAAAGGTCTATAGCGAGGACGATTGGAGTCCGTTGGGTTATGAGGAGGCGAGGGATACGGAGAATGTTGTATGTTTCCCGTCTTACCTGCAAAGTTATCAGTTCCAGAAAGAGAAGAGTGTTGATGGGTGGGATAGGCAACGGCATACCGCGCGAGCAAAGCCCTCTCTGAGCGCGCGGCGTGGAATTTCGTTGCATCGCACGACGTCGGATACCGTCTCGTCACGCTTTGTCCGGGGATGGTTTTTGGGAAGATGATTCACCCTGTCAAGACGGTTGGTGAGGTTAACACCAGCAATCGGATTGTGTGGGATGTGTTGAGCGGTGATAGCATCCCGCCTACGAAGGCGCCGGGTATGTGTTGCTAGCCTGTTGATCGTTTGATTTGAATAGGGAGACTAATTGTGTGAATGGATATGGATAGTCTGGGTTGATGTCCAGGATCTAGCGCTCGTCTCTTTGCGCGCACTGACGACGCCATTTACGGCGCATGAGCGGTTCCTGGTTACCGAGGGGCCGTATGATACGCAGGAGATAGCGGATGTTGTGCGTGAGGCATTACCGAAGTGCAGAGGAAGGATTCCTGTGGGTGATCCTGGGAAGAGGATTCGGGGTGGCCATTATGGGTGTGATGCGACGAAGGTTAGGAAGGTGCTTGGTGTGGAGTTCCGGGGGTTGAGGGAGAGTGTGGTGCCTTTGGCGGAGCAGTTGTTTGAGATGGAGGGGAGGCAGAAATAGAAATCATCTCTATTGAAACTAAGAGCTATGGAGAGCGGACTTTATATGGCCTGCCGTCAGATCAATGAACTCTCTCGCTTGCCAGAGATCTATGAGGGAATTAGCAAGGTCACGACCGTTGGATGGAAAAGAAGGAACATACCCTTATCCATGTGCATAAACGGATGAGGCACCCCATGAAACCTCTTCTGGACAACCTCACTCCCCGCCTCGATCAACTTCCTTGCGTACGCCTCGCCCTCGTCTCTCAGTGGATCACAACCAGCCGTGTAGATGACCGTCTTCGGAAGTCGCGAGTAATCCGGTGCGGAGAGGAGATCCTTCCACCATCCTATCTCCTCCATCTGCTTTCCCTTCACGGCAGGGTCATCCGACAACGATTCCCACTTCAGGGTATCGAACCACTTGAGCCTCGCCCAGTTCAGCGTCGGCGCGTGCTCCATTTCCCGCATTGACGGGAAAGGCGAGTCCGCTGCACTCTCGTACCGCGAGATATCGTCGATGACGGGAGTTCCAACAGCAGCGAGTTTAATCGGTATTCCGTTATCTCGAGCGAGATGGCAGCAGACAAGGGCGATATTTCCGCCCGCGGAAACACCGCCGAGGGAGATCCGGGTGGGATCGATGTTGAACTTCTCCTTGCCCGTATTGTAGACGTCTTTCAGCGCGGCAAACGAGTCTTGGATTCCGATAGGAAAGGGCATTTCGGGGACGAGTCGGTACGCGATGTCGATTACGGCGACGTTGGCTTTGACGCAGAGGTGCTTGCAGATGTGGGCTTCTGTGTCGAGGTCGCCGAGGCCCCAGCCTTTATCCCATCAAACATCAGTAGCTTTCTTTTGGACGGACCAAAGGGAATAGAGAGAGACGCACCGCCGCCGTGGAAATCAATGTGGACAGGCCATGGTCCCGGGGAGTCTGGCTCGTAGACGCGGCATGGAATCTGTTCGCCGTTGTGGCCGGTCACTGCGGAATCGTAGACGCGAGCTGGCTCTGGTGCTGGAGCGGTGCCGTAGGAGTAGAGGACGGAGTATTTCGACCGGAGAATGGAAAGGTCAATGGGTTTGTTTGGGGTGTTGGCGACGTGGGTGTTGTACAGGTTGACAAAGGCGGGGTCGAGCAAGGGGAGCACCGAGGGATGCAGCGGGTTGAGCGATTCGTGGGCAGCCATGGTCAGGATTCTTGCTTCCGCCTTGATTGGTGACAGCAAGGAGCTTGGAGTATAAATAAGAGATAAACAGACCGTCGCAAGAGAAACCCTGTTATCTATGCGTCGGTCCGACTCCGATCGGCTCTTCCTATCAGGTTCCCCGCACTGCTTACTCGGCTCCTTCTGGACTTGTATTTCTCTCGCACTCCCTGCTGACTCCCTCTCTGTCTCTCCACAATGTGCGACTCAAGCGAAGATGGAACCGGTTCTCATTGTTGGCGCTGGCATAGTCGGGTTGACACTCGGGCAGGCTCTCAAACAAGTAACATCTTGCATTCTCCCCTACCTACTTCGCAGCTCCAACGTTGATGAATTGGCAGAGAAACATTCCCTTCGAAATCTACGAGCGAGACCTTCACCCCGACAGCCGCGGCCAGGGCTGGGCAATCACCCTGCACTGGGCATTGCAATACATCCAGTCCCTCCTCCCCGAAGAAACTCTACAACGCATCCAAGACGCCCAGGTTGATCCCGACGTTGCTCGCAACGACAACGGAAACTTCCTCTTCATCAACCTCGCGACGGGCGAGCCGAAGTTCAAGATCCCACCCTCCAAGCGATGGCGTGTTAACCGCGAGAAGATGCGCAAGGCTTTACTCGTCGGCATCGAGGAGCACGTACACTGGGGGAAACGGGTAGACGGGATCCTCATCGGAGACGATGGCAGGCCACAAATTGCTATTGAAAGCGGCTCGGGGGAGAAAGAGAATATCGCTGGGAAGCTCGTCGTGGGCGTCGAAGGCAGTCGCTCGACAGTCCGGCGCTTTCTTCGACCGGATGCCTTTCGCAACGCCCAGCTTCCCGTGCGATTTACCGGTGTTGCGGTGGACTTGACGGATGAAGAAGCTGCCCCTCTACGGAATATGGATCCCCTGCTCTTCCAAGGCTGTCATCCTGAGACAGGCGTGTTCTTCTGGTTCTCGATCCTGGAGACGCCGGCAAACAATCAGAGCGGATTATGGCGCGTGCAAATCAACCTGTCTTGGCCCGTGAAGACGCGCGAGGACGAAGTCCCAGAAATAGATGAAGAGAGACTGGTGAACATGAAGAAGCGCGTAACCGGGTTTGCCCTATTCTTGCACGATGCTATCCAACGAATTCCGGATGGCACACCGGTCCTGGAGATCAATCTCGCCGACTGGGAGTGCTTGCCTTGGAATAATAGGGACGGTAGAGTCACTCTTGCTAGCGATGCTGCCCATGCCATGGTGATGTGTATGTTTCTCATCCCCTCCTTGCAGGAGTATAAGTACTGACCAGGATAGACCGCGGCGAGGCAGCCAACCACGGACTCCTCGACATCTTCCACCTCGTCGAAGCGATTGCGGAGATCTACGCGGGTGGGGACCAAAAGGCCGCCATCGACAGGTACGAAAGCGAAATGCGCGAGCGAACGGCGCCTGCAGTACGGCTGAGTCGGCAGGCCTGTATGGAGGCTCACGCGTGGGATCAACTCAATGACGGATGCGCAATACTGTCCAGGAGGAAGATCTCTTCGTAGGGCGAGTAGGTAGATGTAGCAGAGTCTAGACTCGACCAGCATGGGGCTGTACGAATGCCAAGAAGGTCCAAGCCCAACCTCGCTCAGCCTCGCTCAGCTCTCGCTCTCAGCCGCCCTCGTACCCCTCTTTTGTGCTCTTCCACCGTGTCCCTTGACTCTCAGGGTCCTCCCGTGTAACCGCTATGAGGGATAAGGCTACGAGGTACGCCGAATCTGATGCCCTGGTAGTGGTCCCTAGACCCGGCTGACTCCTAGTACAGCACCACCATCCAAGATGACTGTAAAGACGCGGTGCAGGCGTTTGTCAGCCGCCTCAGCACAGAGGAAAAGCTCCTTTTCCAGGCAACAGACACATCGGAAAAACTGATCAATGACCTTGTCGAGGCCGACAATAAACACAGCAAGGCCTCCGTGTCTCGCCGGATCGCCCCGAGAATCCAATCATTTGTCGCGGGTATCGATCGCTTCTCTGGCGCGATAGATGCCATAGCGGGCTCCGTCTCGCTGATGCAGCCGATATGGGGTGGCTGCAAGGTCGTGCTGCAGATCGCAAAGGATTACAGCGAGTACTTTGACAGACTGTCCGAGATGTTTGAAGAGATCGGGTACAATCTCGGTCGTCTGCGTCGCTTTCCACGGCTGTACCCCGATAACGACGTACTGACCGAGTCCATGGTGGATATCTTCCAAGCTATCCTGGAGTTCTGCAGCAAGGCCCGGGCAGTCTTTCGGCAGGGGAAGAATGACCAGAGTTCAGGGAGATTGTTCAGCACGAGTGCTGTCAGCTTCCGCGCGGCGTGGAAAGTGGTATGGAAGCCATTCACGGCGCAGTTTGGAGATATAATGGATCGGATCAACACATCAATGTCACGCATCGAGCAGGAGGTGGACCTGGCCGAGAAGGAGCTCGCTAGTGAAGGACGCGCCAAAGCAGAGGGCGAGCGCAAACTACAGGCCGCTCGCTGGGATAAGTTGGAGTCGCGACAAAAGAGAGTCACAGATTATATTGATCAGCAGAAGGTTGCCCAGCTGAATCAGTGGCTGTCTCCGGTCAATGCTGCTGCGAATCACAACTCGGCGACCAAGTTGCGCCAGGCCGGCACTGGTACTTGGTTTGTGGATGGGCAGCCATTCCAGGACTGGCTCTCAAGAGATAACTCGTTTCTTTGGCTGCATGCAATCCGTAAGTGCTGTCCCGTCAGGGAGTGAACTCATCTAACAGCGTGTAGCCGGCGCTGGAAAGACAATTCTAGCATCGACGGTAATCGACTGGCTGCGTCAGCACAAGGAGGATCAGGACACGGGCCTGGTGTACTTCTATTGCGACTACAAGGATAAGCAGAAGCAATCCCCGACGACCATTGTATCGACCTTGTTGTCAATGATTGCGACGCGGAATGAAGCAGTACTCGGTCGACTCGTTACTTTCTTCGAACAGCAGCACAAAGAGAACCCTGCGTACACCCCCGAATTCGATGAGTTATTGAACAATTTCAGTCACTTCGTGTCCGATTCCTTCGATCAGTTGTTCATAGTCGTCGACGCGCTCGATGAGACCGAGGACAGAGAGTGCGTGGCATATGCTTTTAGGAAAATTGCAGAGACGTGCGATTGTGCCAAGGTACTTGTGACGAGTCGCTATGAGATTGATATCGCGCGAACATATGAAGAGCTACCGATTACCTCGATTGAACCCGACGATATCGCTGGGGATATTGAGCTGTATATTCGATCCGAAGTGGCTGCCAAGATCAAGGCAAAGAAACTGAAACTGAGGGATCCGAAGCTACAGGAGGTAATTTGCGAGACGCTCATCCAAGGAGCCCATGGTATGTTCCAGTGGGTAAAGTGCCAGATCGATCAGCTGTGCAAGCTGCGTAACGACCGGGCTTTACGAAATGCGCTGGACGACCTGCCCAAGACCTTGCATGACACGTACATAAGGATCCTGCGGCGGCTGGAGGCTGAACGTGCTGATGAGGTACCTTCTGTGCAGCGCCTGCTCCGATGGCTGGTGCGCGGGACGAGGAATCTCACACTGGACGAATTGGCCGAGTGCGTTAGCATTGACCCGGACGGTGCTGAGGATTCATTCGATTTTGATGCCGTCTTCACGGACCCGGAGGATGTCGTCGAGCTGTGTGGTAGCTTGGTCGTGATATCGCCAGATGGTTATGTTGCACTAGCCCATTATACCGTGAAGGAATTCCTTGTCTCAGCGCATATCCAGGAGCTGATGCCCCATTTCTGGGTTGGATGTGCGGAGGTGCATACAGAGCTAGCCCGCGTCTGTCTCACCTACTTGTGCTATGACGACTTTTCCACGAATTATGATGAGCCGGGCGATGAACTGCTGCAGCGCTTTGAGGAGTACAAGTTCTTGAAATACGCGGTCCAGGGATGGGGCGCCCATGCGCATCTCAGCGAAGGCGACGAGCAAGTATTTGACTTGACGATGCGGCTGTTCGAGTTGGATGAGAAAGAGAACTATGGCTTGTGGTGTCATATATATCGGCATCTGCATAAAGCGTCCGGACAACGGCCGACCATACCTCGGTCGGATGGGTCGCCTCTCTATTTCGCCTCGCTCTTCGGACTGCCGAAAGTTGTGCTGACGCTGCTAGAAAACGACCCGGATCTCGACATGGTGGAACCGATCAAGGCTGCATCATTTGCCGGACACTCGGAAGTGGTCAAAGTGATTCTCGAACATTGCAGCTCAATAGAGCCGAAGGTTCTCGAGAATTGTCTCTATGTTGCTGCGTCTAACGGCCATGAACATGTGGCTAAGTTGCTCTTGCAGCAACAGGTAAACCCCAACGCAGCAGGTGGTAAACAAGGGACGCCTCTGCAAGTTGCTGCCCTCGAAGGCCGTCACCAGGTCATTGCAACGCTCCTTGAATACGGTGCCGACAAAAATGTCACGAGCCAGAGATACGGGTCGCCCCTTGCAGCTGCGGCCGAGAAATCCCACATGCGAACCGTACAGCTCCTTCTCGATCACGGGGCAAATGTGAATAAACGCGGTGGATGGTATGGATATCCACTTACATCCGCGATTGTGGGCAAGAATATGCCAATAGTCGACCTGCTGATCGACAAGGGAGCGGATCTCAATGCCCTCGGTGGACGCCATGGATGTCCTTTAATGGCTGCAGCATCGATGGGTATGCTTGACTTGATCCGTTCTCTTGTTGCACGTGGTGCCAAGGTCAACGATGAAAACGACAAAGGATCGGACAGTTTGTATGCCGCGTGTATCGCCGAGCGGCTGGACGCAGTCGAGCTTCTTCTGGATCTTGGGGCCGACGTGAATGCAAAGGGAGGCCGGCACCGCAATGCTCTGAATGCGGCCAGTGCCTCGGGGAACATTGAGATTGTCGAGCGTCTTCTTGCAGCAGGAGCAAACGTGGACTTCTTCGACGAGCACTATGGCAATAGCATTCAGGTCGCCGCCGCCGCCGGATATAACGACGTGATACGGATTCTGGCGGAAGCTGGCGTGGACGTCAACGCGCCAGCTGGTGACCGAGGAACTGCGTTGATATCTGCTGCTCAGAGTGGACACACGGAGACCGTCCAACTTCTCTTTGATTTGGGAGTCACATCTGGTGATACCGACGAAATGACGAACGCGCTCATGGTGGCTGCCCGTAAGGGATACACGCCAGTGGTCGAAGTGCTTGTGGAGATGGGAGCCGATATAGACGGCGTCAGTACCATGGCAACATACCCTAAGTGCACCGCACTAGAGGCTGCCGCAGTGAAATCGCACGCCGAAACAGTACAAAGTCTCCTGGATCTTGGAGCGGACGTCAACTACGAGAACAACGGCGAATACGGATGTGCCCTGATAGCCGCCATATTTAGCGACAAAGACTATTCCGAAGTCGTGAGCATCTTGTTGGATGCAGATGCAGATGTCAGCGCCACTGTAGATGGCGGGGCTGATGGCGGTGGCTGTCCTCTTGGGGCTGCAGTTTTCAAAAAAGACTATGATCTCTGTTCCGACCTCATTGATCGTGGTGCGGAGGTCAATGTGACAAATGAGTGGTTTTATACTCCCTTGCAGCTTGCCGTCATAGGTGAAGATGAGCGGATTGTGGACTTGCTGGTCGATCATGGCGCCGACGTCAATCTCGCCATTGAATCAACAGATAAAGAGGATGACAACGGCATCGTCACGGCGCTGCAGGTTGCGGCAATGAATGGCAGCGAGGACATGGTGAGAAAACTGATTGGCCTGGGCGCAAACCTCTCAGATGACGTCGAGGACTCCAGGTTCAAGTCTGCCCTTCAAGTCGCCAGCTTCGAAGATCATCAGGATGTCGTGCAGATCTTGATTGACGCAGGGAGTGATGTCAACGAGATAGGCGGCCTGTACGGAACGAGTCTACAAGCTGCAGCTTTCCAGGGCGCCATCGAAGCAGCGAAAGCTCTACTCGAGGCCGGCGCCGATGTCAATATTTCCGGTGTCGGAGAGAGGGGGAACGCGCTGATCGCAGCCGCTTCCAATAGCCACGAGGACATGGTCAAGCTTTTGATCGAGCATGGGGCAGACGTCAATGTGGCCGGAGGCGAATCCTTCTACTATGCACTCCACGCTGCGTCGAATAAAGGATGTGATGAGATTGTGCTGGCCTTGATCGAGGCTGGGGCGGATATCAACGCCCAAGGAGGGATGTACGGGACTGCATTAATAGCAGCGTGCGTCGAGGGACATCTGGATACTTGCCAACTTTTGCTCGAGCGAGGCGCCGATCCGAATATTGTCTGTGGGCGTTATGGAACCGCGCTGGCGGCGGCTTATAAAAACGGGTACTATGAGGTTCTCGACCTTTTGTACAGTCACGGGGCTTCTCATACCCTCAAGGGTGGAGAGTTCGGAACACCCCTAGGATCTGCTGTCAGGGGATCCTGCGAAACGTTGGTCGATGCTTGTATTCGGCGCCACGGGGCAGATCCAAATCTACCCGTAGGAGAGTTCGGGTCTGCGCTCCAATCCTGTATCATCCACAGAGGCGACGATGCCTGGTTTATTCTGCTTGAAGCTGGAGCGGACGCGAACGCTCGCAGTGGGGTTAGAGGAACACCGTTAATTGCAGCCGCTTCCATGGGCGAGCTCGAGATTGCTAAGTTCCTACTGGACCATTACGACGCAGGCGTCAACCTCGAAGGAAACGATTACTACCCGACTGCCGTCCATGGAGCAATAGAAGGGGATAGTATGGACATACTCAAACTGCTGGTCGAGAGGGGAGCCAATGTCAATGCGGCCAACTCACGTCTTGGGTCGCCTTTGGAATTTGCTTGCAGCCTGGGTCGGGTCCAGATGGTCCGTTATCTGTTGAGACATGGTGCTGAAATTGACCCGAAAGCCAAAGGGCGGTATGGAGACGTTCTGCAGGCCGCGGCAATCAGTAGATGGGGTGTCATAGTCCGATTCCTACTCAACCGCGGCGCAGACATACACAAGAAGGGCGGGAAGCATGGCTCTGCCCTCATGGCGTCCGTCTTAAGTTGCAATCTCTTTACCGTCGAGCTTCTCCTGAAACAAGGCGCTGATGTGAATGCCCGAGGGGGCGTGTACGGGTATCCATTGCAGGCGGCTGCAGCCAAGGGCTCGGAGTCCAGTCCAATGATCCTCCTGCTACTTCGATATGGAGCGGACATTAACGCCAAGGGTGGAAAGTATGGGACTGCCCTCCAAGCAGCGTGCGTTTCCGGGGACTATGACCTGGTCCAGCTCCTCCTTGAGCGAGGCGCAGACGTAAATGTCACCGCCGGCTTTTGCAGAAATGCCCTCCATGCGGCTGCTCTATGGGGGAACGATCATATCGTCGAGCTCTTGATGAAGAGCGGGGCGCAATGGAGTCTGGTTGATCGCTCTCTGTCGCATTTCGCACCGAGCACGCTCGACTTTGCGGATGAGATACTTGTGAAGGCGAGGGAAGATCAGCGGAATGGATGGCCGGAGGACGAGGAGAGCGAGGATGAAGACGATGAAGACGATGAGTCTGAGGATGAGGATGAGAGTGACTCAGAGGATTTCCAGCTCAACGTCGAGTCAATCCCGCTGTTCGACGAGCCATATCGGCCGGCCCAGGCTCGCGCTGTGCATCAGGATGAGAATGGCGAGGCTTTGGCGAGCGCTGATACCAAGGACTCTGGGAGCGAGGATTGGACGGAATTGGAGTGGCTGCAGATTAAGGATGGGGACTTGGACTAGAGAGTTGTCCATAGTCTCAGTGGTATTGGTAACCTCGGACAAAATGGAAGAGAAATCATCGCATTCAAGTCTTCCGATACCGGTGGTGGCCTGGTCCAATGCCGCAGTAACGAAGTGTGGACGCATCATGCAGAGATACGCTGATGAAAGTCAACCCAGGTTCTTAAGATGGAACCATGGTGACTATCCGTACTGGCCGAGAATTTTGGTTTAGGCTGATATTGTCAAAACAGACGAAATGATTTCAGCACATCGTCGCATGGTTTGTGCGATTGGCAAAGTTGTTAGGTATATAAAGTAGAATGCTAATCCAGATAGCATACAAGACCCCCGATGGTGTAGTTGGTTTATCACGTCTGACTGTAATGGAAATTGTCAATCAGAAGGTCGCTGGCTCGATTCCGGCTTGGGGGAGATCACTTGTCTTTTTCGCCTTTTTGTCCTGCTTCCCGCCAAGGCTCAGCTCATCAACCCCTCGCAGTTCCGAGTCCTGGGCTCCTCCTTCTCTCTAGATTTAGTGCCTTCCCACACATAGTACTGCCTTTAGCATGTACAGAATGACCTCTGGCTCTAAAATAGGCCTAGTTGTGCGAGTGGTAGAGGGGAAGTCGCCCACCCTCTCCAAAGAGGCTATCGCCATTCCCCGCCCCGCAGCAAACCAAGTCCTCGTTCAAATATCGCATGCTGCCCAGAATCCGACTGGCGGTATGCCCTTGGTCTCTTCTGGACTGTTTATTGCAGTTGCTAGTCGCTCAGTCCAATCCTTCGATCGCTGTTCTCGGGTGCGACGTTCTAGGCGAGGTTGTGGCCTCTATGTCCTGCTTTCTCACTCCCCCGCCCCTCATGGCAGCCCTAATTGACTTATCTTTGCGTGCACATGGAGGATTCAGTTGATGACCATGGACTCGCAAGTGAGCTGTTCGAGAAATTACCCGAGAAGGGCACAATCAAGCCAAACCATCCAAGGGTGCTACTTGGCTACGCCACAATATATATATCAACCACCCGAAGCTGACAACAATCTTTCCCCCTTGTTGCATCTGTCACCTTACGCTGCCTGGCCATTGCTGTTCTCTATAACCTATTGGGAATCCCCAACTGCTGACGCACTTGTGACCATTGTATAAACCCACGCATACATACAATGACCGGCTTTCGGGGACCAAGTTGAGCCAACCATCCAGCCCACGCCAAGACCTTCCTTTTGTGGCTGTTTTTGGCTCTATGATTTCGCACGGAGATTCCCTCAGGATAATGCTAGTGAGAAACCTGGGAAGTCCCTACCACGATCAACGCCGCGAGACCATAGGGGGAGGGAACCCCCTACTATGAAAAAAAATATTCACCAGAAGACCAATCGGAGCAGAGCTTACTCATGTTAAGAGAAGTTGACAGCCTTGACCGGCAAGAATCTCTTGCCAGTCAGCATCATCGCTCTCCAGCGTAAGCCGCGCCATGCGGCGGTCCCAGACTTCCTCGAGGATTGCCAAGGCTCGCGAGATATTTTGGAAATGTCGTTTCTCGAGCATCAGGTATAGTCGCTGGCGTATCAAGTTTATCTCCATGGTCTTTGTCGCCTCGCCGCCTGCCAAGAAGAGAGGGAATAGCAGGGCTGATTCAACTATTTCGGTCGACGGTATTTCGGCTATGTGGTTCAGAGTAGCGGTGGTTTCCAATGATATCTTGGAAGCTAGGACGCCAAGTAGCTCATTTCGATGGGTAGGTGAAGAATATTCACTACCAAGCCGAATAAAGCTACGCATCCGCCGATAAAGATAAATCAGGGCTGCACTCCGGTACGCATATCCTAGCGCTACGAGGGCGGAGGTTGCGTCAGAATGGCACTGCCAGGCTTTGAGCCTCTGTTCGATCTCTGAGCATTTCGAGCTCATTTTCTTGTTTTGAGGCAAGGTATATGTGTCGCTCTTACTTTTAGGGTCAAGATAACTGATCTCCGCGATCAATATCAAGATCCCAGAGCCAATGCCAAGATATGTGTCGATAACACCCGTAATATCATGGAGGTAATCAGCTCTAAGCAGAGGTTTCGTGCCGAGTGTGACGCTACCTAGGATGTCGTGGTATGCAAAATTTCGAAGAATCCACCGGCCTTCCACACTCCCCTTGAGCGCATTGGGCCCAAGCAGCATCTCATCGCCTGTATTGGCTAGGAATTTCGCAGAGCTTATGATATTCTTTGCTCCAATAAGGTGATCGTACCATCCGGCATGGTTCCCAAGGCAAACTTCTGATATCAGCAAAACGAGACAGGTGGCAGCATTGGTCTCCTGGACGGATATATTGTCCGAGCCACGCGATATAGCCTCAGCTAATCGGCTTAAGGCAGTAGACCGAGCTTCAAGTGCGGTAATTTTGTAGCGATTATCCACTGTAGATAGGTGCCCCGATGCCCACGAAACTAAGGCACCAGAAAGGGCCGGTGAGTCTACGGCCATTGGAACAAATTCTGTCAAGAGATTTGTTAGTCTGGAGTGACCAGTGGCCGGTTGTCGGGGCAGGCTTACCAGAGAGAAAAGAGTTGTGCTGGTAACTGACTGTCAAGAGTTGGGTCATTACGTTGACGTAGTATTTCATGGCGTATTGCCGCGTTGAGCATCTTTCACTACCTAGAGTAGTTCCAGGATGGTAGTCGTGGAAGGAATTGAGTGTCGGAGCTGTAGATACAAGGCTCACCGCAACCTCCGTCCTCGTCTTGACAGCACGGGTCTGCGTAATCGGTACAACCTGTCGTTTTGACTCTCTGAGGCACTCTAGATTGAGCCGGATACAAGCTCCACAATTGGGAAATGTGTTTTCCACGCATTTTTTGTGCCTAGCATGATATGAGCCTCGTAGATAATGGGTCATGGGGGTAGAGCGGGGGTGAGCGGGGGGAACAAACGGAGCCTACCTGTAGCGGCATGTCAGGCATCCAGTCCGGTCATGCTTTGAACCCTTTCTTCTTTTGGCTCTGGGCGAGTTGTCGGTAGTCATGATCCTGGTACTCATCATTTCACAGGCTGTGGATGACTAAATGCATTCGGCCTTTTAACAGGCGATGAAGGTGTCAGTCTCAGTCTCTTGATCCGACAGGCCGATGGTCGGCTCCACGGAGTGCGGATTAACAATTGACCGTCAGACCCTTTAACTTCAACGTCCCTCGTCACCAGTCTGAGAACTTAATACGAACTAGTTGAACTATTTCTCAAAGTCACAAAATACAGGTTAACCAAGTGACTATGATAATTAGAAGCACTGCGAAATATGACCGGCGTTGGAGGAAAATCTAGCGGGCACTGAAGTTCGACAAAATCTCAGGGTACTCGAATCACTACCTTTCCTGTGTGGTTGGAGCTCCATAGATAATCATATGCCTGCCTAGTTTGCTCGAAATCAAAGACTTGGTCAATCACCGGTCGAATAGAGTGTCCCTGGAAGCAATCGAGCATATCTTGCAGCTGCTCTCGGGACCCGACCACGACGCCCCGCACGATGCAGACTCGGTCCAGCGCCAGGAAAGCTGCATCCGGACCGCGTAGCGCTTTGCCCGCACCCAAGGGATCAGGGTTTGTGATATGTCCAATGCAGTGGATGAGTCCATGCAGTGCAATGGCATCGAATGACTGCTGTAGAGTGAGAGTACCGCCCACCTCGATGATATGGTCGACACCTTGGCCTCCGGTGAGCCTCTTGGCCTCAGCAGCCCAGTCTGGATTCTTTCGGTAGTTGATTAGATGAGTGGCACCAAGGGACTTGGCCTTGAACAGCTTCTCATCTGAGGAGGAGGTTACAATCGTCGTTGCGCCGGCGGCATGGGCGATCTGCAATCCAAACGTAGACACCCCTCCAGTCCCCTGGAGAAGGACTGTCTGACCAGGGCGAATAGGCACCAGGCCATAAAGCGCGTTCCATGCCGTAAGGGCGGCGCAAGGAAGGCAGGATGCCTCCTCGAAGGACAGGTAGTCGGGGATCTTGACCACCCCGGTCTTCGGAAAAACGAAGTATTCGCCGAGCAGGCCTTGGATCTCCCCACCCAGCTGAGAGAGGAGACTTTGCTTGTTAAGCCTCCCAGCAATGTGGTCCTGCGTGAAATTGGCGAGAACCCGGTCGCCAACCTTCCATTCTGTCACGCCTTCTCCCACTTCCTCAACAATTCCTATTGGAAAGGTATCAGCACATATGGTGATCTACCCGGCCATCAAAGGGAAAATGCATTTTCTCATACCTGCTCCATCACTCCCGGGGACAAGAGCATCTGGCCCTGGGAACGGATAGGTTCCTATGGCAATGATTCCATCTCTCCAGTTCAGTGAGACGGCCTTGATTCGCACCAGGATTTGGCCGAATTTTGGGGAAGTCTTCGGCACTTCACGCAGAACTAGACTGTCGAAACCCTTCTTCTCAGGCAGGTAATATTGTTTGAAGGTAGAGTTAGCCATGTTGGGGATGCAATTCAAGTTGTGAAGCCCTGGTTGATTTTCCTCTTGGATTGCGAGAACACTGCTGGTGGGAAAATCAAAGGTTATAAGCTCTCCCTAGAAAAAGAGGAACTGATACAATATAGAGGGTTAGATACGCTATTTACGCCCTCCAACAGGATGCCACCAAAGTACAACATAGAAAATAGTGATTATCTGCAGCTCTTGATGTGTTTGTGGGGAAAGACGTCACTCGCCACACTGGAACACGCTGAACACGCTGAACACGCCAAGCACACCAGGCACATCAGACACCACGCCAGACACGCCAGACACGCCGGACACGCCGGACACGCCAGCCTATCAGATGCGGCCCAGATATCTATTCATGGAGAAAATGGGGCACCGGTGCGATAATACCACTGCGATATGGTTTGTCTATTATCATCTGTTCCTCTAATGTGGATGTGCCTACCTCTCCACTCTTCGCAACTATCGATTGTCCACCCTGATTGCCGACTTCATCTACCTTACTGGTCGCACGGATTGGTTCGTGAGGGACGTTGCGCAATGCCTTGTTATCCACATACACCTTTAAGCCATTTCCATGTGCTGCTTACACCTCACAAATAACTCAAAATAATGGCTACTCAGAAGATACATCCTGATCTCTTTCATTAGGGGCCTACCTGCTTGTCCATTGGCTGAGCTGCAGCAAGTATTTAAATATTGAAAATTTAAGGCGGCTTACGAATAAGTTTTATAAGGTTTTTTAATTTAATATTTTCACTAAATTAAGTTACTAGATTAAGTTACCACCTTAAATACTTATATAAATATTTATAACTATATTAACAATATATATTTTACATGTAATATAATCATCTAAACCCTTTAAATAAGTATTCCTCTTAATCATTTAGTTGAACTATTTTGAAATAGGGTATAGGGACAGATTTTTTTATAATATTTTTTAAAGCTAGGCTTATTATTATTAAAGAGAACCTTTGGCATATTATAAGGCCTATTGTACTGTATATAGCCCTTTTATAAGATTTAAAAATATCCGCGGATAGCTTTGCTTGCAAATAGTTAAGTTAGCCTTTAGGTGCTAACTTAATATATACTAAAAATATTTAGCCTCCGCAAGGCTAGAGATTTAAATCTTAGTATTAATTTTAATATTTTTATTTTTTTAAAAATTATTATTTATAAACCTTTTTTTAAGTATATTATATTTTATTATATTATTTATAATTTTTAAAGCTAAAAACCTTATAATTTTAATACTTATTAATATATTTAGTTTATTAAGGGTAACCTATACTGATACTATAAGTTACTTAAGTATTTTTATAATAATTAAAAGTAACCTTTTATAAAATTATTTAAAAAAAACTTATTTATTTTTTACAAGTAAACTTATTTATAGTTATAAAAAAAATTTAAAAAATAGTAATCTAAACTTTAATATATTTTTATAAAAAAAAATAATAGCCGGGATTATTCGCGGGTAATTAAAAAAATACTTATTTATTTAAAAAACTTAACCTAAATAAGCTACACCTGCAAGCCATGTAAATTAAAAAAGTTAAAAAAATAAAATAATTTATTTATAAAATTTATAAAAAGCTTTTAAAAAAGTAATTTATTAATAAGTTTTATAAATAGTTTTATTTTTTTTTTATAAAAAAATTACTTATTTTATAGCTGCTTAGTAAAAAAAGTAATATAAAATTATTACTTATAGTAATTACTACGCCTTTATAAAAAAAGTAAATATATTTAAAAAAATAAATAGCTTTTTATAAAAAAAGGTATTAAAGTTTATAATACTTTATTTAAATTTAGTTTTATAAAAATAATAAGTTATAAAAATAAAAATCCTAAAATATTTAACCTAAAATACCCTTTATAATTTTTTTTAAGTAACTAAAAAACCCTGTAAATTAATTATATATAATATAAAGTAAGGTATTATATATAACTTTTAATAAAAAAAAGTTAAAGTATACATACCTATAATAATAAAAAAAGTAATAATTAAAACTAAATAATTAAGGGGGTAAAATAAATATAATTTTTTTATAAATATTTTTTAAATCTTATTTATTTATAATAAAGTAAAAGGTTTATAAATAGCTATATTTTTTAAAAATACTTATAAAACTAGTTTTTTTAGTTATTAAACTTTAACTAAATCTTTCTTTTTATAAGGTACACTAAGCACTAATTTAAAGTTTATAAAAATTAATTTTTTATAAAATAAGTATAAGGGGTTTTTATAAAAAATAAGTAATTATAAAATAAAAAAGCCCGCCTTCGCGAAAAAATAAAAAATAAAAATAAAAGCCTTAATATTATTATTATAAAAAGGTTAGGTATATTAAGCTAAAATACCGAAAGCTTATAAAAAAGGTAAAAAAGGTAAAAAATAAAAAGTAATATAAAAACCTTGTAGTAGTAATAGCTATTACTAGTAAATAATTTTAGTTAAATATAAATTAGGTTATTATAAAATAATTATTTTTATTTATAAAAATTATATTACCTAATAAAATAGCTATAAATTATAAGGCCCTTATAAATTATAAAAGTATTATAAATATAGTTTTTTTACTTTTTATAAAATAAGTAAAATAAAAGATTTTACTATACTAAATTTTTATATAAGTTATTAATAACAGGCATATATAAAATAAAGATATTATAAAAGTAAATATATACCTTTAAAATTTATATAAAATTTAAAAAAAGTTCCAGGTGCTTGTGGTAGTATTATTAAATATAAAATAAGTAATATTAAATATATTATAATTAAAGATTTATAATTTATAAATAATTTAGGTTATAAAAAAATTAATTTTTATAAAATAAAATTATTATATAAAGGGGGTTTTTATAAAAAAGTTTGCTAAAGGTGTGCATAAAAAGTAAATTAAAAATTTTTAAATTAATATAATAAAAGTTAAATAAATTATATTAGGCAAGAAATTACCTAACTAATACTAGGATTTTATAAGGGTATTTTTTAAAAAAAAGTTATAATAACTCCCACCTTACTATAAAAAGGTTAACTTAAAAATTAAGGTTAAAAATAATAAAAAATTATTATTTAAACCTTTATATTATTACTCCCCGCAGGAGATAGTAGTTACTTATAAATATATATAAATAATACTTATAAAAAATTAAATTTATTTATTAAAGTTTTCCGCGGGGGCGCCTTTATTATATATACTTAAAAAAATAATAAAGTTTATATATATATAGACTTCCGCGGGCTAAATACTATATTTATAAAAAATTAATATTTCTTGCTTTTAATTAATAAAATAATTATAAGGCTAAGTAGTGCTAAGATTTATATATAATTAAATTTTTATAATATATATAATTATATTTATATTATAGCTAAAAATAAATAAAAATAGTATTTTATATAAAGTACAGGCTATTTAAATACTTAATAATATTATTTAAACTTATTAATATACCCGTGATGTTCCAGGGCTTTATAAACTAAGTATTTTATAATTTATTAAATATTATAATTATAATATATATTAATAATATTATTATATTCTTGCAGGATATAAAAAGTTATAAAAAATATATTTATAAAGTATTAAAAAGGCTTTATAAAATAGGCTTATATTATAAGTAAAGTAAGTATATATTTATAATATAAAGAATTAACTTCCTGGGGTATATTATTATTTTCAATAAAGTTAAAATAAAAAAATTACATGTGTTTATAATTTAGGAATAGCTAATATTAAAAATAGTGTATAATATTTTTATATTTTTAGGCTTTATTAATTAATATTATAAGTTTATTTATGCCTACGCGGTAATAACAGTAATTTTTATAAATTTTTTTAAAAAATTAAAAAATAATCCCGCAAGAATAGCTGAGAATAAAATATTAATTATAATATTAAAAGCTTGTAAAGTAGTAAACTTTTTAAAAAAAAAGTTTAAAAAAATAGTATACTTAAACTATTTTATAAAAAAGTTAGCCACGCAAGTAAAAATAAATACCTTTAAAAATAATTTTTATAGTATATTAACCTAGTTATATTTTAAAAAAAATATAAAAGCTTATAGCTTTTTTTTTTATAAAAATTTACTTTAATAAAATATAATTATACTACTAGCAAGCAAGAGCTTCTAGCTATTATAAATTTTTTTATAAATAGAAATACTATTTTTAAAGTATATTATAAAAGGTTAAGGTAATTATAAATTATAAGGCGCTAGTAATATTTTAGTTATTTATAATAATACTTTTATAAATATAAATTTATTAAGCCTAGTGTTTAGCTAAGTTTTAGTTTTAAATTACCTATTATATAGGTAAATTAAACCCTATAAATAAACCCTTATAAAAAATTAACTATATATAAAATAGTTAATATAAAAAAAATTAAAAAAATTATGTAAAGTAAGTAAAAAAAAGCTACTTTAATAATTAGGTATTATAAACATGCAAGGTGCCTATAATAATAAATTTATAAGTATAAAAAGTACTAGCATGCAAGTTATATAAAAAAACCTAATTAAAAATTTATTATTTAAAACCATAAGTAAAGAATTTATTATTACTATTATTAAAAATAAAGAAATAAAAAAAAGTTACTAAGTTAAAGTAGGTAATAAATAGTTAAGCCATGTATAGTTAGTAGCTATTAAAATTATAAACTATAATACTTTATTTAAAATAAAGGTGTCTTATAAAAAGGTAAAGAAACTTTATAAAAAAAAGTTTATTTTATATAAATTTTTTATAAAAAATTATAAAAAACTTACTAGTGCTTTTAAAGCAAGACCCCTTTATAAAAAAAGTTATAAATATTATTTATAAGTATAAATTTAAGCTAAAAAATTTTAGTATATAAAAAAGTACCTTATAATTATAAAGGTAATAACATGTAAATAATAGCCTTTTATATAATTTTTTATAGTTATATATCCCTAACTATTACTAGTTATAAATAAAAATTTTAGTAAAGCTATAT